TAATGCGCCACTATTTGTAAGAGTTCTTTGGGGGCGCGCCTTCTATATATTGGCAATAGATGTCGGCACTTTGATCAAGGAGAAAATTTACCAGCGGCGTAGCAATCCCCTCGTTTGAAATTCACTGAAACCGTTGAAAAATCGCATGTATCTCTCTCTGACTTACATAAATTTTTGTGTTCAAAAAACTTTCTTTTTAATGAAACAAATCTGAATTTTTAATTTATTCCATACTTTGTTACATTTAGGTATTTCTTTAAAATAAATATTTAGACAGTTTAGTAAAATTATTTGTAAAAAAACGAAAAATTATTAAGATCGAGATTTCCGAGAAAAACATCAAAAGGGACTTCTTATAGTTAATGAACATTTTGCACAAATTGCATCTCCAAATGTTGGTAACAGGTTCATCTTAAACAATTGAATGACAAACACTGAAAGATATTAGGAAGTTCGAGAAGTACATAAGCTTGAAACTTGCTGTGATACTTCAGCATACATTTTGAACATTAATCCAACTAAGCTTAATCTCTTTGTAAGTATTATTAATGCATTTAAGATTTAAGTTTAACGTCTGTACGGTGTTCTTGAATATCGTCCGCGGTCGTTTTGCTCTTTTAATTGTAAGAAGTGTGATAAAACAACATACCACAAATAGAAGTAAATGACTGAAAAAAACCATTAAAATGTCATGAGTTACGCGAAAAAAAAAATTTTCGCAATTAACCTACCAACACAAATTAGTCCGATGACAAGCCAAAGTATACCAGCAGTTGTATGATCGTCGATGAAGAAGACGACAGCAGTGTAAATAACGTCAACTAATAGACCGATACAAAGCATAATTCCCAAAATGATCCATGGCAGGAAGAGATATTGATTACGCTATAATATTTTTAAACATAATGTAATTCAATATTTATAGCTTTCCTTTTAAAATATTATACTCACAATGATAGCCCCAACGATTAAAAGGGCCGAGAGAATAATCGTCATGCAGAGATTTACTATCAAGATGATTTTTATGGCCGACTTCGAGATCCAGTCATCAAAAATCTGTGAATGAGATTAAGCGAGTGTTTACGACTTCAATGTTATCATCGCTTAAGCTTAAACATGTAAATCAGACCACTTACAACTGTCTTAAAATCAATCTTTGTTGTTAGAATGATGACAATTGTGGCAATACTTAATAAGATGCCCAACATGCCCGCGATTATTGTACCAGCTTTGAGACTGCCACATCCGCAGCATGACGTTAATCTATCCACTTTGCATCCCATTTCTTCAATGAACTTCTAATATCGATTCACGTCAATAAAATTACTATAATTAAAATTTAAAAGAATGAAATGAAAAATTGATTAGAAGAATGACGGCGCGTTCTGATAATGTATGACCGTCGGCTTGTCATCTAAATTAATGACAATGTAAACAAATTAGTTGTCGTAATAAAGCAAGAATAACAAATAGGTCATAAGATTCTCGACATAACAAAATAAACTGTTCAGCTTTATGAGCGCGCTTAAATCACATTCACAGTAACTTTAATTCTTCTTTTTTAAGAGAAAAATGAGATTCAACTGTAACTTTCAAACAGCGCCCTTTCAGCTACCAGTTACGGTTCATCTCAGATTACAGCATGACAGCATCAACACACTAATTAAATAGTTTTTTTTTTCTCTCTCTCTCTTGCTTAGCTTTATTCATTTTCCTCTATTCTTTATTGAATAAACATTCCTAGAAAATTCAATATTATGAGTCGATGTCATTGTTTGCCGAGCGTGTTTGTCGATCGCTTCGCTCGTGGAATCTTAAGCAACATATTATCCACATATCCAATGGAAAGCTTCAATTTTCGTTTTCATCTTCTCCATGCCGATAACATGAAGCTCTATTGTTTTCACAATTGATCACGATTTGCTCGAAACGTTGGTAATAACTCATGTAATTAATTACTCGACAGTAGTCTTCGGCTTTCGTCGAGGGAGATTACTGACTTCAATGAAAAAAAATTAAATATATTTTCGGCTCGTAAACAATTTAGGTCAAGCTCTATTAAGCAATATTCATTGTGTATTGAAAATAATTTTGTTCGTTCCTTTGCTATGTTGATCGCACAAATTTCCGGCCGCATAAACCTCAGAAAATGAAGAAAAAAAAAATTGTTTCGATGGGAAATGTAAATAAATTTAGATCGCAAGAGTTTTCTTCTAACTTTTTGTATATATTCATATTATCTTTTTCATGTCTGACAAAGTGATTCATGTTTGTAAACTTGACTTTCTTTAGCACCTTCATCCTTCATAAACTCGCCTTACGACAATCGTAAAATGAACTTGAAAATCACAGATTTTATACATATTTTTTGTTTTGTTATTTATTTGACTGACTGATGTTTCTCGCGAGTATCTCGTCGATGAAAAATTCACACAAACAAACAAATAAATCCCACATCTCGCCAAAAATATCGTTTCGTGATGAAAAATGATCATTATCATTAAGTGAAAGGAAATTCAGGGAAACTTAACTCACTGAACAACTTCACCTTACGCAATAATTGAAGAGGCAACACCACAAGTAGATGACGACTAATATTTTATCGTGAACGAATCATTTCATGTAAACAATTTATCAGCGTGCGCAGATTTATATAACAAAAAGTGTTAAACATTTTGTGTTCTTTTTTTCGAGTTATAAACATGCGTGGGAGTTCATTTTAGACTTCGAAAACGTAACGGCGGCATTTATCTCATTCAAAACACATTCCGATTTCTCAACAATGAAACAGAAACTTATGAATGAATAAAGTCAGCATGTGGAATGAGAAATCGAACGCGTCACAATTTTATGAACCAGATGAGGACGTTTTACAAGCGTATTAATGAATTAGATCAGCTTTTTAATTGACCTATTGACGTGCACGCAAACGAGTTTTATTTATCGCTGACTTAGAAACTTAGTCGGTCGACCACCAAAGTGTTCAATCTTATTGCGTATTGGAAAATCGTTGCAACTCAAACATGTGTTAACAACACCGCTAATGTAAAGTTCGTTTCTATTCACTTATGTCCGTCTTTTTACGACTTATACACGTTTCATTGAAAGCATCAAAATGATTTCTACGTTACTCAAATCTTCATGCATGCTGAACATTTAAAAGCCGTTTAAACAAAAGATCAGATAAATTTTTCATTTTTCAATTGCATTTTGTGAGTTAAAAGGAAGAGAAGAAAAATGTGATGAGAAAATATAAATTGAAAACAACAGAAACCTGTTTGCTAAACAAACGAGCAAGTGAACAATATTTCACTCACTTTATTTATCTTGGGGAAAAGTTTTTTTATTGTCCGTCGTTTTACGAGTAAACTTTTTTGTTGTCTTCTTCTAACATTTAAATGCCATGGTAGGGCGATGGATGTCCCATCAAATGACACTTAATGATACTCATGTGATTATTTACGAACTTCATACATATAAATTTGTCATCAAAAAAATTTCAACAATCAAACAAGTGATCTTAGCTACTTACACACCGCGACCGTGCAATAAATGTTTCTTTAGTTCATTTTATTCCAATTTTGATGTCAAGGTTACTTGTGAATAAAATTAATAATCGCAAGAAAAGTATGGAAATGTATTTGAAATTCAGATTGTGTTTGTGTCGTGCAATTTAAGTTTTTTTTCTTCTCTCTGTTGATTTACTGTTTAACATTGTCGAAAATCGCAAAATCGGCTGTTTCAACGATGCTCATTGAATTGATTCATCTTCGAGTTCATTTCTTTCCCATTCGTTTTCACATTTCTCATGTGTTTATGCATGTCGGAAAGTCTCTTTTGAAAATTTCTTTTGTTTTGTTTTTAAATCTTACGAAACCGCCGAAAAAATCTGAATTACATTCTTCGTCTTCTCGGTTTTGAAACTCGTGCAGAAATTCAGATTATTGTGTGATCTTTCGAGAACCAGTTTCTTTGGTTTTTTGTGATTATTTTTTATTCATCAAGTCTTTTTCATTTTAGGATTTGACGAGAAAGAGAAACTGCGATCATAAAATATCTAAACATCAGCACTTAAGAATCGCATGTTAATAAAGCAAATAAAATATTCCAAAAATTCTCTTGAGATTATTAAGCGATCTTTCAGCCTTCACGAAAATTTCATCCCATAGCTTTTCCATGAATCTTTATTTTTAGATATTTTGCGTCATAATCAAGATTTCTTTCTCATGTGGCGTCGAGATTTTTGTTTTAAAAAATTATTTCATTTCTTTTTTATTTTTCTTGATGAAAAAGTGTAGAAGGAAAATCTGTTTTTTATTATTTTTTCATTAATTTCTTTCTCAATGTTTGAGTCACGGTGGAGATGTGAGCTAATGTTATGAGAGTTTACATGACCAAGGTCGCAGTATTTCAAGTATGAGCAACACTTCTAATCTCCATTGAGAGTTCGTTAAAACTTTTAATTATTCAAATAACTAAATGAAGTAGCTTTGAATCTGTTCTTCCATCAGTTTTGTTAGAAAAGTTGACCAGAAAGTCAGTTTTTGTGATATGATGTGACAGGTATGGATATGGGAAAAAACCGCAAATAAATAAATTGGAATAATATCGAATTATGTACATGAGAAGAGAAAATCTTTCAATCGCTTCTTTGTTCTATTTTTCTGTTTTCACGAGAATTTTAACCGCAAATAACACAAACAGCAAAACTTGATATCCATAATGTTTCCTTATTTGGCTATTGTACCAATATTTTTCTCCTTCTCTCTCACTCTGTCATTCGAAAAAAGATTTCAGGCTCATTTCGTGATTTCCAATTCGTTTTACAATGACTCGACATTGAAACAACTTTTCGCGAACATGTTTATAAGTTTGATCATCAACCCTGTGCACCGTACATTTTATGCATACATACATCATCTTTAATTATAATTTCTTATTTCATTCCTCCGCACTTTTTATTTTCATCGTATTTCAAAGAGAATTAATTAGAAGTTAGATTGATGATTCAATCGGAACTAACAAAATTAACTTTGCTCATTAAAGCGAATTTCTATTTTAATCTTCTTGTCAACCACACACATAAAGTTTGAATAGCTGCTGTCAATTAATTTTTATTCTTTTGTTCTTGCAAAATTGAATTTTTACACCTTTATACGTCTACCTTGCTAAGTGGGCAGACTGAGCGCGATACGGCGAAAATAAATTACATCACTATTTCTTTCGACGACGTATGTTTTTCACTCTACGACAGAATATATTTAAATGGTTATAAAATCGTTTAAGCATAAAATAGACCATTCAAATTTCACTCGACTACTTTGAGTCATCAATTTCCTTTCGTTTTCACACCTTCTTCTATTTCTTCTGACCTTTTGTTGTTATTTTTACTTTGCTTTCTCGTGAACGAAGAAAAGAAATAAATATCAACGTCAAATGATAAGATTAGATTCACAATAAATGACGTTGCGCGAAATCGTGCTTGAATGCTTACTATATGATTTGATGTAGATGTTTGCTCGAAGACGTTTCTTTTAAGACTGTGAAATATTTCAAAATAAATTATTACGGAAAGATTTCTTATAAAGTTTAACGGTATGTTCAAATTTGAACACGAAGTTCTAATGAATTCGCTTTTGTTCAATCATAATATTGAACCCCTGCTGTGTGCGAACCCTGCTCGAAGTTCAAAATAAAATCATCAACAAAAACATTATACCGAATAAATTTTATAATATCATCCTTAAAAGCTCAAAATAATCCTCAATCTTTCTATTTCATATTATAATAACATACTAAGAGAACATTCTAGTAATTGAATATCTTAAAGATGGCTTTGTCAATGCAAAAACGAAATAATGTAAGTCTTACAACTTTAAAATTTGAAAACATGAATTAACTTTGAATACCTTTATAAATTGCAGGTTCGACTTCCTCCAGAGGTGAATAGAATACTTTATGTTAGAAATCTACCTTATAAAATCACATCAGATGAAATGTATGACATATTTGGAAAGTATGGAGCGATCAGACAGATCCGTGTTGGAAACACTTTAGAAACAAGAGGTGAGCTCAAATCGAAGTTATCAAGAGATTAAAATTATATTGGAAGCTTTTTCACTTTCAGGCACAGCTTATGTGGTATATGAAGACATCTGGGACGCCAAAAACGCTTGCGATCATCTTTCAGGTTTCAACGTTTGTAATCGATATTTGGTCGTCCTCTACTATCAAGCAACAAAAGCTTTCAAACAGCAAGATTTAACAGCAAAGCACGAGGAGCTTGAGAAGATGAAAGCTAAATACAATATAAGTTCTGATGATTTAAGAAAATAAATAATTTTAATTTTAATGAAATGTTTTTGTGTTTTATTCGGTGAAAATCTTAAAATGGGATTAAAATTTATTCAATTGTTTCAATGAACCCACATGAATTGTTAGCATCAAAGAAAAAATAATTGAAATGTGGAGCTTCTTTTTGAGAAACAGCTTTAATTACTTCATGAGCAACAGCACCACCAACAATAGCAGCACTTGGAGAAATTTGAGCAAAGACATGCTCGAAGTAAATGTCAGGAACAATTTCAACTGACGAGATACCATTACGAATTGCGAGAAGCTTATTGATATCTTCTTCACGAGAACTTGGCATTGGATCGCGTTTTTCATCTTCTCGGAAGTTTTGAAGAATTTTCATGACGAGATAAGCTGGACCAGACTTCTTCATTCGCTTGGTGAAACTTGGAGAGTTGTAATCAAAGTTGATCACCGATTCAAGTGAAGGATACTTGAGAGAACGTTTTGATGGAGTTGTGATGATTTCCGTCTTTATCTTCTCATTCGGTTTAGAAATTATTTTATGTTTCACGACATCTCTGAAAAGATTTTCTTCGTCAATAAAATATTTAAAAAAAATAATTAAATTATTTACTCTACAAATTCATGATCTTGTAAATCAATGAAACTGAATCCAAACATTCCCCACATATCAGTTGCATAAAATTTAATGTTGTTTGCACGACAAATGTTATTGATGCGAATTTGTTCAGCGATTGTTGATTCAAGAATGACAACAACATCGAAAAGTTTGAAGAAGTCTTCACCTTTATCCGAAAGTAATCCTGTATCAATCTTCACTTCAACCATAGGATTCAAAGCTTGAGCTCTCGAGAATGAAGACTCTGCACGATTTTTATTCAAACAATCTCGTGGAACAAGGAAATTCGATGCAAAATCATTTTCGGTGACAATTTGATGATCGAGGAATGTTACAGATTTCACACCACCAAGAATAATATTTTTAGCTATCTCAGCTCCTAGTCCATTCAAGCCAGCGATCAGAATTTTCGAGTTTCGCAATCTTAAATTATTATATGAAAACATAAAATTAAAAAGAAACCTAATCAAGATTGAAATTTACCGTTTTTGATTTTCCAAGCCCCATAGGCGAATTTGTCTATCGTACAATTCAGCTTCAGCAGGAGTGAGTTCACTGTGATCATGTTCTACCATTTTTGAAGTTTAAATTAAATGAAATACTGCTTTTCGTAGATAGTTATAAATGGTATTTCGGCAACTCTCATAAACAACACCGGCGTCAATTTGCCTTTAAATTGAACTTGAGCGAATTGAGCTTTTGATATTTTTGAACTTAAATTGATTAAAATTTTCTGTATCGTCCACAAAGAAAAATAAACAAATTGTCATCATTGATTTAAATAACAAAAGCCGCATTAAATCGGGATCTGTGCAATATGAAAGAGTGTTGCTCTCATCAAGAAGAGGCAATTGGTGATTTGTTTAAAACGTTAATAAATAATTACATCCCTTTTTGGATAATATTCTCCATCAGCTGCTTCGCAATTGTTATCATTCGTTTCATCTGGAAGAAGAAAACTGATGATGTAGGAGATGTTGGCAACAATTTCTCAAAGAAATTAAAAGAAAATTAAAGTAAGAATAGCACAAATTTATTAAATGCCACCAGAAAAAGTTTTCACCTATAAAATTTCTTAAAATTAAAAATTTCGTGTAACATTCTAAGACGTAAAAATTTTATTTGTAAATATCTTCTAACTAATTGCGCAATTCTTTAAAAGTTTATGAAGATTTTTTTCTAACTGCTGCTGTTGCAAAAAAAACAATAAAGCTGAAAAGTTCATATAGCGTATTCTCATGAGTTCTATCTATAATTGTGACCTTAATTAATGCAACAACAATTTTAAATTTCATTTTTTTTGTTTGAATTACAAATAAAACATTCAAATCAATAAAATAATATTTACTCTTATAATCGATTGAAATAGCTTGTCTAAACTACATTTAATCGACAAAAATGTCTTTGAAGTCATTAGCTTTCGGCAGGAAGAAACTTTTCTGTTTCACTTTTATATCAACAGAGCTTTCAGCATCTGATGTGTACACATCAGACTTGCTGATTCTTCTAAACGCTTCATTTTCAATAAAGTTTTGTTCGTCTATCAAGCAAATTCTACCAAATCTGTCATATTTGATTGGTAGAATATTTTTGTTTAAATTGTCGCGATCGAATTTCTCCAATCTTTTAGGCAGTAAAGACGACGAACTTTTGACTAATGGACAATCTCGATGTGTGCATGTATCATCTGTTTTCTCACTTTCGCTTGCTGTTTTTCTCAAATATCGCTTCTTCCTGTTTTTCCCGTAGAAAGGATCACGTTCACTTGCTTTAATGTATTTCATCGGAGGATTTCTGACACCCCACGGTGGTCGATTTTCAGATTTCTTTTCCTTAGCCTTCCCCAAAGTGTCTTGTTGATTATAATTATGTGCTGCGTCACTTTCATCAATCACTTGACTTTCCATACAATGTTGATGATGATGTTGAATCTTGTGCTGATATGAACAATATTCGCAAATTAAAATTGATTCGGTTTGCGTTCCTATCGTATTGGAGTTGTTTCCTTTCACTCTTAATTCGTTTCGATATTTTTGTGGCGTTAAAATTTTAACTTCACGCGCTTCATCGTCAAATTGACTTTCGGTTGATGTTGACGTAAATGCGTCGTGCGTGTGACATTCGTCTTTGGTGAAGGTTCCGTCATGTGGCAAAGTTGTAGGTGTAGAGAAAGTATTAACATCCGATTCGTTTGTGGTTGTTGGAATCGATTGCGTGACATTTTCCGGCAAAAGTAATGTGTCGTGTTGTTTATCGAGTGTGTCAGAAGATTTAAAATCTTTGCCTTCTTCCAATGGTTTTTCACTTTGACAGGAAAGATCGGGAGAAGGCGGGACAGATTGAATCTTCATCGTCTGACAGTCGTCATTGACAACTTGCTTTGGTTGTTCAACTTGTTGAATTTGAAGAGTGATTGTTTGCTGGTTATTTTGTGGAATTATAAATTGGCTCAAATCCAACTTGTCATTGCTGTTACTGGTTATCATTGTCATGTCTTTATGGATTAATGGAAGCATAAGATTTGGGCTGTTTAATCGATTTTGTGTTGCCATCAATAGAGCTAAACTGTTTAATTGATTTATCGCAAACATTTCATTTGTTAATGGAACAAAAGGAACTAAAGGCATCGATTGCAAGACCAAAGCAATTCCATCAAGTTCTGAAAACATTTTCTTTTGTGGCTTTTCCTCCGAAGAACTTTCTCCAGATTTCGCTGTTTTTGGAAGTGCTTCATCTTCATCACTCGTGGTCTTTGAATCTTCAACATTTGATGATCGTTTGTTAATAAATTTCTTTCGAAATGTTTCGAGATTCTTTTTCTTAAGCTTTATCGGTGTTCCAATCAAAATCGTTTCGCCATCCCCATCTTCATCATCTCCGTCCATGTTTGTTGTGTCAGATGAAAGTGTTTGCGATGCATTTGAATTTTCATCGCTCGCTCGAGGTGTATTGTAGCCCGATTCCACCTTCTGATTAATAATTATTTCTGTCTTCTCGCCAATCTTCTGAACGCTAATCGTTTCATCAACTGCATTCTGCATCGCTAACTTTTCACGTCTCTTCCGTTCTCGATCTAATTGTGCATCGAGTGCAGCTTTTTCAAGAGCTTTCCTCATTGCTTCTTCTTTCTTTCTCTCAGCTTCAAGTTTCTCATATTGGAGATTCTGTTCATACTCGAGTCGTTTCCTTTCCATCTCAACTTGTTTTGCAACTCGTTCTTCTTCCATTCGTTCGAGATGAAATTGCTTTTCCTTCTCAAGTTTCTTTAAGTTCTCTCGTTCTGCAAGTTGTTCTTTTATGGCTTGCTGAAGTTCTACAGCCTTTCTTCGTTTATTTTCACGCTCCGCTAATACCATTGGGTCAACCGGCACATTCTGTCCTCGTAAGAACGATGACACCGACTGCATGGAAATCGACATTGTATCTTCCTCACTATCGCGAGCTTCATTCAAACTTTTCTCCAACCAAACTGGGCCATTCGTGTTTCTAGAGCTTCGTCCATTATCCTTTGAGAATGAATCAAAGAGATAGGAGCCCCACTTAGCCCTTCCACCTTCACGTGAACCTTTCTGATATGTCACTGACGATTCAATTGCCGACGAATTCGCAAAAGACGACACGGAAAACACATCATGGCTTGTTACTGATGACGTTTCCGATGACGGTGTGCCAAGTGATCTAGCGGGGAATAAAATATCGATTAACTATGAAAAAACATTTGTCGACACAATTTGCGATAACATAAAAATATGAAATCGTAAAAGTACTTCTATTTCTATTTCTGGATGAAAGAAGGAAATTGTTTCAATGTCTTGTTCTTTTCTTTCTGTTTCGTTGTCATAACTTATTAGTGGGAATTAATATTAAAAAAGTTGGCTACTTACTTATGACTGTTGTTGTATTCCATTTCTTGTTCATTTGTTGTCGACGATGAGTAATCGTTTAGTGACGAAGTCAACGAAAGCTTTTTTAAACTCTTTTGCTGTTTCTGTATTTGATGTTGTTGATGTCCCTGATTAGGATGAAACTTTTCGTCTAAACTATCAAATCTTGTTTGACTGTAATTGTAGTCATAATTTGGTTGAGTGTCAATGGTGTTGTTAGCATTTGGTGGGAGACTATTACTTCCATCACCACCACCGCCACCACTCAAATACCCTGAAGATTGATCAGAGTTGTTGCTACCTTGACTGTGAACGAACAAACAAGCGACAAAAATGAAATGAACAGAAACAAAGAAAGGGCTTTGAGTTTTATGGCGAATAATTAACATGTCGCCCACCAACGAAGGTCACTCATCGTCACTTTACGTAATTTTTCGCTCTTTTCTTGAAGGAAAATTCAATCAAATCAATCATTCGATGAAAAAGAAAATTCTTGACTCGTGCAACCCTTTCAAGCACGCGATCACAAATCAATGACACAATTTACTTATTTTCGGAAATAAAATAAGTTGAAGACGCGTTTTATCAATTTATAATAAGGAAAATAGAACTTACCGTGTCATTGTCTTGTCAATGGGTGGAAGACTCGGGCTTCGAATGCGTCTCACGTTGAAGTTTTTCTGGTGGAAATTATTCTTCTGATTAACGACTTCCGTGTTGGTTATCAGTTGGGTTCTGTTGTTACTATAATTATTTATATTTAAAGACAAATCGAACGTGCTTTAATTTACCTGATTGTGTTTCTTTCATATTTCGATGCGAGTTGCGAATGGTATTGTTCAAGCTTCGCCATCTCTTCTGCAAATAAAATAATTTTCCACTTTTTAGCACTGAAAACCTTAATTTTACTTATGTTCACTCATTTCATTGAAATATGCAAATGAAAACTTAAGCTACGATATTATTCAGCATAAAAATAAATGAAAATGAGATTTAGGCAGCACATTCACCTCGCTCCCTTGCCCATTGCATTTTCTTTTGTTCCACTAACGAAAGCTCTCGATTTAAATTGTCTTTATGATCTTTAATGATCATTTCTGGTAATTTCTAGACACACAGTTTAATTTATTTTTCACTTTATCTTTAATTAACTAAAGACAAGAGAAAGAAATTGAGTTTTAAGAGAACTTTAATTCAAACACGCACCAGTATTGGAAGGTGAACGGCAACTAAAGTACTGGTCTGAATTTGAATTGCTATGCTTGTAAAAGCGAAGGCTTTTTCCCTTCGTATTTGATCAATAATTGTCACGTTGTTATGGAAACTTAAATGCTTCAACAAGGAAAATTGTAAGCCGTGAAAGTTCTGTACAGAAATGCAACAAAATGAAAATAGTTTGAATTACGGTATCAGACAACTGACGGTATTGCCAAAATAACAAAAAAATTAACCGCAAAATGTTTGGTGAATATCCTCGAAAAGTTGAAAGAAATTTCAGAACGTGAGAACTAATGCAGGAAATGGAGCAAGAAAAAGAGTTTCCAATTTGGTGGGTTAATATCATGCACGGCTATGAAATAAAATGAAAGATTTGGAATGAGATTCAACAAGCGGATTCACGAGACGAAGAGAATGAAATGTGTTTGTGGAAAACTGGGCCATCACTATGAAAATCGGAAAAACAACAAATGTGTTGATTGTCTGTAAATGAATAAATGAATGGAATGAAACGAACGAGTGAAAGTTCCTTGAACCGCAACGAGGGTGGCATTGGGTTGACGCCAAAGTCTCGATCTCGATCGTGCTAAAAGAAGCTTTTTTCTTGTATTTTGTTTCTCACACACGCTTCTTAGAAATGAATTTTGTTTAAATTAGTTTTTTCCTCTCTTATTCACTAATGAAGCACGTTCAAGGTGCTGAAACTTTTCGAGTAATAATCGCGACAAAATATTTTTAAACATCAGACGAAAACAAATTTGAAAGTCGATAGGAAGAAACAAGATATGGGGTCGAAAAAATTCTTCAGAACCTTAAACTGGTTCTAATCGGATCGCCGACAGCGTTGCGTCTTCTTCGATCTTGTTTCTTCTTTCAATCGATGTTTTTTTTTTCGAACGTCTGAAAATTCTTAAATTACATATATTCGATTTCCAAACTCAGCCGCCATTTGATTATTAAAGTTGAGAATAATTTTTTTTCGAAAATTAAATTGACGATGATCACGACATTGAAACGACCTCGACAGACACGATAGCAGAATTATTCATGAACGATAATGATGCTGATGGAAGGATTGAAGAACAATTTTCTCACATTATTAAGACGCTTCTGTTTCTCTTGGTAATGCTTCGCTATTGTTTACTCAACTGGCAACTCATTGATGAAAATGTTTTCAACTAACAATTCCGTTTCTCGTTAGTTAATTCTTTTTCTTTTATTTCTAACGACAATGACACAAAAGACTCAACTTGTTCTGCAAAAATTAAACTTTCTTAACGACGTGTTGAATGCTGATGTCGCGCGTACATTTTGTACGTGATGTTGTCAAAAATATCATCGAATCACGACTGACCAACTGGGATATTATTTCATACATGTTTCTCCTTTTATTATTCTCCGAGAAGAAAATTTATGCTTCTAGAATAGAACAATAAAGATTTCTGTTGTTGAAAGAAATTTTAGGAATCACGAAAATGTTTTGGTTGTGATCAATGATGTGTTAAATAAGCACAATGAAATTCAATCGAATTTTAGGTTGAGTTGATTTTTTCAATTAACAACGACAATGGCAGCTTTCAGTTTATTTTATCTGATAACATTAAAGCGAAGCTTAAAATTATTAAAGAGAAATTTCATTTTTGTTTACTTCTTTCTTTTCAGATTACCCGCAGTGCAATCATTAATAGTTACGAGATTATTTTATACAAAATTATTTATCAGTTACCTCATTACAATTAAATCCTCTGGTGCAATATATCTACATGAGTTTTATTGGAAATATTTATTTAAGTCTGTGATAAGTTGGAATTTTATTTGTAACTTTTAACACGATGAAACATCACGCAACATAAATTTCGTCAGAAATTAGATAAACGGTAAGTAAACATCATTAATCTTGATAAATATATTTAACAGGCCAATTACGTTCTGTGACATTAATTAAGTAAACCTTCTTCTTCCTTTTTACTCTTAAAAATAAAATAAATTAAACTGTCACAACAATTGAATTAATTTTTTAATTGAAACCATTTGAAAAATCCGATTTTTAAATGCACAAAATCTTGTTTTTAGTTAACAATCATGAATGTCAATCAAGAGAATTATTGAGTTGTTAACATCTTACCGGAATGTAAGTTGTCGAATATGTAAATAGTTAAATGTTGTTAATCGTCTTATATTTCTATGGAAAAATTTATTATTATAAAAGCATGAGAATTACGAACAAGTTGTTGGTCATTTTGCTAGCAGCTCAACAAAAGCCGTTCACTTTCCAGCTGTCAATTATAATTCCAGTGATTAAATGTAGGTTATCGATTGTCGCTCGATGCAATAGTAAAGCAAACTTGAAACGATTGCGAGCCTCTGCAAGTGAATTACGCAACATTTGCTTTTCCAAGTCGATGAACTTTGTTTTGTATACATATCTACATAAATTATTTAATTATTGATTTTTTCCCTTTCATAACGAAGCGATTTCTCATTTAGATGTTGTCGATTTTAAATTACAATTCATGGCATAAGAAATTCTAAGAAATCACATTTATGCATAAAGTCAATTAAATTTCTTCCGATTTTTATTGCTTGTCATTGTTTTGTGACATTTTGTGCATCTTCATTCAGTTACAGTTCTATTAATGATGATAAAACGATGTACAAATGCGAACATTGACTCATGTACACGATAAAGAGAGAAGAATAAGGCATTTGAACTGTGATTGGGACAATTTGTTGAGAGAGGGAAATGAACGGCAGTGTATAACCAATTTAATCGATGAAAAATGCAATAAAACGTTTCGTTGTCAGATGACACGATTGAATGATAAATAAAATGTTGAGTAATAATTGAAGGCGAGCTTCTCTGGTGGTTCGTTGATCTCACGCAAAGCATTTGAACCTCGAATGTGTTCGTTTGTTCATTCGTTCGACTGCTTGCTTACTCGTTGTTGTTTGTCAAGCACTTAAATGTGCAGTGAAGTCTTTTACGATTTGGGTTATCAATTGTTCTAGATTTTTATGTCTCCGTCTTCAACAATTCAACAAAACAAAATCTCTTTTGGTTTTTCGTGAAAGTTTCTTTCATTTAAATTTATTTCATTCTTAAGTTTCGGTTTATTGTTTCAATTTCAATCTCGCGTGAGTCATTTGTTAATGTAAAGCAACATCTACGCCAATGGCGGTTTGTAGTCTCCTTCATAAATAACATGCATTAAAACCTGTCATTAAATTGCGGTTGTAAATAATTGGTCCATGGTGCAAAAATGTTCGAAAGTTTATTGGCCGCGTAATGCAAATGAAATGAATTCCAAGATTCGAAGACTCTTTTTAATTGCCGACTATGATTGAGTTTTTTTTCGGCGAAACGAGAAAAAGACAAAAAAGGAAGAGAAAAACTACAAAACATCGAACATTGAACTTGTTGCACGAATTCAACAAAACACCACTAATTGAGCTGAATGAAGACACGAAGTTAAAGAACTTCAACTTGTTTGCTTTCTGATGATTCAGAATATTCTTTCCTTCGTCTCTTTTTATTTCGGGAGAAGGAAGATAAAGATGATTAATCATCATCATCATCAGCACAAGATAAATAGTGGAGACGAAGTAAAATACTTAAGAAATACCTTCGAATTCTTTACGAAAGCAACTGTAAATCTTTTTATTCAGTTCTTTGTGCATCATTGTTCCGTTCTTTAACGTTATCCACACAATACACCGCATACTTACTTACTTACATTCAGTTCAAACTGTCAGAGTGTCAGCTAAAGAATGGTCAGTGTCAGTTTATGATCGCTGCGCAATTGAAGAAATTTTCTGAATACTAAAATAATAAGAAAGCAAATAAATAAGAAAACAAGAAAGTGAATTTGTTGAGTGCAACATAAATATTAACATACAATGACTGCAAAAGTATTTTTCAATTACTTACAACAATGAAATGTAAAATGGATCATCGTAGATATTTAACTGGATAAATTCACTTTTTATTATCGATATTGTCGAAATCACCCCAGACCTACCCCACATGACAATATGTTGCGATTATCGAAGTGAAACCACAATTTCAATTCAATTGAATTTCAAGCTCGTCGATTGACGTACTTTAACAACTTCGATCATCATCATCTCCTACATAAAAGCTTTTCTTTTCTTTTCCTCCATTTGAATTTCTCTTTCGCAAAACCTGAATGCAACATTGTTGCTGAAAACAAAATAAACTTTTTAATTTCTTCCCTCACTTTGACACAATTATTTTCACTGTAACAACAACATAAATGAAGTATCAATAATATCTTTTAAACTCTCATTTATAGCAAGAGTAAACAACGCTTAACATTTGTCATCTGCAAATATAAAACTTTTCGATTAATCATCAATAATAAATAATTTCATTTCATTATCAACTCGCAGACTGTTGTGAGAATTGTAACGACGCTATACCGTCCGGGATCGATGATGATGAATAAAGAATACTTATTTATGTTTTATTTTAAATCGTTTTCTTTTTATGTCTTTTCGTGACCGCGGCTCGCTCTAGACTGAACTCGATACTCTCTCGAGAGAGCGAGAGAGAATCTCAACCGGTACAAGAATGAAAAAAAGTTTTAATTGAAAATTGAGGCGAGGAAAAGTTATGCGTGAGTTGTTCTGTTTGTACTTAAAAATTAGGTCATTTGACATTATCAATCGTTAACTAAGCAAACAAAAAAAATTTACGAATATATTTTCATGGCTGATATCGCGAGGTTTTCATTTTTGCAAATGTGTAGAGTTAGAAAAAATATTTTCGCATTGAAATTTTGACATCGTCAATTTTATGGCGGTTTTCTTGCGTGTTTTAATGACAGTTTTACAAGTTTAAAACAGTGAAGAACATGATGGTTTGCTGTTGAGGTTGTTCGCTTGATAATTAAGATGCAAATGTTACAATCTTATGCTAATCGTAAAAAACTTTGTAAACAAACGTCAGAAGATTCTTAAAATTATTCCTTGATTGTCTTCACTCATGTTGCACTTTGATCTCACTTATTTTAAAATGCAAATCAACGACAATGATAACAAGCGAGTTACATCGAATCACAAACATTTGAAATGTGAATTTTATTTTTCTTTTTATTTTGCTTTACAAAATAACATCGCGAACAGAAACGTGATGAATAATTAGAGACTTGAATAAGATTATAAAAAGAAGCTTAATTCACTACACTGCCATCATGATGAGCTCCACCAACAGCCAACATCCAACACATTGCATGGAAAGCCCACATGACTCACTCAGGTTTTGCACATAATCTGTTGGACAGAAAGAGAAGAGAAGAAAGTGGTTGAACTGTATAAATTATCGTGACAGCAGCGGCTTAAACTAAATAAATAGCTCAATATCGGTGCGAAAAAAAAACTTTACTACGTGGATCTCTTCGTCTCATTCATTTGCCGGTTTTAACATTTATCACGGTGGCAGCATTTAAATAAACGATTGTAACAATAAAATATCGAACGCACAACCAACAGCAACTTTCTCTCGCTCTCATCTGTTTGCTGTCAGGTATTTACAGTGATAGTCGACTACATTCAAAAACTATCTCAAACTTTTCCATCGTTTGTCTTAGAAAACTCCTTCGAATTGCCAGCAACACTCTCGACACGATTTAATTCTCTCGTGACGATATCGCACTCAAGTGCATTCACATTAATTTATTTTTATTCATTTTTTTCTTATTATCTCGCAATTCAACAATCACTGACCGCAATTCTAGTCTCCTTCATGACATGATGAATTGATAAATATTCCAACATTTATTTTAATGGCCATTTCACTTTCTTACTTCATCGCTTTTACTCTCATTTCTGTAATTTTCCTTTCATGTCTTTTTACTTTCGTTATCTTTCAAACTATTTTCTTATAAATATTCTTCGTGTTGTCGACAAACAAGCACGTGCATTTAAATAAAATTAGAAGAGAGAGAAGTGATGAGCTGAAAGAATTGAAAGAATTTGATGCTCAATGAAGAAATATTTTTAACTTAAAAACTCGTTTTGGTTAAGAACATAAATTATATTTTAAGAAGCAACATTAAAGTGCAATCTTGTCTCACTCTCGTTTACGATGATTCTTTGTTAAGTTTCATTTGAGACCGAAACCAACACATGAATGTGTGTAATGGTAACAACAATTATGTAAGAAAGAATCAACTGCGTAATCATGAGAAGCTCAAAGAATTTATTTAGTAGCTGAATGAATGTCATGCGTTTGATAAATGATTAAACTCATTGCGTAGTCAACTAAATTGAAGAGAGAATTTCATATTCTCTGACTCAGTGGCCACCCAGAAAAATCTTACAGTTACGCAATTTAAACTTCAATATTTAATTTGTCATCAAAACATCTTTGTTGCGGAATTTTCTCACCTGTTTACTTTGGCGATCTTCAAATACTAAACACAAAGTATCGCGAGAGAGCTTTTTCATACTCATAGACTTTTTTCCCTCACAATATTTTTATTTTTATTATTATTTTGTTTTTTTTTTAATTCCATCCAACGCCAAAAGCCGAAGCGACTCGTACAAAAATATTTTCCAACATTGAATGAAGCACAACACACAAAACAAAATAATATTTCAGTCTCTTTTCAATCGTTGAGAGGAGCAGTTGTGGTGTGAAGCAGCTGACAAGGCAACGGTTGAGATAGTCCGTTTATAAAGTTTTTGTTCGCTCTGTGTTTTTAAGCAAATCATCGCCAAAAAAAAAGTTTTTTTTTAAATATATTTTCGTATTTTGTTGATGTTCCCATTACTGTTTACACACTCTTTAAGTTTTCTTTCGTGAACTCAACATACGTCAAAGCTTTTCATGTGACAGTAGACAAAAGTTCAAACAGTGCGAGAGTGAAAATACAAAAATGCATCAGATGACAACGACGTAATCAAGCTCAAAAGACTCACAAAGTGGCTTTAACCCAATTTTCTCTCCGTCTAAGCTCGTGGTGGTAGGAAGAAAAATCAAGCAAATTTCGATTTCATCTGTTTGAGAGTGAAAACTGTGTCGATTGATGAACGAACGAGTACGTGTAGCGTGAGAGTAAGAAATATCAAAAAACGTCGCTTTCGAATTAACTCAAATAGTGATAAAACTTTAAAAGTGTTTTTGTTTTTTGAGTTTCGTGTTTTTTTTTGTTTCTGTCGGTGACGAAGACGTTGAAGAGAATTTTACATGAAATTGCAAAAGCTCATCGCATCGTCAGTTGATGTTGTTCTAATTTTAAAAGAAAAATATTGAACTTTAAAGTAAACGGCATCAAACAAACCAGAGTGGAGAATCTAAAAATAGAAGAAAATATTTTTTGTTGCTTTAATTAACACGAGTGGATAGTGAATTAAAGAAAGAAAGAAGTAAAGAAAAAGGAGAGAAGGAGAATCATTGTGCAAAACGAAAAACGTATCACTCGTTTGATAAAATATCGTGAGGGTTAATCGTGAAAGGAAATCCCGGAAAGAAAAAAACGATAAAAGAAAATCTTGTGTAAGTTGATTTGATTGATTTTTCTTTTTCTATTTTCGAGAGTTAATTTTTCCGAAGAGAAAATAATTTTTCCATTTTTTGTGACGAAATGTTAGTTTTTCAATGGTAACCGTAGCAGCGCAAATGACTTTTCCATGAACAGTTCATTGAACTTTTCATCAAATTACTTTCAAATCTAATGTCTTGCATTTGAAGGCGTTCCACGAACGTGAATTGTGATTGAGAAATCGCTTTAACTATTTTAATTTTTTGTTTTTGCAACTTGAACATTTTCAAAGCCTTGCTTAGAATGTAAATTGATTTCCTGTCGATTATTCAAGAAACTTTATATCAACTTTGATTGCTTATGAGGCATATACGAATGTGTGTGTATGTGCTGTTGTGTTTTCTTATCTTATCATGACCGATAACCTATTTGGGACCGTCGTATGCCTTTACGTTGATCTTATGTTTGGTGGTGTTTTTCGAAACTTTTTTATCTCTCATTTTGACACTTTAAGTCACCTAAAGATAAGAACGAAAATGCCTCTAACGAATGTAAAAGACGTAAAACATTTAAGATAACCGCGAAATGAACGCTTGTAGTCGAAAAATGAATAATTAAATATCAGCTGCTTCTCAGCATTATCGTTTCATTATCATTCAACACCATTTATCAACGTATTGAGTTAAAAAATGTTTTCCAAGTGATCAGTCTCAGGGAATGATCTTGAAAGAGTTCATTCACATAACGCTCTCGCGCTGGTTTCATGGTCAACGTCAAAGAAAAACAAAACATCAACTAACCAACTCGCGATGTGCTTAGAAACGTGTTGAATTTGTTGTTGGATATTTTGGGGGAGATTTTCAAGGACGGAATAGTCAAAACTATAAAAAGACTTCTTAATGCGTCGTAAATAAGTTGTCGGAACAAAAATCTTTTCTTACACTTTGCTTCACTTTCATGTAGCAGAGAAACGAAGAGATAATTGCGTCATGTTGTGTAACAGCTTAGGACGAAATAAAACTCGATTAAAATTCTTCTACGATTGGATTAGTTCATGAAGATTGATGTAAAGGTTAAGCTGAGGTCGAATTCATTTCATAACAACTTCATCAACCCTAAACTTGACTTGATTTTCCGCCTATTTTGTCATTGATAATGGCCAGAATAAAATTAATCAATCAAACTTATTTATGGGAGAAGGCTTTGGGCCTCTTATGAAGTAATTTTTGTGTCTCTAGCTCTCTCAGTTTTCTTCGTTCACGTGTTGCTAGAAAAGAAACTTGTTTAATAAATAGTTAAAACAAAATTCATTCACGCCTACAATTAAGTTTTTAAATGTAAGACATTACTAAAAAACCGTAAATAAATTGTTTTAATCATAAATTTTAATTGATTCCACTTTTGTTGTTTATTGCAAGAAAATTTTTCTTGAATATTGTTAAAGGCTGTCGAGATAACAAATGATGTTGATATGTTGCTAATTAATTGGAATTTTAAAGATTGTAGGTTTTCGATTAACGACAAGAGTTAATTAAGTAGAAACGCCTTACACTTAAATGAACCTGTAGATGAGAATTCGCGTTTTGTCAAATTGGGAATCAATGAGAGTTGTGTAGGTTTTTTCCCTTTCAGGTGATTAAGTGTTTTGGGGTCACAACTTTCAGTTTTTTTTTTCAAAAAAAGGTATTAAGCATGTTTATTGTGTTGCTGTTTTTTTTTTAGCAAAACTTAACACAAAACCAATTTCACTCGCACTCGATTTTTTAAAACTCTCATCGTAGACTTGTACAATTTTTCATTTACTTTCATTGACATTACACGCTAAAAAGGCAATTCGAGTGATGAAATTTCGCAAGAAATTTTAATGTCTTCATGATCAATAGCGAATCTGATCAATCAGCTTGAGTTTAATTGATGGGAAAAGAAGAATGTCATGACATTGTACAAAACATGAAACTTTCCATTTTCAAACCAAAATTTCATCTGTCTCGTCGTAGTCTAATTCACTCTTTCATCGTCATATGAAAGTCAAAATAAATATTTTTGTTAATTTTATTTTTATTTCTCTTTTCTCGCGACTCGCGATCAATTTGTGCGAATTTGTGGAACTAGAACTGTGCCAAAATAATTGAGTTATCGAGAATTGCGGCCATTAAAAAGCATGACAAGTTCACGGACAAACGTGGTTGTTTATTTGTTTATGTAGATAGAAACTTTCATAGATATTTATCTAGAAATTCAAATGAAAGACAACAAAAGCTGAAGAAGATTTTTGACCGACATGAAGGAGAATTTTAAATTATGAAAAATGATGTTTGATGTTTAGATATCTTCTAGAATGGAAGGTGAATTGATTTGATGACTATTAATAATCATTTCATTAGTTTAATAAACATTGTTGTGGTTGTAAATTTTGTTCTTTTTCTGTCTTGGTACTCATGTGACTTCATACGTTCAGTTAAAATTTAATTTCTCTTCATTGCTGACTCAATCTTTCAATTTCATCTTTATGGAGATTCCGCTTGAGTTTCGCAATATTCCGAATTTAATGTACAATCTTAAACATATAATAATAATAAAATAATTTTAAAGCGGCAAAAGTCGCTTATTGCATCATGTGAATGAAATTTTAAGTCGTCAACCAACATCTGTAATGATTGTGGAATGTTGAGATAGGTTCGTGGGGAATTTAGAAAAAAAACACAACTGTAAGTGAAAAATGATTCTTAAATAAATTAAAAACAACACAGTCTTATATTTGATATGTTAAAATGCTAATTAAGCTGAAAATTTATTACATCAAAACTTGATTGCGTATTCGAATTGAAAATTCTACGAAACTCGATCCAACAATGAAGTCGCAGTCAATTAATTAATTTGATTCTTTTTAAAATTATTTTGTTGTCATAATAAAGAATTGTGTCGAACTATGCACAAAAAAATATAATTGCATTGGCCTTGATGGTGATTTTTTTTCTCTCCTTCCACACTTTAATTTAATAATTTCTTGAGTTTCATTGTGGACAAAATTTAACCATAAATTGAATTAAATTATGATTTCATCGTTCATAAACCTTCACGTATTTTTATGAACTTTATCTTCAACCAGTTATCACGAAGCGTTATCAGTTGTCACCAATACATCAGTGACATACAAGCAAGCAACTTACATTTATTTGTTATCTGCAATCAACCACCATTTACGATCTAAACCGGTTGCAACTTGTGGGAACTCTGCCTTTAAATCAAACGAAATTCAAAGGTTTCAAAAACAAAAACGACGTAAAGTGCGTGTCGTAAAGATTTTCAAAGTCATTCTACGATAAAAATCACCAAACGCACATGGTGATGTTTACAAATCTGTCATCCAAAGCTGTTGATTATTTCGCGGAAAAAAAGATCGCAAGCTTGGTTGACTTTTCCTGACACTCAAAAAGCCGAAAATAAATAAAATTTTGAATATTTGCTGATTCAGATGATGATTTCGCTGAGATTTGTGTTTGACAATGACCTCGTTATCAGTGTTTTAATAAATTATTTAAGATGTTATCATGGAAATTAAACAACGTCAACAATGACAGCTTGCATACTTAACCAAAATTAAATTTTCTCGTTGAAATAAAAAGAAAGTTTGATTTCTAATTAAAATCTTAAATAAATGATTTTAAACAAGTTTCGTTTAATTTAATTTTTGAGTAAAAGTTTTCATATTTAAGATTTCACATATGTACATTAAAAGTTTTAAGTTTGTTCAGTTGATTTATGGTTACGTTGGCTTATCTTGTTGACTTTCAGTTGTCTTATTTTAATTTTTTTTTGTCAACATGTCTGAGATTTTATTTAGTGTAAAAATATGGCTTTTAAGCCGACAGCAGTTGGAATTATCAGGCAAGAAATAAGTTGACTTGCTTTTCTTTCGTTGCTCGCTTCTTTGGTGTTAAGATGAGAAACAAAAAGAAGTGAGAATGATATAAAAGAATAACAACAATAATAGTAAGAATCAACAGGCCTTGATCTTGAATTTATGAGTGTTTTTATTCAAGTGAACAAAGTTATTGATATTCTAGACCTTCACCGATATTTTGTTGTTCGCTCTCTCTAACGTAACGTTCCCAAAATATCTTTCCAGACATCTTTTATTATTAAAATGCATGTCTCGAAACACACACAAAACAAAAAAGTTTCTAAAGATTGAAATAAGAAATAAAAAATAATTTTCGGAGGAATTTATTTTTTACTACAAGACTTTCAATTCAATCTAAATTGATTTAGAGCCTTATGCAACCATGACAAAAAACGATATTGAATGTGCTAATAAGAAGCTGAGATCTTAGAAGAATTCAGCAGCACAACAAAAACTTGTACATTCCAAAGACATACGCTCCAAGTAAATAAAATGAAAGACGAGAATGCTTTATCTTGAAGCAAGAAATACATAAATAAAGCAACAAAAAAAAGTGAAGACGAAACTTGACATTGAAAGCGAAAGAAAATTAGTGTTTTTGTTGGAAAATGGAGACGAAAAGAGAGACCGCAAAAAAATAATAATAACAACAGAAAAACGTGATATTTCAAGTTCAAAGTAATTCTGTGAAGTTTAAACTTGAAAGCGGAAATTCGTTAATACATATCGTGTAGTTACAAGCAATTATGATTCACATTCATTATTTTATGCATATAAATTTTTTATTGCATGCATTCAACATTGATGGTTAATTAACCAACAGACAACAAGACGATTCTTCTTCTTCTATTCCTTCTGTTATCACAATTTCTAATTAATTATATAATCGTTGAAGCATACGATAAGCTTTGCCGTCTTTTTTTTTCCTTTCTACCACATCACACAACAACCTGATATTAATGATTTGGTCATGAAACTCACGAACTTGACATTTTCGCGACAAAAATGAGTGAAATTCCGACTGCTGTAAATCGTTAAAAGAAATTTACGAGCTCAAGTTGTCTGTCTGGTGACGATCGTTACTTCAACAAGCACACGAGATTCCTTTCTTCGAATATCGTATCGAAATTCGCTACATTTTTTGGCGATTTATAATCAATCTCTGAAACCTCAAGGCTAACACAGCATCGTTCGTCCGACATCAAACAAACAAATCACCAAACTTAATATGCGCTTTATATTTTAACTTGATTTTAAATCGATTTCTGCTTTAATGTGTTTTAAATAAATTCATGACTTTCAATGAGATTGAAGGAAGAGACGAGGGACGAGACCGATGCAAAACTCACATAAAATAAAATATTTTAATAATAATAAAAAAATTCCAATTTGACTTTCAATCGTCTCTTGAATCTTCACGATAAGAATAATTTTATCAACACCTGGATTCGTTCTAAAGTGTTCTCCATTTTAAACTTTCAGATTAAATAAAATATCAAGAAAAAAGATCATCACACAAAATTATATTCTTCTGGTTAGAAGATGAGTCTCTTGAATGGATCGGCTGATGATAACAGCGATCCGAATCAGAGATCAGCAAACGGACTTAGCGGAAACTTTCACAAGAACGGAAGAAGTCCACAAAAACCTGTGATAACAAAAATCATCGACAATGGTAACGGTTTGAATAATAATCAAGATGAATACAAGATGGACATGAAAACGAACGGAAATGATAAAATAGCGGAAGACGATCCTCTAACGGGGCGTAATAAATGGGAAGCTGCTGGGCCGAGTAAGAGTATTCAACCAAAATGGCAACAGAAATTTGCATCAACAAAGTTCTTTATGGTGATATTTCTTCTCGCATTTGTGCTTCAAGGCTGCTATTTCACATACTTTGTGAGTGTCATAACAACAATCGAGAAGCTTTTTCACATCAAATCAGCCAACATTGCACTCTTGTTGAACTTTAGTGAGATTGGACAAATTTGCACGTCACTTTTTCTCACTTATTACGCTGGTCGTGGTCATCGTCCCAGATGGATTGCATGTGGCATGTTCTTGTTTTCTCTTGCTGCTTTTGGTTCCGTGTCACCACATTTTCTCTTTGGATCAAAGCTTTATAATCGTGGTGTGACGAGTGGAGTTGGTGATGTTGGGAATGAGAATCTTTCGTCATCTTTCGATAGAGTTATCGAATATAGTAACAGTACGTTATGTCTTACAAGTGACGAATACAATCGCTTAGGAGAGTTTGATCCAAGTAAGTTGAAATTATTTTAAGAAAGAACTTATGAATTTGATGTTTGAATTCTTCTTTTAAAGCATGCATGGAAAACACAAGTCAAGAAACCAATGCAGACCTTAAGTCTGTCGTGTTGGTTATCTTAGCAATGAGTCTCTTAGGTATTGGCATTGGTCAAACAGCAATCGCTACACTCGGCATTCCATTAATTGACGATAATGTTGAGTCAAAACAATCGCCATTATACATGGCCATCACGATAGGTGTAAGAGTTCTCGGCCCAGCATTTGGCTACTATTTGGGATCATTTTGTATTCGACTTTATGTCGATTTAACAAAGAACGTTGACCACACCGATCCTGACTTCATCGGAGCCTGGTGGTTGGGTGAGTTTAACAATCTTAGACTTGTTATTTATTTTTTTCATCAAATTTCGGTTCCGCCGTCAAAATTATTTACCTTTTTCTTCTTAAAAAGGAAAGAAGGAAAGGAGGGAAAAGAACGACAAAAAAAATAATAATAAAATGAATCAAAAACCCAAACAGACGGGTCTCATGAATTAAATTCCAGACGAAAAAATAAGAAGAATTTATTTATTTTTTTTTATGCTCTCAGAATTAGTTTTTTGTGTCGAACGATAGAAAGGAGTACAAAAGGAATGAAGTATTAAATCATAACAAAAGATGCAGTTGCGTGATTTGCTCTTTAGATTTCGACATGATGTCGTAAACTTCTTGTTTTCAATTTATTTTTGTTATTTTATTTTGGAAGAAATCAAAACTGAATCATACTAAATTTCATACTCGATTTCATGACACGTCGATGGATGATTTAATGGAATTTTAATCATACTCGATTTCAGGTTTACTTGTCGTATCAACAAGCATGTTCTTTGCATCTCTTGTCATGTTTACATTTCCAAAGAATCTACGTAATAAATCAACAACACAAGTGTTGCCAGCACCTCCAGCAATGATCGATGAAACCTTGAAGACTGAGAATAGAAATGATAAGCTTGAAAATGTTGAAGATGAAAGCAATTTGAGACCAAAGCTTCAAGATTTCTTAACGACGATCAAAAGACAATTGAAAAATGATATTCTCATGTTTAGAACTGCTTCATCGGTTCTTCATCTTCTTCCAATTACTGGCTTATATGTTTTCCTTCCAAAATATCTCGAGAGTCAATTTCAAATGGCAACACACAATGCAAATTTTATTTCGGGAACATTTGGGATTCTTATGATGGGAGCTGGAATAATGATCACTGGAATTATCTCGGTGAGATTCTCTCTTTCGGCTAGGAAAGTTGCTTTATGGATAGCATTTACTGCTTTGGCAACAGCGGGAGGGATGCTGGTTCTTTCATTGATAGGATGTCCGATGGATAACTTTAACGGACTTCAAGTTCGTGATGACAATGGAATGTGAGTTTCCTTTCAAATATTTATCTTAAAAGTTTTAACATTAATTTTTTTTAATAAGATTTGGATCATCAAAAACTTTTGTGCCACCATGTAACTCATTCAACACAACATGTCGTTGTGATGATCAAGCTTTCGCACCAATCTGTGGAAGTGACGGCCTCAATTATTTCTCATCGTGCCATGCTGGATGTAAATTTGAAACGGATGTTAATGGAAAAAGAAACTTTTATGAATGTTCTTGTCTTAGTGGTGAGTTGAAATCTTTCTAAGTCATCACCAATGATAAAATAAATTTTACATTTTCATAGATATCAGTACAGCGCCAGAAATCACAGCTACAAGTGGGCTTTGTGACGGTGGACGATGCAACACAAAACTTCATATTTTCGTAGCCATTTTCGCTTTAACTGTTTTCATTCATTCGACATCGGAAGTTGGCGGAATGCTTCTCAACATGCGATGTACTCATCCGAAAGATAAAGCTATGGCAATGGGAATCATTCAATTTTCCAACAGTCTTCTCAGTAACATTCCATGTCCGAATATTTATGGTCGGATAATTGATGCAACATGCATCTTTTGGACGAAGATTTGTGGTAAAAATGGGCATTGCTCGTTGTACGATTCTGATTCATTCCGTGGATATTTCTTCGGTGAGTCACAAATTAAAATGGAAGAAGTTTTGCAGGAAAGTTGGGAGAGTAAATTGAAAATTTCTTTTTTTTTCTCCATTTAGGCGTATCATGCTTTATCATGATGCTCGCATTTGTCATGGATATTGTTGTGTTCTTTAAATCACATCGAATCGACATTGATCCTGAGTCACATACCGCCAATGATGTTAATGGAAGTGCACCAAAAGATTGTGGCGAAGAGAATTTATTAAAATTACGAAAAATGTCACACGACGTAGACGACGATCAACAACATATGAAAATTGCCATTCGAGATGAAATTTAAGATAAAATGTGATTGTTAATTGTTTTATGTTACGTTATGTTGCTTTAAATCATTGAAAATTTTCTTTTCCCTGTCTTCTTTAAGAACTTTAACGTTGCAGTCATTCGTTAATTGTGAAACTCAAACAATCAAAGAAGAACAAGAAAAAAATTCCTATAATCAGTGATATGATTTACGAATGACTCCAAAAATATTTCAATTTTAAAAATAATTTTACAAAAACAATAAGAAGAAATCTCTTTACACATTAGCGTAAATTTTAATAATGCAAATTTTTATTTTGCGTCGATATATCGGATCTGAACCGATCTTATCTTATTGGAGTTAGATTAATAGTTGAAGAAACAGCAAGAAAAAATGAAGAAATGTTAAGTAAACGTTAGTTACATCAATAATTTGTTTAGGTTTTTAGTAGTTAGGTCTAATCTTCATCGAAAGTAAATTTTCCAACTTTTAATTTTTTTTATGTGAAATTTTCTTCATTTTGAGATGTGTTGAAAGAAAATCGAAGGAAAATTGTGCCATAGAAATCTGTAGATTTGAATAATTCTGTCATTGAAAGCTCTTTAATGATGATGATCAACATTAAAAGCTCTCAAGCTCAAAAAATTTTAAATAAAAAACCGTTTGACAGTTTATTTTTTCTTGAAGAAAAGTTTCAATTAAAATCGAAGAATTCATCCGGAAATAAATTAGGAAAAAAGGAAGGATCAGAAGAAATAGTAATATAAGCTTTTTATACAGTAATATTTCTATAAACATGTAAACTTTATTGCATAAACACTAAATATTATTTGTCCACAATAAGACAAAAACAAAAAGACATAAATAAAAAAATATTTGTAACTTTTCTAACGATCATCATGGAAGTTTTGGATTGCTTCAATTCTTTCTCTTGAATCAGGTGGAAGTGTTTGCATGAAACGAGAGTTTGAAATTGGTGACTCAAACACATCATCTTCACTTTCATCACTTGCCAACCAATGTGAAATCAAAGGACTTCGCTCGTGAATGATGTTTGACCGATAATGATGACGTCGACATGGCGAAATAATTCTAAATCTGTGTCTAGCTGATGATGAATTTGGAATTCCAATCAAGCATCTATTTCGACGATATCTCGCAACATTTCTATTATACTCGTCAACATCGCCACCACAACGTATCAACAATTCATTATGGCTCTCAATGTTACGAGAATAGATTTCTTTTCGAATTGTTAACATAACTGCACCAACAACGTAAACAGTTATTAAAGAATAATCCAACCAGTTCAGAAATATTTTAGAATTGATGAATTTTCGTCTATATAATGACCATATATGATCTTTCGTGTTATATGCAGAAAAGAGTGCATGAAAATTATCAACGAAAATGCGATGAATATTTCCACATTTCGATAAATATGACAATCCATTGATGAGTGCAAAGCCGCCAAGAAAAACTGAGAAAGAAATCCTAAAAATTCCTAAAGCAAGTGAAAAGAAAAAAGCGAGTCCAAACTGCAAGTAAATTGACGTGATTTCATTGAAAAATAGTTCCATTATCAATGCTATTGTTATGTTGCTGAATAATAATTTTGATAAATACCGACCAACACGATAACGAAGCGAAATTGTTGCGAACAAAGCTGACGAAATTAAACCGCTGAATATTGTCGTCATAAAAATGTCAAACTTTGTCATCGTCACATGGCGGCTCTCAAGAAATGCAATCATGAAAAATGATCCGATGAACATCCCATTTAAACCTGCTTCGATAATATCAGGCATGAGAAGATTGAAAGTCATAACAAGGGAAAACATCACAAGAACAAATCCGATCGACTGCTTCAATAAGCTAATGTTATTACAATGGCTGTTCCAAATGTTATTCAAACACGAATCAGTCATTTTAGGAATGTAAAATCCTGTCCGTCCTTTCCTATCCACAACAAACGAGTTGAAGATGATTCCAGTGCCTGGAACTTTTTCAAAGTATCGATGAAATGGAGAGAAATTTTGTGTCGCCTTTAAGTTATACAACTGTTAGTGATCATTGACATTTGATTTAAACATTTACTCACTCGATAGCTTTTTGGTGGATTAACATCAAAAATCATACTTTTAATGCCATTAAAGTATGTTTCATGATTGAAATTCATTCTTTCGAGATAGATGTAGTTGGTGAAATAATGCAGTGGCTTTGTTGAGTTCCTCAAACATCTAACACTTCCTCTCTTGTCATGTTCCTTTGGAGAGACCTCAGCTATTGTTGTTTCAACAATCACAAAATCTTCAGTTTCACGTAATGTCAACATTGGTTGAGATTTTGGACATCCACCGGGAATTGGAGTGGTTCGATTGTAAATAACTAAAGCAGCCATGCAACTTACAGTATCATTATTGTCATTCCAGATATGAAGAGTTATTGTAGAATTGTGTGACTTAAGAATTAATCCAATGTTTGTTCCTGTTTCGTGTGGTTCAGTGATATTTGGAGTGAAAGACAGTGACATGTTATAATAGAATGAATGTAGTTGAAAAATCGCAAAAGATGGAAATTTCTGATCGAATCCATGTACATTAAAAGTGCCGGAAGATTTGGCAGGAAAATCAAGCCTGCTGATAAAATTTAATTCATTTCTTTCTAATCCGTTGCTTTTTACATCAATATCGAAGCTTAATTCTGAGAAAAAAAGAATTATTTTGATATTTTTAAACCATTCTACTACTTTCTTACCAATATCGTAAATTAAAGATTGAGAAAAACTAAAACATGCAAGAAAAATAAAATAATTACAAAACATTTTTTTTAATCACATCAGGATACATTCAAACGGATTTTGCTGATGATTAGTGCACAACTTGACACAACAACTTGACTTGCATTTTTGTTTTCAATTTTACTTGACTTAAGGAGAAGTGAAGTGTTGTAATAAGAAGCTTTATTTAATTAATACTCAAGTTAAGGATACATTTTTGTTCTTTTAAATGGTTCATTCAAAAATTTATGGAATTCTATTGAAACCATCATAGTTCATTCTTTTCATGTCTTAAATTGATTCTCTTTCAAATTTCTTTCTCAAACCATCCAAAATGGCTTCGTGTTGTTTTGATAATTCTTCTTGTTTGTCAAGCTCTTCAAAGGCCTCGATTAGTTTGGGGAAATTTGGACAACATTTTCTGACAAGATTGAAACATCGTCTTGCTTCTTCGTAATGTTGTAGCATCATGTTTGACTTTCCTTTCTCTAATAACATTCTAGGTTGATCTCTAATCGATATCAACTTTTCAAGATATCTGATCATGATGCAAGCTTTTTCAGGCTTATTAATTTTATTATAGCAAACGATGACGTTATTATATAATTTGATAAGAACCTTACTCAACGCTTCTTCCTCATCGCAATTTTTAATCGGTGACCCATCAAGGATATTTATCCATTTTCTGTATATTCCAATTGCTGATTGATAATCACCAAACTTGTAATGTTCAGCAGCAATTAAACTCTTCTTCGCAGCTCCTTTCAAAAGATTCTTCAGTTCACGTTCAAGATTTTGATTCGAACTTTTTTCACTTTCTGAAACACTTTTGATCTTTGCTTGAAATAAAATGTCGGCTTTAGGAGGAACTCTTGGTGGACATCCCAACTTTCCAAACATCAATTCATGAGAGATCCAAAAAATTGCTTCTTCTCCTTTCTTCATTGTTGACAAAGCTAAACGACATCCAGGTAGTGGTTCAATGCCAATCGAAACATTAATACAGCCGATGGAATTGTTCAAAATGCTTGAGTCAAAAGGACCTTCAGATCCTTCCAAAAACATTGAATAATCATAATTGACGATACAATCGTCCAAATAAATATCAGAGCCATTTCCTGCTTCAATCACTTTCTTATAAAGTGATTTACTAATTTCCTTCATACTGTAACGATATTCTAGGAAAGTTTTTTCTATTGGACATGGATTCTTAACTTCTATTGGAATGTTGTAGAAAACTCTGTCGAAAACTTCTTTTTCAACGTCCTTGACGAATTTATTTTCTTCTTCATCTCCACCAGATTTTAATTCAAATGTGACTGAACCATCAGTAGATGAATTTCTAAAAAGAAAGATTAATTATTTAATTACATTGAATGAAGTGAAGAATGAGATAAAAATATCCTTACAAAACTTGCATAACTTCAATGTTTTCGACTTGTTTGGTAAATGCATTAGATTCCGACATGATTAAACGTAAATTATATTCACACTATGTAGTTAGGTAATTAAACTTCCTGACGTAAAAATTTTCTTTCGAATTTTTTAAACTCTTTAATGCGTGAAGGCGTCGTTTGTAATGTCAAATATAAAAAACACATGTCTAGTACAGTGACTACTTTTTACCGACTTCTTGCCATGAGGAATCATTGAACTTACCATGTTCAAATCATTTAATTTAATTTTTAAAATAACCGCTATAGGGTGAAAGAACCTACTGTGGAATCATTCAACTTTCTATACGATTTTCTTCGTTTTCTTAAAAATTAATCAATTCAAAATTAGTTTTAAAATCCTTTTACTTTTTACTTCTTAGCAATCCTCCGTCATCCGTTTTGTATCACTAGTTTCAATATTTTCTTAATAAGAACATGTCAAAAACATTGACAAATTCTCGGTAATTATTGTTAATAATTCAATTTTTATCTCATTCTTTTGTTTTTTTTCAATGACTCATATTTTTCACTTCAATTCCTTCGTATAAGAAAAAATGTTTTGAAAAAGTTTAAACGTATAGAAATCCCAAGTATGACTTCTGAACTAAAACTAACTAAATATTTTATTACGTGGCTGATCTGTTTGCTTTAACAAAAAGCTGCAAATTATGAATGATAATGAGAAAGAATAACGTGAATTTAAATAATCTCCACATTCTTAATTTCAACCTCAGTACTTCCAAAAATCTCGTGAAGATAAGACGAGGAGATTAAAATTTTAAAGATCTAAGTAAGAAAATATATAAATCATGAATAAAGTTTACAAAATTGTGATTATTTGTGCAACTGCAGTTAGTTTTTTACCATGTTTAATAGCACTTTATACCTTGCGTAAGTACAATGTGTTAAGAATTTGTGTAATTAAAAATATATTGTTGTCTTTTTATCTTAGCACCAAGCATAAAAGTTTGCCATCGTTCATCGCCGAATTTAGTTGAATGTGTTAGAAACTCAATAGAAAATATCCGACCTGTACTCAAAACGGGTGACTTTGGCGATGGATTTCGTATTGATCCAATTGAACCTTTAGATATTCAAGAAATTGTCATTCAACGTGGTCCAGATTTTTATGTCCGCCAATATAATTTAAAGGCATTTGGAGCAGTAAATTTCCAACTTAAAAAACTTCGAGCTTCGTTTAATCCACTGAAAATAGAAGGAATTATTGAAGTACCTCAAATTGATGCAAACGGTCTTTATGATCTGGACATGAAACTTGGCCCACTTCATTTGAAGGGACAAGGAAAAGTGAATGCACACATAAGTAAGAAAGTTTTTCTCGATGTTTAATAATTTCATCCAAAATTTTCATTCTTCTTATTCAGATCGCTTGAAACTTCGAATAAAAATAAATGGATCGAAATACATTAAAGATGGTGAAGAATTTGTTAAAGCTGACAATTGTGTTGTTGCCGTGAAATTGGAGGATCTTCAATTGAACTTCTCTGATTTATTTAATGGTAACAAAGTTTTAAGTGATGTAGGCAATCAACTTATAAACGATAACATCGATTTATTCATTCGGGATATCGAACCTTCTTTAGAGAAGTCCCTAGGTAAATAAAAGATTTATTTTTTTAATATCATGAATCACACAAGAATAAATATTTACTTATGCAAATATTTCTAGCCAAAAAGTTTTTGGAGACTGCAAATCAAGTCTTGGAAAAAGCGCCGTTCAGAATCTTCTTACCTGATTAACTTCATTAATATCTTCTTACATCATTTGTGTCATGTGAGAATTTAAAATTTATGATATTAAAATTCGTTTTTCTTAATGAATGGAAAAAATAAACTTTTTGTTTTGTTGCTTTTCTATAATACTGGAAATATTGTTAAATGTCAGATTTATGATTAAACATTTGTGACCAAATAAATTCACTATTTAGTTTTGGAATTCCATTTGTTACTGGGAAATCTTTGCTTTCATAGCATGCGTCATATGAAAACATTGATTTTTCACACTTTATCATCTTTTTAAAAAGTTAAACATTGCATTTTAACAAGTCGTCAGTTCAGTGTCTTTGTATGTTTTCAATATCTAAACATCTTTATGATAAAATGTCAACGGTATCGTAAGTATCTATTAAAAAATTTAAAGGAAAACATAAGCTTATTAATTAATTTTCTATTTTCCATAATCAGCTAATTCTTCTTACTTCTATTTGAAATACTCTTCACTATCTGCATATTTATCAGATTATTTACCCGCTAGTGATGGGTGATTAAAATATAAAAGGATTCAAATCTTGTTTCGGAAATCGCAAAAACCTGGAATGCAAATTTTTGATAATCTAAGAACGAAACTTTTCGTTGTGATCAGTTCGATTTGAGCTTCTGTCTGAATAACTTGTTCATCCTTTTATTTTATCTGATTCTTTGATATTCTGTTAAGGAAATTAAAAAAAAAATGGCGAAAAAAAATCTTTTTCATGTGACTGTTTTCATTTTTCTAATAAATTTGTGCACACCAGCATTGCGTGAGTTAAACTGAAATTTAATCATTGAGAAACAGGTAAAAAAAATATTTTATTCTTGCAAAAGCACCACAAATAAAAGTTTGTGAAGAAAAATCACCGAGACTTGCTGAATGTGTTAAAAACTCAATCGAATCGTTGAGGCCATTTTTGAAGTCTGGCAAAATCGCGCCAGGATTTGTTATTGAAGGTAAAAGGAAAATAAAAAAAATGATAATAGTAAGAAATTATTTAGTGAAATTTTCCAAGGTCTTGAACCTTTTTTTCTTGGAGACATTGTCTTTAATCAAGGATTCGAAGTGTCACTTTTCAATATTAAAGCTTACGGTGCTTCCAACCTTAAGATTGAGAAAATTCGGATAAACACTGAGTCGTTCAAGGTAAGTTAAATTTGCCTTTTTTAAGATTAAGGCAGAAGATTTTCAAATGACAAATTGTAGATTGAATTAGTTGCCTTCATGCCGAAAATTACAACTGAATCAACTTACGCTATCAGCTGGAAGATATCATTGCTTGATATTAAAGGACAGGGAAATGCTTACGCTATTTTGGGTAAGAAATTCAATTTATATTTTCCCATTATTAACTTTCTTCTTCTTACTAGAAAATGTGAAAAGTATTCTAAAACTCACTGGCAGTAATTATCAACGACAAGGTGCAACTTATTTGAAAATCGACAAAGTTCAATTAAAAATTCAACCCCAATCCACAAAACTAAGGTTCGATAATTTGTTTAATGGAAATAAAGCTTTGGAAGATGTTGGCAATGAAGTCATCAATCAAAATGTTCATCTTCTTTCGGCAAATATGTTGCCTCTTGTTGAACAAGCTATTGGTGCCAGAATCTTTAAAGTTGCTAATCAAGTTTTTGAAAAAGCTCCACGATCTGAATTTTTTCCTTAAATGCACTTAAGAAAACTTTATCACGTGTATGTAAATATTATTCTTCTGAAGTTTAAACATTTCTATGCTCAATAAAATTATAAGTTAATAACAAGGAAAATTTGAATATTATATTTTCTATTGTGCAATTTTTTTAAAATTTATATCACATCGATCGCAATAAATTTTATGACATTTCACGATTGTCTGCTGCATAGTCTGGAAAATAAAAAGTATTGAAAAAGTTTTCCTTTATAGCTTTGTGTTGAAACTTCGTTGGAAATATCACAATCGTGAAGCTTAAATCTTCTTATAAAACAACAAAACTTTATTTAAGCTCATTTGAAGGTAAAACTTCATTAAAAAAATTAAATAGGAAAGTTACACCTTAATTAATGCATTTATAACTTTTGATTTGACATAGAAAACTAGATGGAGTACTCAGGAGTACTGGATTAAAGTACTCAGTTATGTACCAGCTCATTCTATATTGACACTGCTAATAACGAAAATGTTCATCTAAGAAAACTCCAAATAATGAAAAATAAATTTCTAAGAATGGTTCTCAATGCAAAATTCAAAACGAGAATAAGTTCGAGAGAAACCTTCATGAGAAAATTATTATTCTAAAAATACAAATCCATACAAAGACATTTTAACATCTTTTTTATGAAGTTAAACATTGCATTTTAACAAGTCGTCTTTGTTTGTTTTCAATATCTAAACATCTTTAAGATAAAATGTCAACGATTACTTACGATATCTATTTAAAAATTTAAAGAAAAATATAAACTTATCAATTCCTCTGCCATTTTCCTTATCAGCTGATAGCTCTTGTTAATTGTATTTGAAATTCTCTTCACTATCTGCATATCTACGTCATTGGCGGGCGATCAAAATAAAAATAGATTCAAATCTTGTTTCGAAAATCGTAGAAACCAGAAATGCAAATTTTTTATAATCTAAGAACGAATCTTTTCGTTGTGATCAGTTCGATTTGAGCTTCTGACTGAACAACTCGTTCATCCTTTTATTTTATCTCATTCTTTGTTATTCTGTTAAGGAAATTCAAACTGTTTTCGAAATGTCGAGAAATCTTTTTCATGTAACTTTTTTCATTCTTCTAATAAATTTGTGCACACCAGCGTTACGTGAGTTAAACTGAAATTTAATCATTGAGAAACAGGTAAAAAAAATATTTTATTCTTGCAAAAGCACCACAAATAAAAGTTTGCGAAGAGAAATCACCGAGACTTGCTGAATGTTTGAAAAATTCAATCGAATCGTTGAGGCCTTTGTTGAAAACTGGCAAAATCGCGCCAGGATTTGTTATTGACGGTAAAAGGAAAATGAAACAAATTAAAATAAAAGAAATTATATAGTGAAATCTTCCAAGGTCTTGATCCTTTTCTTCTTGGAGACATATCCTTCAGTCAAGGATTCGAAGTGTCACTTTTCAATGTTAAAGTTTTCGGTGCTTCCAACCTTAAGATTGAGAAAATTCGGATAAACACTGAGTCGTTCAAGGTAAGTTAAATTTGCCTTTTTTTAAAATTAAAGCAGAAGATTTTCAAATGACAAATCTGCAGATTGAATTGGTTGCCTTCATGCCGAAAATTACAACTGAATCATTTTACGCTATGAGATGGAAGATATCATTGCTTGATATTAAAGGACAGGGAAATGCTTACACTATTTTGGGTAAGAAATTCACTTAATTTCTTTTTTCTTTTTCTTTTTCTACATTTTCCCATTATTAACTTACCTCTTCTCACTAGAAAATGTAAAAATTGTTTTAAAACTCACTGGTACTGATTATCAACGACAAGGTGCAACTTATTTGAAAATCGACAATGTTCAATTGAAAATTCAACCCCAATCCATAAAACTAAGGTTCGATAATTTGTTTAATGGAAATAAAGCTTTGGAAGATGTTGGCAATGAAGTCATCAATCAAAATGTTCATCTTCTTTCGGCAAATATGTTGCCTCTTGTTGAACAAGCTATTGGTGCCAGAATCTTTAAAGTTGCTAATCAAGTTTTTGAAAAAGCTCCACGATCTGAATTTTTTCCTTAAATGCACTTAAGCAAACTTTGTCACTTTTATGTAAATTTATTCATCTGAAGATTAAACATTTCTATGCTTCATTAAATTATAAGTTAATAACAAAGAAAATTTGAATATTATATTTTTTATTGTGCAATTTATTTTTAAGTTATTATCACGTCGATTGGAATAAATTTTATGACGTTTAACGATTGTCTGATGTATAGTCTGGAAAATAAATAGTTCATGATAAAGATTTCCTTCAAAGTTTTGTGTTGAAACTTCGTTGGAAATATCACACTCGTGAAGCTTAAATCTTCTTATTAAACATTAAAACTTTATTTGAGCTCATTTGAGGGAAAAGCTTCATTATAAAATTAAGAATGAAAGTTTCACCTTTTCATTTTGTAACAATATTTTAATTATATATGTCTAGAACTTTTAATTAATGTTTCCATAACATTTGATTTAACATGAAAAACAAGGTGGAGAGTGTTGGAAATCTAAGTAAATTGCTACTGTCATGTGACTTTCCACACATTGCAATGATAACAAAAAGTGTATAAAAATCTTCCCGAAATTAATAAAGAATTCAATTCAACATCGAAATTTAAAGTGAGAAGTGAAGAGTGAAGAAAAATATTTTGACATGGAAAGAATCTATAAATTGTGAGTGATTTTTATAATAAATAATCTCATACCTGTCTGGATTTATCTTATTTGGCTTTTAACTTTATAACTTGATTTATTTGTATAGATTTGTTGGTCCAATAAATCCAAAGAAACCGAACGAATCATTTGCTCTTCAAATTTGGATTCTCAAGAGAACCGGCTATTGGGAACCTGATACTGATAGTAAACTCATTAAAACGTTCTACAATGTATATTCATATGTTTTTCGCTGGTTTTTCCTTTACATCTACACATTCACTCAAGCCATGTTCTTCTTGAACGTCAAAGATTTGAAGGGAAGTAAAAGTTTTCCAACAACTTCATAAATCAATTTAATAAAAAGAATGAATTCTTTCTTTAACTCTCATAGGATGCTGCTGAAGGCTTCTTCCTTCTACTAACTCAAATTTCTTTACTTTACAAAGTCGAAAATTTTTATGCTAATCGTCATAGAATCAAAGAATGCGAAAGATTTCTAAGAAGCACAATGTTTAAACCGAAAAACGAAGATGAAGATTTGTGCGTGAATATTTTAAATCTTAATTTGCATCTAATTAAGTGATTAAATTTATTTTATTTTTTTTCGTTCCGTTCTATGAAGAGTTGTTAAAGATGCGATGGCAAAAACATTTTTATTACCTTTTTTATTTTTGACTTTTGCGCATTTAACTATCGGTCAATGGGCAATTTCTGTGTTTTTCGACGATAAACACGATAAACTTCGATTGCCTATCAGTGCATGGTAAAGTATAATCTCTTCATTATTGAAATTGTGTTAGGGTAATTAATGAAATTATCGCCATTCTTAGGTATCCATTTAGTTATGAGAATCCATGGGTTTACTCCATCGTTTATATTTATCAAGTGTATGGAATTAGTATGAGTGCGGTCGTCAATTCAGCAACTGATACATTTGCATCGTCAATGATTTTTCATTTAGACTCTCAAATTAAACGTCTTGGAATTCAGTTGTCTAAAGTGAAGCTATTTAAATCATCATTATATTATATAATATATAAAATAATTATGAATTATTTCAGATTGGATATGAAAAAAACGATGACAAAAATTTAGTTGAGAGAAAATTGTTTTTCATGAATTTTCATTTTAAAAGATTTTTATCTTATTCAGGTTGAAGAAGTTGATGAACACATGAAGACTGTCAATTCTCATGTCAACAAGCTAACAAAATTGAACGGAAAACACTACGGCGAAGTTATGCATTGCATTTTGTTTCATAAAAATATTTTATAGTAAGAAGAATTAAATTAATTAATGATTCATGAGGAAATATCAGCTTCAAAGTAAAGTTTTTAATTAAATTTTTTTAAACTCAATCAGTTGGTGCAAAGAACTGGAAGATATTTTCAAAGGTTCAGTCTTTGGGCAATTTATTGCATCTTGCGTGATATCGTGCATGACTTTGCTTCTGATTGCCAGCAGCACAAGCAGTCCACTTAAAGTTATAAATCAATCAACGTATCTTGTCACAATGATGACACAACTTTCATTATTCTGTTGGAGTGGAAATGAATTAACTCACAGTGTAAGATAAATAATTAAATTTATTTCTTGATGCCGATGCATACATCCCGATTTAATTTAATTACATTTTAAAGTCTCATCAATTAACACAAAAAGCTTTCTGTTCAAACTTCATACACTTCGATAAGAAAACGTCTCAAATACTATTGATTTTCATGCAGAGGTAAGTGACTTTAATGTTGTGTTAATTAGAGTCTAAGCTTTCTGTTTGTAATTTAAAAAAATTTCATTTCCATCTGTAATAATATCCAACAAATATTTCATAGAACAATCAGAGATGTTGCTATTAAAGCTGGAGGCTTGTTTGCAGTTCAATTGAGCTTGCCAACATTTGTTGCTGTAATGTCGGAGATAAATTTATTTTTTTACAAATAATTAATTAAATCTTTTTCAGATAATGAGATCTTCATATTCCTATTTTGCTGTTTTGAATAGCGTTCAAAACAAAGAAAACTAAATTGTAAAAGCACCCAAGACAAATCACTTTATTTGATAGTATTTACCATAAATTAAGCTGATATCTGAAAAGTGAAAATTGAATAAAAAAATTTGTCTCAAAACATTCCCAAATCTCGTCATAGGCAATTTAAAAGAGAAAGTTTTGACTTTTATAAAAGTAGGAAGTTTTATTCATCAGAAATATTGAATTCTGTTTCTACAAATGTACAAAAACAAAAAACAAAATAAAATTCTTGGTAAAAATGGATTTCAAGAGCTTTACAACCACAACAACCCACACATGTCACAAAAATGTTTTTATTAATTTTCCTTTCCAAGGCATTTATACGAATTAAAATTTGATAATTGGTTGAGATGTGCATTTCTATGTGTGGGAAGGAAGAGCTCATTGTTACTACTTATGATATTTTACAGGCTGATCTTATTGCTTACAAGAAATATTTTATCTCCATGAAAAAGCTTTCGATTTAAGTTCATAATGAAAAATATATGAAAGGATTTTGTATCTATGTATGTAAGTAGATAGAAGAAGTGATAAGAAGAGTAGAAAGAAATATAAAGAAGGTTTGATTATGTTTGAGAATCAGTCAGCTGATCATTGACAACATCATCAATTGGCGGCGGTGGTGGTGGCGGCGTTTCAACAAGCTCAATCTGTGATGATGTCGGCGGAGCAGCGGGCAAGCCATAAGAAAATTCGTCACTAGATGGCGATTCAGTCTTTTCTTTTTCGGAAAATGCTGAAAAAATGTTATTACGAACACCACGATCGGGATCTTTTTCCAATGTTGCGATTTGTTGAAGAATGTGTTTCTTTGAGTCACGGAACTCATTATTGTAATAAGCTGAAAAGAGCAAGTAATTTTCTGATAATACTCTGAAGAATTATGATGAAAAGTTTTCACTTACGATTTTCCATTAAAGTGTACGACAAGCATTTGGCGATGCAAAGACGTATGTTGGGAATCTTATCAACTGCGAGTTCAAGCAACTTCTTCAAAATGTAATTATTAAACATTTCTGGTTTAATTGCGCGATGTTCAAGAAGTTTGTCAACTGTCAAGATGTAAATTTGACGTTCACGCCAACGCGTTGAATTTGCAAAGTGGAATGACAAGAACTTAAGTAGTTGTTTCTTCTGTTTTATTCTCTCCACACAAGACACAAACTGCAAAAAGAAAAGAAAAGTTTCGTAAACTTTTCATGAAAGAAATATTATCTGCAAACTTACCGCATCAATTCCAATTTTTCTAACACAATCGTATTTATCCATCATCAGTTTTAAAGACAATCCAGTCAAATACAGTAAGCAATTTTCCTTTTGAATTCTCGGACCGAGCTTGTTAAGCTCAACAATTTGAATTCCTATCTGTTCTCGTAATCTCCAATTCACAACATGAACCGTTGGATGCCAGCACATCTCAAGTTGATTCACAATAATCTCATGTTTTGATGGATCAATAATTCTTATAAAGTTTGTCACATGCTTTGCTACTTCAATCTTAATATCATCGATATCTTTAAAGAATTCAACGAATGGTGCTACTAAGTCCTTTGTTGCTTGCTCCGATCCAATGATAAGAGCGATTTGATAAATTGATTTTGCCATAGTTTTTCTTACACGAACATTGCTTTGCAGGTCATTGCATAACGATAAGAAATGTTGATGGAGTAGTGGCCAAAACTGTTTACCCAGTGTTAACATCACTGCTGGGAAATTGTAAGCACACTTGTAGCACAAATTGTTGTCGATGTCTTTCATGAAAACGAAATCTTCGATCAAGTTCCACTCGACTTCAGCAGAATCATTATTCTCTCGAATGCTTTCATCGCCCTCTTCTGGCGGCATTTCCAAGTTCAAAGTAAGTTGAGGATTTCTCGACTCACTCTTCATAATCTTCATGCTATCATTGCTTTCAGTTTCAACGTCATCTTCCATCACTAATGTCGATTGATCAGCAACAGCATCAACATCACCAGCACCATCATTAAAATTTGTTTCATTCTCGACACTTCTATCATTGTCTTTCTTACTATTGTTGTTGTTCAACTCATTTTGATCGATGAGATCGTCAAGTGTTGGTGGCTCAATATACCAATATTGATGTGAATTAAACTTCTCAAGTTCAACATCATCGCTACCTGAAGAACTACCATCAACATTATTATTATTCAGCTTATCACGCAATGTTAAGTTATTTAACTTTTTCTCGATCGAAGATGAATCATCATTACCAACATTCTTCTCTGAAGATTCATCACTATTGTAAGACATTATATTTTTATTTAGATTATTGTCAAAGTCTGTAATATCATCATCTTCGTCTTCATCATCATCTTCTTGCTCAACTGATCCATTTTCTTTAAAGATATCATCGTAGTTATGTAAGACGCCATCATTCTCACCACTTTCGCCGAATCCCATATGCCAAACGAATGTTGATTCCACCGTATCGGGTGTTAAAATACGATTAATAAAGTTGTTTTTAAATGGTGTGTTGAACTTCATAAACTTATTAAATGGATCATCATCATTGTTGTTATCATCATTTGAACTCGAGTCATTGTTTAAATCATCGGTTGTTGATGAGAGTCTTTTCATAAGTGTAACGGGATTTGCTGGATTTTGTATTGAAAACAATTCACATTCATCGGATTCTGAGGCTGTTGTAGATGATAATCGACCTCCGGACGTGTTCATACGATCATTAAAATGATTAGCTTTGATTATTGATAGCAAATATGTTTCAATGTTGACTTTTTTCGTTCCCGTTGCATCGTTCATTGGTGAAAGTTTAACAGATGTTGTATTTGGAACTGACAACGAGCGCATTGATTTCTGACCTTCAATCGCATTACCCGACATCCCAACAATAAGTTCTTTCTCAAATTCTCTCTCGTAATATTCAAGATTTCTTAGAATCATTGCAGAATTTGGCTGATTGCTGAACAACAACATATTTGAATGATATTGTTGACGAAAATCAATATCAGCAGCGTTTGTAATGAAAAGTTCTAAACGGTAATTGTAGGCGAGTCCAATAATTGGCGGCTGTGCGAATGTTGCTAAGAATTCTCCTAAGCTATTAAGAGCTGAAGTCACAACCCAACGTGATTCATCAAACATAAACTTCTTCATAATTGGAACTAAAAATTTTCTACGTAATTGCAAGCTGCAGAGAATGGAGACCATTTGGATGTTTTGAGCACAAGAATTTCTTATATTCCACGATGTATCATTGCAAAGTTTCACGTAAACTGGAAGCATACTTGATTCCAATAAATCACAACCAAGCACCTCACACATGACTGGGAAGATTGTGGCGCAATGTTTTCTTACAGAAATCATCTCAACTTGTGAAAGTTCCATAAACTTTTCGAAGAAAGTCTCATGAGCCATCTCGGTGCCAATTATTGGTGCAACTTTTGCCATCACCTGAAAGTAATACAAGTCATGACATTAATTAAATGTTTTAAAATTCAACATGTTTAAATTTATTTAAAGAAATGAAGATGATTCTGATGAATTAGCATCAATTTTCAGCTCATCAAAGCTGGCTGTGATATGAACATTAATACGTAAACATTTCACAACCACTTTGAGAGTTGAACTCAGTGCTTTAGAAATAAATTTCAACTTTCATGTCTTATCTGAAAATAGAAGAAAATTTATTGCGATACGTTCCACATACATTCACTGAGATGAAGGATGAAGGATAAGAAAACAAAAAAATTCTTCATTAATTCAATAAAAACTTCCAATCCCATTTCATTCCATCCCATCCCGAAGGCACATATTTCACTAAACCATTTTAATGCTTCCTATGTCTTGTGATAATCCCGGAAGAAAATCGGCAATAACAAGTGGCACGATAAATATCTTTCGGAAGGGAAAATGAAGAAAACGATGCGAGTGGAACGACAAAAAAAGGATCGAAAAGCAATAAAACTTCGACGATAATTAGATTTCATTCTCCACATTAAGTGATGCTGCTCTTCCCACATCGTAAATTCGCGAGATATTTTTAATGAGCAATTTCACAATCATAATTTTTTACATTATTAAATGTCACCATGATGTTTATCACCACATCAACGATCGATCGTTAAATAAATGTTTATTAAAAAAAATGCGTTGTCACATCACGAAGAATTTTTGTAATTTTTTTCCTTCTCCAATGACGATGACATTAATCGATGCTTAATTCCACAACATTAAGCTCTTCAAAGCTGGCTGTGATATGAAAGTCAAATTGAACATTTCACAACCTCTTTGAGAGCTAAAGATTGCGGTTGTTTTCTTTGTCGCTTGTTGCTTCTTCCTTCGATCAACATCAATCAAAAGTAATGTGATTGTAGCCTTTGGCCCACCACTAAACTCGTCAAAATGGCTGTGATATGGAGGTGAAAAATGTCATCACGTCACAACCAGTATTGACGAACCAGTAATGGGAAGTTTTCCTTTGTTTCAACTGCACACATATAAACACACACAACATAAGTCTAACAATTTTCGTTGAGTCACAAACCTAATTTTTTCCATTGGATTGTCAGCTGTTCGTTTGGGATATTCGAATGGTCAAAAAAATTTCCCAACTGAGCTCATCAAAATGGCTGTGATATGAATTGATTATGATGTTTGTCTTTGTCTTAATCTTTCGATTTTTTTGCTTGTTTAATGGTGAAAATGAATCTGATAATGAATTAACATAAAAAAATCATTTCCATTTCAACAAGTGACAACGAATGTGAGAAAATAATTTTTTTCTTTCTTTTTTGACATATCACAACCAAATTGTGAGTTCAGGCAGGAAAAAGAAAACGGGATGACATGAACTTCACTTTTTCATTATTGTCGTCGTCATAATGTGATTGTTGAGATTTCATGTTGATTATCGGAAGCAGACGTTGCTCATCAAAGCTGGCTGTGATAGAGGAAAAGAAATTTTCTAAACAGAAATTACTACCGAACAGCCAGTTCTGATGGCGACGCTCACTCCTCCTGAAGATTCAATCTCGGATGCGGGTGGGTTGGTTCAATCCATTATTAACAATTAAAGTTACATTTAATTTGTCACTCACTCGTTCACTATCTCGTTGCTTTCGTCCATCAATCCATCACATTTAATCCTAATTGCTATCTATTCTTCATGTGACAACAAAATGCATTTAAGAGCGCACGTATGAGAAAAAAAATCTGTGAAAATTGTTAGTTTTCATCATGAATGAGATCATAATGAAGCTTCGTTGCTACCTGCATGCCGACATAATTAAAAGTGATAAAAATGATTTATTTATCTATGTGATGCAGATTTTAAAATAAAATTCTTAAATGCAATCTGTTTGATATCAAATTTCTCTTTTTCTATCTCGATGATGTTTCGCGTTTCCGTTTTGTTTCACTGTATTTTACCCCACAAAAGCTCCTCCATAATTAAAACTGTCGCCATCTTTAGAGAAGAATTATAAACTTTTTCCTTTCATCTTCATTTTATTTTTTTCGAACGATATCGCAATAATACAGAAGAAAGATATTAACACAATATCCGGTTGTGCTTTTAAATCTTTTTCTTTTGTTATGAAAATATTTATTGATAGTAAAAGAGTAAAAGCATAAAAACTTACTCCAATTGCATTCAGATGAATGTCGTTTTCTCCAGATGAAAGTTCTCTGACGCTTTCTAATCTATCGACTCTCAACAACTCCAGAATGACCGGACAAACGGTTCGTTTAATAACTTTCTTGTCGAGAAATCCGTTTTCTATCAAATACAGCAATGTTGAATTTGCACTCTTCCGGACCTAAGTAACAGAACAATAAGAAATTTCATGAAAATTTCATTCATTGAAGTTAAACATTTGGTCGGTTGGCTCTCATATTTAAGTCGATATATGAAGTCAAATATGTAAGCTCATGAATGGTGAAAGAAATAATAAGAAGAATTTGTGAAAAATATACTCAAATTGGATGAATATTTTGTAAGTCGTGTGAAAAGGTGTCAAAAAGCTATTTAACATCAAAAGAAAACAGAAGAAGAATTTACCGTTGGCTCATCCGACAAGTATCGAAGCACAATCAGGAGAATGTGATCGAGAAGAAACACACCAAAGGTTTGAACGAAATTTTGATCGAGTTGTGTGAGACATGTACAAAGTGATATCATGTTGCCACTGCCGACCAGAGCAGCTCGAACTTCCATTTCTGTAATGAGAAAAAAAAAAATTAAAATATTTCTTTGATTTAATTTTCTTTTAAAGCTTTTCAATGTTTAATATGCACGAGTTGACTTTTTTTAATGAATGACTTCAACACACTTCCACTGATGAAACATTCACAATAGATGAGTGTTAGGATTCAGAATCCGAAGTTCCCTTGATGACCTTTCTTTCGGTCGTTTGCAATCTTTCTTTACAACCTAGCACGAGTCATCGATTTTTGATTCAACTCATTTCTATTGCACCTTGATAATATGGAAATGAATTGCAAACAGAGATCACTTTTGCTTGATATTTTTTCTAGCGTTAAAGCATTTTTTTCCTTGATCTCCATGATATTATAAAAAAAGAAACAAAGTTGTTGAACGGGAAGTGAGAAGAATATTTTGTTGCTAATGATAATAATGATGATGATTTAAAAGGGTGAGTTAAGAGTAGGAGAAAGTTTAATAGGATTTCTGGGATTCAATCATAAAAGTTTTTCCATTCTACTGAGTCCATTGTCGATGTTTGAGTAGCGAAGGCAAGACGAACATCGACAATGTGATTATAAAATGTAAATGTCGTTGCATTCAAGCAGACATTGCTCGCCACTTTCAACATTTTTTATTGAGAAAATAAAAGACTATCAACTTAAAGATTATTCATCATGACGGAAGTAAAAGAATTCAATTACGTTTGCAACATTGAGTGGCTACTATAAAAAATTATTTCTATCCAACTGCTATTCTATTCGACTGCTATTCCAACAATTTCCAATCACATTTCAATTTCTCAATCGATTTGTTGGACGCTGCTTAAGTTTGTTGTTCCTCCATTTATCATGCATTTACGCTTTAAAGCTTTTTCCTTCACTGAACGGCACATAACAAAACTTAATCTGATTTTAAAGCACTTCGGGAATACCGATGGTGATGATGATGTAAAACGAGAGAACGAGAGTGAAACGGTGTTCACACAATTCATGTTCTTTTTTTCCTTTCTTCGATGATGCGCATTTTATTCACAACGCCTTTTGCCATTGCACACACTACACCCTTAAAAAATATTTCGCACAGCAGCAAAGCTTTTTTCCCTTCACTTTTTCGAGGTTATGTCACATTGTTTTTCACATCGACGTGCTTTTCACATTTTTCATTTTCATTCTCGCTCATAATATTTTTCTTTTGTATATTTTCTTTATAATGAATTTCCTTGTCGCTTAGAATACTTAACAAGGTAACCCAATGATGTTGAAATACGATAATTGATAACTTATCACAATTATCTAAGAATAAGCTTCTTTATTGGATTCAGATACTTAAAAGAACAAAAGTTAATCGACATTGTTCTCTCTCTATATAAATAAGACACAAAATTATTCTTTTCTCTTTTCAATAAGATCCACTATCGATACGTATAAAGCTCTCACGTTGATTAATGAAACAAGACATCGTAAAGCAAGAGCTTTTACCATGAACGAGACACTCGAATGAGATAGGCCCGTGATGGATTCTATTTTATGTTCACAGCACACTGATTGTGTGTAATTTTTAGCTTGCTGTTCGGGATCTTGAGGAAAAAAATATTTTTTTCTTCCATCAATTGCGCATGTGAAATAAAAGCGCTTCTATAATAATTTTTTGTTCTTCTTTTTTCCCTAACATTCTTCGTCGTCGTCGACATCGTCGTCATCGTCGTCGTGCGCCACCGACAACAACATTCGAAGCCCGACGATATTTATTGTTTTTCCTTGCCTCATAAGTATAAAAAGAAAATCAGGCAAAGATGTGAGAGAGAGAGAGAGAAGGAGAAAAAAGGGGAGAGAAAGAGAAGAGGATAAAAACGATTCATTTGTGTTATCAGGCCCAAGTCGTAAATAACAATAAGGAAAAGAAGAAAAGGAGATTGGTTTACTATCGCAAGGATATCCACTTGTACGAGGGTTTCATGCTTTGTGTGGCGGGTAAATCCGTCATAAAACAGTCTTAAGAAAGCAAAATTCAAGGATGAGTAGAATTGTGCAATTGAAACAAATCCCGAGGCAGATTACGGGTCTATAAATTGGGACGATGTGAAAGGTTGAATGACAATAGTCACCGGAACGGCAGTAATGAGCCGTTACACAAACATTTTGGGCACTTGAGAGCCACTCTCGATTTATATCTTAAAAGCTTAAGACAAAGCAACCGTAAAAGCTATTCAGGTGGATCAGGGATGATTTTTCTTTTATCGTAGCTTGTTTGTTTCTTTCTAAGCTGAGCTTTGCATTTCATTTCTCAACATTACGCGTGCCGTCTACGTTTATTTTTATTTTATATAAGCACAACACCGTTACGTGTGAATGTTTGAATATTTATGGAAGGTATTTAATCAACTATAAAGCTAACTCATAATTATCGTTTTTTTTTTCTTTTTGGTATGTAAGTATTTCCAGAAAGGTCAAGCTACGAGACCAAATCAATGTTCAAGCTTTGAACTCATAAAAAATATTTTTTTTTGTTTGCTTCCATTAGGCCTAAGCTAAGCCAAGCCAAGCCATTAACCTTTCATGTCACGTGAATGTCTGTATGTAGATAGAGCATTCACTTTTTTATTGATCGTGATGTATTGTTTCATGCTTGATGTCTATCGTTCATATAAGAACGAATGATTCTGACTTCCTACAAGAAAAAACCAAAAATTCTTGGAATAATATTTTAAAACGAAATAAAATTTTTGCACAACATGAAGAAGAAACGATTGAAAATTTCTTACCCGCATACTTATGAAATAAAACCACCACACACTCATATGAGGTGGTCGGGGGATGGTTAAATAAGAAACATTCAAAATTGAAAGGGAGAATACATTTTTGTGGGAAAAATTTTAATGAAAATAAATGGTCATTCTTGTGGCTCAATTCTCACCACCCTCTAAAGGAATAAGTAAATATGCTTTGGGTGCTCACCCTCAGTTCTTCTTGTCCTTCTTTTTCTTATTCTTTGTTTTTATTTCTGCGTTATGCATCGAGTTGAAGAAAGTTTGCTGAATCAACAAACATCAACAACAAAAATGAGTTTTAATGAAAAAAAATTAGAGTCGATAAATTATTTTAATTCTTACGCTAAATGAGAGACGAAATAACTTAAGTCGTAAATGAATGTTGAAAGCGCACATAGAAAATTTAGTTTTAATCTTTTTTCTTCTGTTTCTCAACCCTGAGTCGTTGCCTTCTCGCTTTGCATCATCAGCAAGGACATTCAGAGGAGATGAGGGGGAGAAGAAAACTACCAACAACGCCTTTTTTCGCCATGCTTTTCTCACATTGCTTCTGCTGCTTTTCGGGTTCGATGGCATGAAAAATTGCTCCATTGTGATAGCGGGAACCTTTTTCAAGAGTCTTCGTTTTTTTTCAAAAAAAAAATGAGATTTTCCGGAACAAAATATTGTGCTCACTCACACACACTCCTTAATTCAGCACGCATACATAAAAGAAGATAATTTAATATTCTTCCATCGCCTTTTCTCCCCCACAAAAATAGCATGAAAATCTAATAATAACAATAAAAACTTTATGTTCTTTCAAAAAAAAAATTTCCGGTATGAAGTTTTTCCATAAAAAAAATCTTTCAGTCAATGCGTTATCGCTCATATGTATGTGAGCTTCAGGAATGTCGATAACAGCAAAACACCAAAGAATGCTCTATCGAGATCATTACGATTTGGTTTTTCATAATATAGAAGAAAAAAATGGAAATATTTGAGGCGCGTAGATGGACAAAAAGCTTTTCTCCGTCATGGAAAAAATCAATTTTGACATGAGATTGTGTTAGTGAGTTTTCCCCTTTTTCCTGCGTCTGTGGCTCTCTTCTCTTTTGTGTATTTGTGTGGATATTCTCGCGTATACTTGCATAAGTATCAAAGCCTGAAGGGATTTTATTTCATTTCGTTTTCTTTCTTAGAAGGAAAACTTTTCATCGTGGAAGTTGTTTACAAGAGAACAATAAGGAAAAGCCTTTCACACCCACACACGCATATTTCCCTTCCTCACATCACAAAAAGGGAGTGACAGAGTGAGAACGCGCTATTCATAACGTGTTCGGCGGAATCAATGGCATTGATATCTTTGCCTTTTATGTTTAACCGTTGTAACTGTTCTCGTCTATACGCTTTTGTCTCGGCATAATTTTTAAGGGGAGACGACGGCGGGTGGGGGAGACATTCATGCCTAAACCAAATCATAGCACATATAGAAAAACACACTCACACACATTAGACAATCTTTTCAAGGGAATTACGTAAACATTTTTCCTATTTTTTGAAAACCAATTAAGGTGTGCTGTTTACCGCCCACACAAAGCGCGAGAGAAAGCTTTCTATTCTCATACCACCCCCCACCCAATTTTCGTCATCTGAGAGGCGTTTATAGATGAGATTGAAGTCGAAAGTTCAATGCTGAATAAACTTAATTTAGGAATTTTATTCATGAACAAAATTTACCTTATCTTCCCTTTCCAACCTACCACCCATCAACGCTTGGGTTTGTTATTACGCACATTACACTCGAGTGAAGAACGTTCGATAATTGAACCATTTATTGTGTTCACCTATATTTGTTGTGGTGTTGTTGTTATTATTGTTGATATTGTGTACAAGCTCGTGTGTCATCAACGTAGTCGTAAAATAATTATTAATAGAAGAAGGACATGGACGAGTAATTTTCATGATAGATAAACAATGATAAAACAGAATTTCCAAAAATATAAAAACCGAGAATTTTTATTTATCTATTATTATCTACTTCTTTTTGTCGTTGATCTATTATAAATTCATCAACTCAATGATGCTTTCATATGTATGTAGATAGGACATGAAAATGAATAAATGAAAAAAGTCCCGTGATTCACGGTTGGATGTTTTTCCCTTTATGAAAATATTTAAGGTGTGGGGGTAGGTAAAATATTTTTTCAATTGTGGTTGACGGCGACGGGGAGTTTTCTTCTTTTTTTCTGGTATGCAAAGCATTTCCTCGTAAAGGTTCATATGTGGAGATGATCAACCACTAACATGTAAATATTTTTCGTATGAGGTCTTTTCGACATATATACTAAAATTCAATGAAAGTATTTGGATCAAGGAAATTGCTGTTCAAGAATTGTTTAAGAAAGCAGTTGAGCATTAAACATTTTCTAGTTCTAACATCTTTTCCTGAACTTTGAATTTCGTATTCCATTAAACTGACATTAACTCTTTCTTTTTCTTCTTGTTCGCTGTCTTATCGCTTCGTGTGTGTCTTGAAAGAACCTATAATGGAAACAGCGAAACACTTTTCTTTCTGCTTGATGGCAAACAGGGAATTGGAAAAAAATCGATAAATGGAAAGAGAAGAAAAAAATTCATTTGCTTACTTGTACAAATGGAATTGACTAAGAACGACATCGTAGTGCTTTATAAAAGGGTTCTGTTCGAACAAGCAGTTGCGAAGGAATAAACTTTCCATCATGAGCTGCTAGTTTTAGTTGGAATTCATGTCTCGTTAAGCAAGTTTTTTTCGCCTTATCAAGCTTTCAATGTATTCTGCAGCAAGTTGCTTGAGGGCAACGAGAAAATGTATTTGTGGAAGGGAAAAAAATGAAATGTGATTATGTGAAAGAAGACGGTGGCGATAGGTAGTGGAAGGGGCGATTTTCACAAAGATATAAAGAATAAGAAAAATAGAAATGGCACGATAAATACGGCAGAGAAGCTTTAGAAGCTTCATCAAGACCGTTCACCGACATGGTTCAATGTCGGCGACTAGATGATACTAAAACATGAACATCTGTGGAGTGAGAGAACATCAAGGAATGGTAATAACTTTTCGATGTTACATGCTTCCCGATTTTTTGAACGAACAGCATCATCACAATACATCATGTTCGAACTTATATTTTTAGGTGGTGTGAGATGACTTTTAGAAAGATTTATTGAGATGTGAGACATGTTTCTTCATCTCATTTACACGTCACAAATCATTTTTTGTTTCATCAAACACAAAAACATGACTGTCATGTCTTACATCCTAATGTCGCCTTTTCTACTATCTCATCATTTTGCAGATGGACTTTGATTTTTGCTTTTCTCCATCTCGTCTTGATTATTAAGTATTATATTCAATCCGATGAATTAAGAAGAGAAATTTTCTTTTTCATCATTCTCATGTCACAATGGAAAAGCGATCATTTTCAATTTTGAAAATTATCTGCTTCGCTTCTCAATCTCAATCTCGATTTTCATTTTAAGTATTCCACTTTGTCTGCTTGTTCTTTCATAAAACGATAAAATATCGATGAACGTAGCAAGCAGTTAATGTAGACAAATGCTTACAATTGTCCATCATGAAAATGTGGTAATAAAAAGGCGCCAAAGAGATTATAAATTTTTTTTCCTCGCATTACCCCAGCTCATCGCCACCCCATCACCGCACCACAAACGACATCATTTTAAACCATCTCCAAAGAGACACACAAAAAACGATGGCGAGAGCGAAGAAAGGAAAAATGGAAAAGCCAGCAAAAAACATACCTCAAATAAAAATACTTGAAAGGACATCTTGCTGGATGTGCGTGGAATAATAAATTAAGAATGGATGCATCATCAACATCATCGTCGTCTCGTTCCACTTTGTCATTACTGTCCGGGGCTATTCATTGTTTATACACAATAAATCTGCTGTACGAAAGTGAAAGAAGAAACAAAAAATCTTGCGGGGAATTTTTTTGCTTCTTTCAAATAGAAAAATGAAAAAAGAAGGAAAATCTTTCTCCAATTTCGATACCGAAGGACGGATAAAGCTTTTATGTGCACGATGTTGAATCGGAAATCGTGATGAAGAACGAAATCAAGGCAAGGAAGCGAACAAAACTTTTTTCATTAATAATTATTAAGACTTTATAAACCATGGATTGATGTTAATCAATACTTAAAAAAGAAGAAAAAGAGAGAGAGGAAAACTTTTTTATTTATTCCGATCCAAGGCTCAATGATTTTCTTTTTCCTTCTTTTCCACATCAATTCATTGGACGGTGAAATTTTGCGTTGGCTGGGTGGGTGAAGTATTTCGATAGTGATGGATTAATTCACTAATCCTTTTTCACAAGCATTTTCCGTTAACTCTCCCTAACTTACTTATTTTATTCTCTGTCCAGTGAAACTAAATCAAATTCAACATATGAACGAGAGTAGGATGGGGGGAAAAGAAAGTTGAAATTAAAATCTGGAAATTAATGGAAGAAGCAAAGAAAAGTTTGTGATTTCTTTTTTGTTTCTTTAAGTATCAGCGATTAATAATCTTCCTGAATTAGAGGACGAAATTGTTGTTCATTCTGCAAATGTTTTCACCATTTAATGATTATTTATTTAGCGTCGCATATTGACAATGTGTTTGTATTTATGCTGAGATTTCTTTTATTCAGATATCATCAAGTCGTGGGTGAAGTGGTCAGAAAAAGAGGAAAAGCTTATTTGCATCGTTATTGACAGAGTTTCAATTGGTTTTGTGGCATATGGGAAGATTGTTAGAGCGAAAGCTTCTTGTTTGTTTTTGATTCTTTTTCGTTCTTTCTTCTAATAAATAAATGAATAATGAGTGACATATTTTTATTCTAATAGATGGGAACAATGTGTCAGTAACATTCATTGGCGAAGCTTCTTTAATGTCGTTGTTTGTTGTTGATCGGAAAACACTCCAAGTCACTTCGATTTCATACAAGTATGATCATAAGTAATCAATTATTTATTCGTGTACTCATTATTCATGAGCTTTTCAAAACAGTTATTCATAACTTGCAGAAAGCAGAATGAAGAGAAACTGCGATCCCGCTTATTCAATGCGACAGAAGTCGTTTAATCATAAAGTTCGTTGACGAAAATTCAAGGAATCGTTTGTTTGTATATTTTCGAGCGGAAATTTGATGGGAATTTCGTCAAAAAAGAAGTTTCTGCATAGGCAGTAGAATACTTCGGTGTGACATTCGATACGACAGATTAAAGCCCACATTTGTGGGATGAAACATCAAAAATTTCACGCAAAAAATGAAAATTACGTCAGGATACTGAAAAAAACATTCATGAAATGTGTTGAAAAATATTTTTGTTTAATTTCATCTCATTGAGGTGAATGATGAAATAAATTATTAAAAAGGTTTTGAAATTTAAGAAAGAAGGATCCAACTCATACCAGCATCATTTTCATCAGAAATTATGGAATGTAAACAGCAACAATTTTTTTCTCATTATTGTCATTTGTCATTATAATACAAACACATTGTGTTAAAACGGTGGAAAGCCCAACGACAGTGATTGAATAGACATCAGAATTATCCTCGCACGTCAACAAGAAAGTCATTTTGCAGAAGGCAAAAAAAAGTTTCAACCCTCGCTTCGTCGCTTATTCATTATTCGGTGTTGTTTCTGCTTTCGTTACGAACTGCAGTGTAAATGCTTGCCTCAGGCTCAAAGCTAACGCACAACAAAATTATGAAACACATAAAAATGAAAAAGAAGGATAACTGGCACCAGACAATTGACAAATTTTTTATCATCACTGCAAATTAACAACTCACGTTTTAAATTCAATTTTCACCGGAGCTTTATTTTTCAATTTGTCATATGAATTCTATGTAGAGAAGCATTGTGATGCATCATTGTGTAATATCACGTTTTGTGCATATTTCGCTATCATACAATTTTGTACGACACAAATGATCAGAGAAGAATTCAACAATTGCGACATAATGTCTGACTTTATGTAGCTCCCACTAATGATGAAATTATCTAACATGGAACAGCAGTACATTTGGAGTTGTGAATAACATTTCTCTCGACTGTTGATATATATGTTGTTAGCATTCTTCAATGTCTACATTTAAATTTAAATATAGAACATTGAAGCATGAAAATGAATTTTATTTCACGCAATTTCAATTGATTCTGAAAATGTTCAACTTTGCATTTCTGCATTTGTAACTTGTTATTTATTTTTTCGCGAGCGCCAGGCGAGATTAAAGGCATTTCAATGCATCATTTCGACACAAAACACATGTGAAAGTGAACTTTATTTATTTATTTTCGTTTCAGCAATATCGTTCATTCATTCATTCATAAATATAAAATAAAAAAAAGAGTCAGCGAAAAGTCAGAAACAATATGTTGTTAATGAATGAGAATAAAAATAAAAAAAATGTCTTTGCAATAAAACAAAAAATTACAACACTGATGATGCCCCCGGATTGCCGCACAAATTTTTATTCTGATGTCATTACATCATCGATTACGTTTTTTTTCTTCCTTTTTTTCTGTCATAAATTAAAACATTATGACAGTGCATCGAGAATTTCAATTGATGCGGGGGAGTATTTTTTTTAAAGTGCATTCAATAAAATGAATGACTCATGATGATGCAATTTTTTTATTTCATCGAACAATCATCGTCATCATCATCATCATAATCATGAATGTGTAGGAAACGATGACAAGACAACCAAGCCTCAGCAAGAGACACAAACTGTCGACTTAATTAGATTCTTCTTCCGTTCCATTCTCACTTCCAGGCGCAACGAGGAGTGAGTTCATTTAATTTATAATTTTTTTCCTTCATTTCACTTCCTCGCCATCACCATGTCGAGTAATAACTCAATTAAAGATTCAAGTTAGCTCTAACTCAATCGAAAGCAAAAGAAAATTTGCTATTTTGCTTGCTGCCAATGCCTTTTCTTCTTCCACCGTCTCGGCACTGACGAAAGTGAAGCGTATGAAGAAAATGAAAATAGACATCGCCACGATGGGGAATTTTTGTTTCTGCTGTGTTGCTGTGCAAGCCGATTGTAGGAAAAAAAATAAAACAAAGTTTTCAGAGCAAGGAAAGAAAAAAAGAAAAACGTTTTTCGACTTTGTATTATTAAATTGCAAAGTGCGAAAATAAATCGCCAACTTTTCTAGCCGCTTTCGTCGGTTAAAGAAGAGTGAAATTGAAGGAATTGCTTTCTGGCTTTGAACCAATCATCGGCTAGACAGTAATTCGTAATGTGACGTTGAATGTTCACGACGATAAGCTCTGATGTGCAAGTAAATAAATATTAAAAAATCTTTCCCTCATTCGACCACTCACTGTACATAAATTGTCTGCACAACAGAAAACTAATTTTAACATTCTCGAAATCTTTTAAAAGCGTACAGGAATAACTCATCGGAAAAAGTTGCAAGGAGAAAGAAAAGAGTTAATATATAAAAATAATTAAAATAAAATGAAAATTTAATGCTCGCAATTTCTTTACTTTTTTTCTTTCTTTCTTTCTGACTGTCTACGAACGTAGGCGACGAGTGGCGTTTGAGGAAATTGCGATGTAAATTTTTCTCTCTTTTTTTCTTTTTAGGTTTTTAAGATTCTACGTTATCAATATAGCATGTTTGATGCAATTAAAAAGATCCAAAGCAACCGCGATTACCATAAAGACATTAATCCATCTTTTGGAATGTTCATCTTATCGTTTGACGCACTGAATTCTGTTTTTCTTTCTTCCATTCAACCTGTTTGTCTGGATTTCTTTCTGCTGTATGGCTTAGCCATCTTTAAAAAAGCTTCCGACGAGATGAAGGCGATTAAGATTTTTCATGTATATTTTAATTTGCCTTCTACACCGAAGCTTTGAAGAAGGAGTTTAAAATTTTATCTTTGATCTTCTAGATATGGCGTTAAATCATTGGAATTCAATTCAAAAGCGCCATGCAAGCCAACAACTTGTAAACAAACAATTTTCAAATGAATTCTTTCGTTTACAGTTATCAAAGCGATTATAACTTGACTTTGCATGAGAAACAAAATCGCTATCTATCGCTCTTCCTGACAAACATGACACATTCAATAAAGAATGTTAAAAAAGCATACATCGAGCAAATCTCTTTAAATGGTCTCGCATATGAAATCGAAAGAAAAAAAAAGTTCCCACAGTCGGACAACGGACACTTTCGTTATTGTTGTGCCATTTTCACAAATAATAAATTTCATACTCTCAACAACATGAAATTGTGTGAGAGGCTCGAGCTCGACGTTCTTTTTTCTGCTTATTCATGCCGTTTTGCTTTATACTCGAGCACTGTTTCTTCTTCTGCTTGAACCTTTTATGCCCACTTTTGGTCTTAAAACTTTTATTATTATTATTACTCTTTTTTTTCTCTTATTATTGCTCCATGTTTGTGCCGAAATAAAAGAAAGAAAGACAAGAAAAATTCTTGCTGAGCGCAAACACGTTTTTCTTTTATTTTCGAGACTTCTTTTGCGCTTTTCTACTTATGGCAGGGTAAAACGCATTCTTTCTTCGTCTCTCAATCAGCAGTCGTCGATGAAACAAGAAGATTTGGTAAGTGGTGAAAAGACTACAAACAACAATACCGATCGGAATGTTCAACTGTGCCATATAAATATAAATAAAAGCAATGAAAATCTCTTCTTGTTTTTAAAGGGGGGAACTCGTTGAGAACGGCTGCGGTGGCGGTGATGAGGAAAAGAAAGAGAAAGAATGAAAGAAAGCAGAAACTATATGAGGCAACATAAATATATTTAAATTCATCTTATTAAGAAACTCGATTTCTCGGGAATTATTAGCATTTATTATCCACTCCGGTCTTTGATACTTTAATGTTCGATTGGAAGCGAGACGAGATGATAGGAAGAAGGGGGAGAAAAGGGGAGAAGCAACATCAATAAGAAGAAAAGTATTTATTTCTCATTCGTCGCCTTTGTGTTTATTTTGTTGTTTCTTCGCTCGCTCCTATCGCGCGATATCTTCAATAAAGGCTTGAATAAAGGCATTAAATTCCAAAGAGCCTCGAGAAACACGCCACAAAGAAGACATTTTTTTTTTCTTTTCGTTTAGGAATTTCTAATCGAAATTTATTCTTTTGCTTTTCTAATAATCTCATCGACGATTTCACCTTCAAATTCGATTTATGAAATTCGAAATGAATAAAACATGTACATTTTGCTTCTTTCACAGTTGCGACACTTTCAATGCTTAAATTTTATTCATTTTATTGAATGATGGTTAAATATGGATTAAAACTTTGATGAGTTTGTTCATAAATTCATAGGAAATGTTTGTATAATTTAATATCAAATCTTAATTATTTACTTCTTTATGAGCGTTATGATGGAAATTGATTGTGCACCACGCGTAAGTCATGAAATTAGGCTCATTTAAGTGTCTAGCGCTGTTGCGCAAAAACACGATTTAAAAGTTTTTAGAAAAAAAAATCGTCTCAGACTAAAGCCAACGAACAGTGAAATAATTTTTTTCCTTCTTCTCTTTTAGTTTAATTATCTTTCAAACATCTAATTTCTTTATTTATTTCGTCTGCCTACTAAATAGAAGCAAACGAAAAAAAAAAACATAAAACAAGACGACCAGAAAACGAGCGAGCAAAAAAAATGAGAAGCTGTGGATTCGGCGGGTTCATAAAACTAAAGTTAGTTCTATATTTTTTTAAACATTCGTCGTTTAATTCGACGCGTTAATTGTCGTATGCTGCTGGTATTCTTGTAACTTTTGCTTCATCAGAGCGTCATCAAGCTTGCTAACTTGCTTAACGTTACATTTTCTCAAACTCTGCTGTGTATTTTTAGATTTTTTCTTTCTTATTTTATTTTCAACAAGCACTCAATATCGCACCCGTCTGATCACACATCGATCAACAAGAAGACGAACCAAACGAATGGGTCGTCCGTGACGAGAAGAAGGAAAAAAATCGAATGAATCGTCATGATGTTGATACTTTTTGCATGTCATTCACATTTTTCTTTCTCGGGGGCAATTTAAATTATTTAAGTTTCTTTTGTTATGAGTTGAAATATGTTTTGCGCCAGTCAACCAGCAGAACGATATCAAATAAATCCTCTGGGATTATGAGCTTGCGTCTGCTTCATTAAGGGAAAAAATAAGATAAATTCTTCTTCTTAATGATCGGAAATACTTTGCGATCAAAGTCATTAAGAATGCCAGAAGTCATATTCTTACATCATTGTGCAATAAATATTCCGTTGAAATCTTTTCACTTCTCTCCTCGTGAAGACAAGAAAGAAATCTTTAGTTTTTGACTCAGTTCTTGTGTGATTGTATGCTGTCATGTCTGGTGCGTACACATGAACATTTGTCAATTGTCTCTACCTAGAAAATCTATACAATTCTATGCATACGACAAAGCTTTAAATGAATTGTTTCCGGTCCCTTTTTTAACGATTCAAGCACAAAAAAGAATTGCAAAACTAACACGAACTCAAAACATTGTTGAAATATGAAGTGTAATCATCAATGTGTGTTAGACTTCATCATCTTAAAAAAAAAAATTTACTTGGTAAAAAGACAAGCAAAGTATGGAAAGATGAAGGCATGTGAAACAAACATCATAAGTGTATCATATATAGATGTAAGTATGTACATATATCAAATAAGAACTTAATGCGATTCAATTGAAATTCTTTATACTTGTAAGAATCGATTGATCATTGAACTGTTAACTTCCAACGAAAAGCAGAAATTATAAGTCTAAAGTATACAAATGTGGACATATGAAAAGATAAGAAGAAGGAAAAAACCGCAATATGAAATGAGAAAAAATGTATGACAAATGTAAAATGATGTACGGTTTCTTTTCGTTCAACACGCATTTCCAGTTATTGAGAAGGAAACAACGAGCTACATCAACAAGCGTACACACATAAAGCTAAGTGAAGTCATTAGTTTTGCATGGAAAATGACAATAATTTATAAACGTTTACAACTTGACTTTAAAACATTTACATTTCGTGTTCTTAAGCATTTTATTTGATACTTGATCAGATTAGATTAGATTTGATTTGTATTTGAAAACAAGAAAAAGAAGTTGAATAAATAAAAATGCATTTTAAGTATTTTCCTTCTACCCCACCTCCAGTTATCTTTTTCTTTCCATCAACATTGTTGTAAGACATTTTCGTCATCACATTATAACTCATAAATTTATGTTTATTCACGAAAACGAGCTGACAGGAACAAGGCAAGCAAACATGTAAGAACAACAACACAAAAAAGTTTATTTCCTTCCCGTTTTTGTTTTGCGTATGGGATATGAAAATGAAATGAAACATTGAATAATTCTAATTCTGGAAGTTACTTTAAAAGATGGAGAAATGAAATATTAATTCGTTGGTGTTGTTGTTTCTGTCATTTGTGGTTGGTAATTTTTTTCAGATGGATATTTCCTCTATTTGTAATTTATTTTATTTTTTTCGCCATAAACATGCACAAACATTGAAAGCTTTCTTTTCTTATCGTTTTTTAAACGAATAAGAATAGTAAATGATGTGGGAGTAAAATGACTTACCTGAATCGATAGCAATTGTGTCCAATGTGTCTAGGATTTCATCTTTATGGGTCAACATTAGCTCAGGTGATTCCGTTTGAAGGATGCATTCCAGCACACGAGGATAAGCCTCTCTGTAATTAAAGATAAACAGAAAAGAGAATCCGATTAAAATCACAGATGATGCATTTTTTATGATGGTTAAATATGGGAAAGAAGTAAATATGCATATGAATAACATTAAGAAAAAAAAAGAATATCAAAAGAAACGATTCATCGGACATAAAAAAAACTCCAAAGAGATGATAAGTTGGATAAAGAGTGGAAGAGACATAACTGTAAACAAATTAAAGCACTGTGGGAAAATTTATTGGAAAAAAAGAAAGAGGCAGCATCAACAGCAGCAGCTCATCATCAAGTTTGACAAAAGCAAAGTCCGAACCATCAACAAGCGGCCATTACACCAACACACAACGGTATCAAGCGTTGCATTCCAATCGTTATCAGGTTTTTTTTATTACCAAAAGAAGCTTCAAGCCATTGCATGATCTTCGTGGTCGAGGACAAGATCATTGCAACATGTATTTAAGAAGAATAATGTTCTTCATTCTTCATTTGTTTTCCATTTTTTCCTTTTTTTCTTATCTTTCAACATTCACAACATGAATATTTCTTTTCTCTCCTTGCAAGACATTAGCTGTCGAGAAGAAAAAATTCTTAGAATTTCATCAAGAAAAAAAAGGAACGAATGTGCGAAAAAGGAGAGCAAAAATATTGACAAAGAAATGTCGCCTTGCTTTATAAGTAATTCTAGTGAGTATTGTCATGTGTGTAGGCGTTGGTCTGAGGTTTTTCAAATGAAAGGAATGCCATTTCTCCCCAGTCTTGGTTCTTAGAAGATGAAGTTGAGTGACAAAGACTGTGGTTGATATAAGGTTGAGTTAAGACAACATAAGCATTTTTTATCTCGCCACACACAACTGACCATCGATGAATGCTTTGGAATGTTTAAAGAAGTTCCACCAAAGACTGAAAACGAACAGACACCGCAACTTTGAAATTCTTCTTAATGTAACTGTTGTTTCCTTCTTAGCTTTCGAATTTCTTCTTTCTCTCTTTTCGCATTTTACTGCCTCGGGTCCAGACCAACAACAATGTGATCGCGAAATTCTTATGCTTCAAGACGTTTTCACAGAAACGAAGAGAAAAGGAATTTTTTTTTTTCATTTTTTTTCCTTCTTCCTTTCCTCTCTTCTCTCGCTTAGTTCTGTCGTCATTTTTTATTTGCTTCGCTTTCAATTTATTGCAAACAAGTGTTTCCATTTATACTTTTTCTTTATTTTGTTTGCTGCTGCTTCAAATTGATTCTCAAACGTCTTACGTTGATTCATAATTTTAAAAAAGACTTTCTTGAGAAATTTTCAGATCAATTTTCATAAGCCTATAATTAGAGTATCAATCTCAAGTGCAAGCTCATTTCTCTTTCGGTTTCGAGACGCATTGTGTAAGCAAAAGAAATATGAACGAAAATTTCCAATAATCATGCCGGAGACCCCGTAAAAATATATTTCGAAGAAAAAAAAGAAAAAAGAAAAGACAAACAAGACCACCCATAATATCCGATGAATATGAGATAGAAAGAAGAGATTTGCTTAGTGAGAAGAAAGTATGAATATTCCGTTGTTATTATTAACAGCATTTCTTCTCTTTTACAGCTTCTTGCATGAATCGTTTTTTGAAAAAATATCAATTTGATATTTATCCAGGAAAAAGTAATCTTTCAATTATCCACAACCACCACCAGTGCATTCATTTATTTTTATGCAACGTAATAATAAAAAAACACACATTTCATTCATGCAAAAAAGAAAGAGAAGAGAATTCCAATGAAAACATCAAGATTAAGGGGAAGCAAACTGATGAATATAGAGAGAGAGAGAGAGAGCGAAATGAACACTAAAAAGAAAATATCAGCAAACATACAAATCCAGCTTCATCATGATCACACCACAATGCAATGCATTTATTTTTTGTCGCTATTATTATTTTTAACGTTAAGTTCTTTACAGAGTTCTTCATTCATGGCAATTCTGGAAACGAGAAGTAAATCAAGAAAAAACCTCTACGGTTATAGACTTAAAAGCTTTTTCACATTATGTGACGACTATCATCATCAAGTTTTATTCATGATGATGGTAAAATGGAATTTAGCGCTTTGTGACATATGCAAGGAAGGAATAAAAAAATATCAACATCACAGCTATAAAATTGTGTAATCGAGTAAGCAACATTGCAACATATATTTTTGTGGAATCTGAGTCATTTTCATTATTGAAGCTATTTTAGCTTCGTTTTGCCATCATCAGCACATTTTTTCAAAAAAATAAAAGTTTCTCTTCGTTAAGGTAACAGAACTTGAGTTATTGAAGACGTTGTCTGCTATTGAGAACTATCAAAGAATAAGAAGAAACAAAGACGAAAAAAAAACTTTATACACATTGATATATCGTAAGAAGTTCTTTCACATCGCCCAATCTGAAATTTAAGACGCCGATAGTTGTTTTAGTCTGAAGCTCAGTTTACGGAAAAATTAAATAAAATCAAGCTCGAGCTCTCGAGTAAAACGAACACGATTGCAAGTGTGTGGCTTTTTTCTTCTCTTTCCATTCCCGCGCTCCATACATCAACGCTTGATTATTATGATGAGAAAGGAGAAACCAAAAAAATGAGAACCAGGCAACATATAACAATATTTTTTGTTATTATTAGTATGAAAAAAGGGGCAATGATCGATTAAAAAACATTCATGTGTAGAAATAAAAAAACCATCGACTGGTGCTGCGATGATGGTGTGGATGGTAAAATTGAAAGAAGAAAACAACATTATTTAAACGGGACTATTCTCAATTATAACTTTACATACAACATCGAGTAGAAAAAAAAAGAAGAGAAAGAAGAATATTAAATACATTCGAGGTTTGTTTCGTTTCTTTCCCTGATACAACACCAACAACAAAGCCATTCATAAATTTAAAGAGACAAAAGCTTTTTGGTCTTGATGATGGTTTTTCTTTCTTATTTCGTTATTTGCGCGGTAATCGCTAAGCAATAAGAATTAAGAATGCTTTCTCACATGGTAATTGATATATCTTCAGATGATGTCCTATGAACGTATATCAAGTTCCAATTGAAAACAAAAAAATTGTTTTAGTGACCATCACAATGAAGCGCCACCAGAAAGATTGTGACGCAAAAAGTTTATTCTTTTTCCTTTGTGTCTTACTTTGAACGAAGACTTTGCCATTTAAATTAAAGTCGCACTTGTGACAACAAGAAACACAACTGTTTTGTGCTTTTTTTCAGTTGACTCTTGCGGGAAGGCTTAGATATTAAAGTCACACCATATTGTTCCGTGTCGTCAATTCGCTCATTGTCACCATTTAACGCGTATATTTACTTTTACCTCGTCTGACGACAACTTATTTGCTCGACAACACGAGAAAATTGACGTCATCATGAAGGTTTTGTTTTCTTTCATTGTCTTCATTGCCATGAGATGCAATAAACTTTTAATATTTATTCGCAAATGAACACAATTTTTTTATTCTTTCATTTGAAAGTTCCAAAAAAAAGGCGATTCGTTTTCTCTTTCTTTTTGCGTCGCTTTTAAATTCGCTTACTTCTAAATTCATTCGCGACAGTAATACACAACAAAGAGCCTTGTGAATGTTTTGCTTGTGTTCAGTTGGGTGATAATTTTTAATTATAATTTGCGTTTTGTGCTATTTGGAATTGCTAATTTAAATACATAGCAAGAAAAAAGAAGAATTCAGCGACGATATACGAAAAGAAGAACAAAATAAAAAATTCGTGAGATGACATAAGCAAATACGAAACGGGAAACCGACAAGATTTTCATTCATTTATTTTCTCGTCGTCCTGATCTATGCATATATTGGAACTGAAAGATGTGATTAATCAAACAAAGTAAAGCATCCTTGAGCTAGAATTAGCAAGCTTTACAAGGAGAAAATATACTGATAGGTTTAAATCATCACAGATGACAATTAATAAAATTTTTCGCTTCAATTTCCCTTGTATTGCGGTTTTTGCAAAACATGTGCTTTTGTTGATGAACGAAAATCAAGTATCAAGGGAAGACCCAAAAAAAAAAAAGACGAAACGAATGCTTAAGAACAACATTAAAAAAATCTACACGGCTCACATTCACAAACATTTTTTTAAATAACTTCCGGCATTATTTTTTTTCTTCTTTTTTTCATAGTTTGGTGCATGAAAGAGACGAACGAAATGAAAAAGTGTAGAATTATAAATAACCATTTCACTTATGGTACGACTACACATTGGCATTTGTTTTTCTTCGGGGGTATAGGTGATTCGACCCTGTGCCAGACTGAGAAAGAGAGTTTAGTAAAATCATCATCATCAGCACTGTATCGTCATTTGTGTGTGTGACTGTGAGTTGATGTCTGTCTAATACTGATTGTGGTTGTATTTAAGATTTTTTTATTTGAAAATTCTTCTTATAATAAAAAATTTTTAAGGCTATTTTCGAATCGGTTCTTTTTTCTTTATTTCGTTTCGAGGCCTTTTTGTATATTAAAGTTTAATTTATTTGAGGAATATGTATTTGAAACATGCGACCGAAAGCAACTACATTTGACAGAAAGAGAAGAAAACGCTTTAAAATAAAAAAAAAGTTTTATTCAAATTTTCTTGAACGAAACTTTGCCTTTGTCTTATAATTTTTCATACGATAAAAACAGACTTTAACTTTATTGGTAGCGTCATTTAATTTTTTTTGTTATGAATTTATATCGAGACAGATACGCTGCTCTTTATCAATAAATATTTTTTTTTTCACTCCAAACTCATCAAGTGTAGTGTGTAAATAATTTTTAAGTTCATTTACTTTTGCACAATTATAATTTGCTTTTCAGGTATTTAGATACTTAAAAATTTATTATAAAATAATGGCATATTCTCTTAATTGGGCTTTATACAGCTTTTAATTGGAATTGATTTTTAATTTATGCACGGCGGTGAGTATTTAAGAGAGCTGAAGCGCGAGCGAGCATTATCACAATATTTATTACGCATTAACGAAAATTGTTCCAAAAAACCCAAACCGACAAAATTTTACTTCATTTTGATGCAATGCTTGAGCTTCAGAGTTTTGATATTGATTTTTTTTATTCTTCTTTCTTTCTTCTTCGATTTCAAAGGCCTCGACATGCGACGGGAAGAATATAATATTTTTTCTCGAAGAACATTTTTTTCTTTTCGATCTCCTATTCTGTATATTTTTTTCTTGAACATGCGCCTAGATTTTATACAACATGAAAATCACATTTTTTTCTTGCTTGATATTTCAGTGAAAATCAGTGAGTTTTGATGAATAATTTTATTTCCTCTCGCATATTTTTTTCAAACTGTGACTATTAGAATAGTTTTTATAATTTTTTCAGATTAGAACTTTATCACCTTTGATGCTTAAATTTTTTTTCTCCAACAATGTTCAAAACAAAATGGCGCATTTGAAAAAAAATGTGTGTAAACAACTCTTCTCCATGCCCGCGCCAAAGAGAATCACACCCTAAAAAATTCTTTTTCTCTTGCGACTGTTATCAAAACGCAATAAATTTCCGTTAACATAAAAAGCTTTTTTTGTAATGCTTCACCACAACACATTCTCAGGTGAAAAGAAATTGCTTAATCCGAGAAGATAATGAATTATGATCAACATTTTACACACCATCAGTTTTAATCCTTTCATAAGGTCTCGTAATCCAATAAATAATTCGCTATAAATTTCTTTCGACATCGGCAGTATTTAAACTTTTTCCCTCGATGAGTTCTCATAGTATCGCTTTGCACTGCACGTTTTATTTCCATCATTATCAATAATAATTCTTTTTCATTCATTTTTTTCTCTCTTTATTTTTTGCCGCTCTATATTTCACTACTAAATCTTATAAATTCTTATCATTTATCACTGAATGCACTTTCTAAAATATTTTGCATATTTTTTTTCGCATTTTTTCTAATAAAAAAAATTTTTTTAGCCTTTTTTCTTACAAAAATGAAAAAATTCGAGAGCGCGCCAACGATCGGTTTGCTTTCTTTTGAAAAAAAATATACTGAATGAAAAATAGAAGTCTTGTTCAGAAACCCAACCTAAATCTTTGATGTTCCAACACATATCAAAACACGACATCGCTACACGACAACACTACGAAACTTCGGCATCTACAGACACTATTCGAAGACCCCGTCAGTCGAAAAAAATATTTTTTTCTACGCATTTTCCAATAATATTCTTCACTGTAGTAGTTGCTTGAGAGCATCCTATGTAAGTCGTCGAATATTTCTTTTTGTGTTACATTGCACGAGTCTCTTGAACATACAACAGAGCGTCGGGTGTAAAAATTGGAAAAAGACAGAAACATTTTGCTTTGCGACGATGCTAATGTGTAATTTTTTTTGGAATTTTCTTTTTCTTCTCTTATTTGCAGAAAGCTTTTGCAAACAATCGTAAGATTAATTCTAAAGTTTAGCTGCATCATCATTATTATATTTTACTTTATTTCTACATTAGAAACAGATTTGTTTCATATAATTTACTCAATTATGTTGTTGTTAGGAGTAAATCTTACTTTAGCTTCATCTTTCAAAGTCAATAAATTAATTCTTGAAACATCTTTCATAGTTAACGCAGACTTAATTTTTTTTTCTTTTTCTCACTTGCAAAAAGACATTTTCAATTTTTCAGTGTGAGATTTTTGTCTGCGATTTTGATGATGAAGAAAAGATTCGGCTTGACAAGTGTGTGTGTATGTGTGTTTGTCAGAGCTGTCGCGACATTACTACAAATGAGATCAGTCTACGTTTTCATTATAAAAAAAGGCAAAATAACGTATAGTCTTCATTGCTTCCCTTTGCTTGCGACGTAGTTCGAGATCTCGTTTTCATTTCATTTCATTTGCTCCACAAATGGCTTCTATTTTTTTTTCTTTTTCTTTAAAAATATTCCAAAACTTGTACGGGGTCGAAAACGATAAACGTTTTCCTTTATCTGTTTTTATCGTATATCGTCGTTTTTGCAAAATTTGCATAATTAAAAACGTGTAAAATATAATTAAGAAGACATCGGTATAATAGTAAGCATCTAAATACTTATATCGTCTACAAGTTTTATTGTGTGAGCGAGATGGATGACTTGTTCGGCTTTTATTTGCGTCCCTCTTATAACTCTAATGAATATATTCAACACAAATAAACATCGGGAGTCTCGCATAGGTTTATATTAACATTTCACACTAACACTACAATCAATGATCTCGTTATTGGTATGAGTGAAATAGTACGTTTGGATTGTGAGCATTCGTTCATTGAATGAAGAAGAAAAAAAGAACTAAAAAAAATTCCGATAAAATGAAGAGAAACGAACTTATGGAGGCAAAAGGGACAAAAAAGCGTCGATATCATGCTTCCAGAGTTCAAAAAAACATAACTTTTGGCGCGTTAGTCTCCGAAAATTGAAGGTAAACTCTAAAAGCCTGTTTAACCCACTGAAAATTTTCTTCTTAGTAATAAAAGTCGGAAGTTGGTATTAAGAAAAATCCTTTATCGGTAATAAGATACATAAATATAAGAGACTTCTTTTTCTTCTACATTTCTTATGTCGATAAATGCTCGCTTGCTTGCCTCTCAGCAAAGAACTCACATAATGGCGGCAAAAATTCCACGCTACATTTTGTTCAAACGGGAAGCGCTTTTAAACACGTGGTTTTGTTTATGCTTTGATATTTCATGTGAAAAATTGCCTGCGTTTGATGTTCAATTGACTGAAGATTTATTAAATTTGAAGACTTTTTCCTATCCATCTTATTTTGATTAAATTTGCTTGACTTTTCACCCACCTCCATTCGTGAGAGAAAAAAATGAATCTATAGCTCATATCAACGAGCATTTTATTTTATTCTTTTTTTATAATTTTATCTCAAAGGAAGACATTCTTTTGAAAAGTAATAGATAAATTAAATAAGAAGAACACAAATCTTATCATTTGAAACTTTTAATCTTATCTTTAAAAAGTCACTTGTGTAAAAATTTAGATGTCCATACATTCATGAAAAATTGTGTGGAATAATTGATTGGCTTTATTCTACTGCTATCGCAATAATACATTCGAAAAAGTACTTAAGAAAATATTAAAGAACTTTATTCTACAATGCCATGGAAAAGAAATATATGGAGCTCTTTAAAACAGTTGACACCCACCAAAATATCTGCTTTTTTTCCTCGCAGTTGCTTTGAAGATAGAATTTTCTCGTGTGTAAGACGCACAACTACTATCAGCTTAAAGTTATTTGATTAAAAAAAAAAGAAAGAAAAGAAACATCTTAAATGTGTGAGCCACGCTATGAAAGCGTCTCGATAGTTTCTGATGACTGTACGTCGTTCGGAACATACAAAAAATCATCATCGTCATCATCATTCATACCTTCGAGGATTATTCTCGTTCTTTAAAACCTAAAGGCTTCAAAAAGGATGAAAATAAATCAATTTGTTTGATGTTCTTCTTTATGTCATATTAAATGTTCAATTAAATCAGCAAAATTGTTTCATTTCAATGAATTGAATTTTTTTTCTCCCTCTTCGACCTCCATTTTATATTTTCGACCAAGCAAAAGACTCAATTGGTCAAGTAGATTCGCATATAGTTTTGATTGAAAGTCTAAATTAACCCCAAGAAAATCTTTCAGATTGAAGTTAATTCACTTTTGGTTTATGAAAAGATCTCTCAAATCATGGAAAACCCTTTTTCCCATTTTCTTGATTTTCATCAACAACAAAAATAAACTTTCACGAGAAGTTGGCTCAAAATGTTCCTTCATCGAACGAAGGTAGATCATAGCAATGAAACATCTTACAAAAAGGGTAACAATTGCTCCCTTCCTTGCACAAACCAAAATCTCTACCTGATTCGTAAACATTTCAACGATTCCTTTTCCTTATTTTTTTGTCTTTTCAGGATATGCTTGAGAATGATTTTTTAAGAAAGATTCACGATGAGAAGTAAGAGAGTGCAAAAGGACGAAAAAGATTTACTTTAACACACTGACATGATTTTTACTGTAGCAACGATATGTTTACACAGAAACTGGTGAACATAAAATATCCTTTGGAATGTTATTGTGAAGATTTTTAAGATTTTTTCTATAAGACTAAACAACTAAGAAATTCTTGTTTTGGTAAGTGAGAAGACAAAAACAATTTGTGTGGGAAATTTCTCATATCATGTGATATATTTTAACAGTGTTAAGGTTCAAATCATTTCTTTTGCTAATCTATTACTGAAAATAAACTTTCACACACTGATTTCTCAAAATATCGATAGGAAACTTGAAGCAGATTTAATCTTGTTACTTTCAAGATTCTCACGGTAAATTCTTCATTGAAACTTTCTCAAATGTCTTTCAATTTGAGAGATGGATTTAATGAAACGAGAAATTCGATTCACAAACAGAAATGAATTTCAGAATTTGTTTTTTATCCTTGAACTTGTTTCTTCATGCATTATCAGCATCAATCAAATTGTATTTGCTTTTCGCTAGAAGAACAACAAAACATTTAATGGAATTTCTATTAGGAAACAATTAGTCGTTGGACTGACGATAGAAAGGATAAAGTTGAAAGTTTAATTGTTGCATCACGGTTAGTAAACACAACACTTAAAAATAATTAACCAAGTAATACGCTGTAACTCTTTGGAATAATAAAACTTATCTGATATGTGATGCATAAAATTTCATGAAATCATTACTTTGTTCATGAATTCAATTAGAATTTCATAGAAAATAAAGAAAATTAAATGTTGAGGTCGTTTTTTAAGCCAATAACATCAAAAGCTTGTAATAAGATTCAAAATAAATTAATTACGGTTGACTTGTAAAATTTACCATATTCAGGTGCCAATAAACAATGTTGCTGAAAAAGCTTAAGAAAGGCAACAAACCGTAAAGCTTTGTGTTGAATATTCACCCTTAAACAGCATAAAAATCAAGCACGTTTATTCAAAACATTCTTTTAGGTGTTTCATGGCTAGAGATCTTATGGTGATCACGAGAAAAGTTGACTAATTAAAGTGTCAGACAATTATTATTACAAGAGAGTTCGTTACAGAAAGGAGATATGGAAGAACAAAAAGACAAAACTTTCAACAATCTATCTTCATCCGAAACTAAATAAATAACAGAGTTCAAAGTTTTACCATAAAATTAAGGCAAGCCATTCAATTGCAGCACAAAAACCACTCAAGTTACCAGAAAATTTTACTAACTTCATTATTCTACATCTATTGGCATGGATGTTTGTAATTGCAAATATATTTAAGTGAGAAGTCCTTTGAACCTTTATGTAAGTTTCCACTGAATAAGTCCAGACATTGATGTAAAAACTTTACTATTTAGATTTTCTACAACTACGTGGTTGAAAATCAGAGCAAGAAGTTTTCCTCCTTTTTTTTACATACTCTTACATCTATGAATCTCATCAAGGGGTTGAGAGGAAATAATTAAGTTCTTTGGATGATGGGACACAAAAAAAAGAAACGAGCAAGAGGAAACTTTGCAGATGAAGCATAAATTTTCTCTCGTTTATGAATGGAAGCATGGAAAGCAAATGGATAATGTTAACCATGGATCCAATTATGAATCCTTCTTCTTGTTTCTCAAAAGCTTTTGTAGGAAGCTTCTCAATTGTTTATATGAAATATTCAAATAACAGTTTAAGGATATTTGAGATTTTGTAACAGCTCAAACGCCTAATTGACATCTTAATTTATCTAATTCTATGGTCGTGAGAGTTGAAGGCAAATAAGGGATGGTAATTGTGGGAAAGGAAGAAATTTGCATCATTTCTCGGCTTATTTTTAACTGAAGTCTAGAACCAACCGACAATTGGTCTAAAAATGTATCTTATTGAGTTATGAAAGTAATTGAAACTTAATACATAATTTTGAAGTTGTCAGCTTGCGAGGGAAATTAAAAGCGTTCAAAAAACTTCAGTTTTTAACCCTTAACGTGGTGATAACGAGATAAATTTTCAAGCTTAATTAAAGATACGCCCAAAGGCAGGGAAATGCTGCTAAAAAAAAGAAAATTTCGCTTCTCGTTATTCGAAAATTGACAATTTTAAAATCATTTCCTTGCGTCTTAATTGACAATTTCGGTTCGAAAATAATCATAAATTTTCAATAGTCATGTTATGACTTTCAATAATCTGCCTTTTTCTCTATGCATTACTAGATATCTTTGCAGAAATATTTCTCGTTTTGTGCTAAGTTTCAAGATGTTTGAAAAAGGAAAACATGGTGATTTTTCCAAGAACTTCATAGATGTTCTTCCATATAAATCAAAGTTGTTTGAAGTTTTGAAAATTCTTCGAGGCTATCCATAAGTTCAAATAACCGAGAAATGTCTCAAAGCATCGAAAACTGATTTTCTTAAAACCATCGAACTCCTAAATTTTCTCCCCGCAACCGCAGCATTTCGCCAAAATGAGATTTGCGTGGCTGGCTTTAAATGTGTGTAGAGAATGTGACCAGCAAGATGGCGAATTCAAATAAAAAGAAAATACGAATGTGTGATGCCCACATAATAATGCGCGAATGTTTTAATACACAATAAAATAACAGTGAAACAGCGTAGTCTGTATCGCGCGGCGTTGTCGCTTCACACCGTCGTGTTGTATCAGAAAAAGAAGTAAAAAAATTTTATACTTTTTTCGCGATACATTCTCGCACACACATTGTGTGGCGTGTGAGACGAGCGACGCTTATTCAGCAATCAACAATCAGCGTATGAGCAAATGAACCTGAAGCATTGACACAAGAAATGTTGTAGTAAGTAAATTTCATTATATTTTAGCCTGTCATACATATAAAGCAACTATTTAAAGAGACCAGACTCGCTTCGTGAAAGAGAGCAAAGTATGAGATATGAAGCGAAAAAAAAATTATCTGGCGTGAATATATAACTTGCGATATAGAATTGAATATCGGAGAGAAATGGATTCACGAAAAAAAAAAACTAAAAATAAACTTTCCGTTTCAGGCCCAAAAGTCATGAAGTGAAATCATGTCTCGTTGACTTCTTAAACTTTATGAAAATAATTTTAATCCTGGTTCGAACAAGAAGAAGAAGTCAGAGAAAGAAAAAAAAGCAAAATAAATTTTGCAAATTAAAAAATGAGAAGAAAAAAAAATTATTGAGTTCTCGTGTGTGCGGACAGCGAAGTATTTTTTGAGGAAAATTTCAAATTTAGTTCAAAGTGTGTCTTCATTGCCATTTTTTTCAATGAGGCGGAGTTTTCTTTTCGCAATTTTCAAAATGATGAATAACTTTTGGTCTAGATTCAAACGAAAATTTCTACACAAGTTTTCATTTGCATTTTGACGGCATATTTCCATTTCCTATGAGCCTTAAGTATCCAATTACAGATTAATTTTCCATGAAATCTCAACCACCATGAAATCAAATCAGGTGATTAAAGCGCTCATTCGTTCGCTCGCTCGTTTGCTTGCATCAAACATTTTTGAACCACCAAGACGACGACGAAGAAGAAATGAAATCAAATCGAATAATTGAATACAAATTACGAGATTATAACAACTATTAAACCGTTTGTTAATGTTTTGTCGAGCGCATTGCTTTCTTCCTTCTTTATCGGTTGAAAATTTCTCACATTTCATTCTTAAATAAATTTTTTGTTTTTGGTACACTGTATTGGCTTTAGCGTTTTGGTATGTGGAGTAAGGGGAGAGGGAAAATAAATAAACAGCAATAATAAAGAGTAAGAAAAAAATGTTAAAGTAACTGTAAATTATAGAAGAGAAAAAAGAAGAAAGAAAAATTTCATGACAACAAGCTAGTGCCGCTGAAGAATGGAATGTGGTGCTAGGAGAAGCGAGTGGATAAGCGAAAGAAAGAAAGACTCGTGCAAAGAAAGAAAAGTGTAACAAATATTGACGAAACGAAAAGTATTTTATTAAAAAGAAAAGAAGAAAAATTTACATAACTTTTATATTTGTTTTGCGTTGCTTTTTAGCTTTTCTTGTGTCTTCTGACAGACGAAAAAGAAATGCAAAGTGCATCTCTCACTTCATAAGCTTTCCATCTCTTTCATCAAAGGAATTTTTCAATAAGAAATCAGTCGTACATTGTATGATGGAATGTAAACATTTATTTTATGTTTATCGATAATGTATGAGAAAGAAATGAGAATGGTTTGTAATTAAAATGTAGCAGCAGAGCTTTTAACTGTTTGCATAAAATTTCCCTTCAATTGTGGATAAATAATTTGATTAAATTGTATGCTGCTATCGTCCAACATGAGCTACCATTGTCCCATTTACTATTCTTCTGCATGAAATATTAAGAAATGTTTTGCAATATCAACAAAGAAATTGAATTTTCTTTTCCAACTGAACAAGGCGATAACATAGCAATATAAAATCAAATTAATGAATGTTCAGACATTGATTTTGGTGTGACTTGAACACAACATATATCGTCGACATTAAAAATGTATTTAAATTTTATTGGAGTTTTCTTTTTCCTCAACGAAACTCTGCTGTATTTATTTAACATGAAACAAAGATTTCCAATTCCCCTTAGGAAGGAATAAGCAAGTAGATAAGTGCTTGTCTTGAAGAATGAAACAATACGAAGAAAATACGCTACAACATTGGAAAACGCGTAAATATTTTGAATTTTTCACATTCCACGAACTGTTGTACACACTTTCCTTTCTTTTATTTTCTTTAAAAAGGCCTGATTAGTGCCAACACTTGGTTGGTGCTTTATCTAGGCTATGCATGCTTCGGTATCCAATAATGTCCATTATTTGAATTTCACATCGATGGAATGTGTTTTTTTTCTCTTCTTAGTGTCTTGCGGCTCTTTCCTTGCCTTTATTTGCATTTGCATGAACGAAGAAGCGACAAAAAAAAGAAAGATCGAGAGAATAAAGACCTTAATAGCTTATGAACAATGAAACCGTATAGACAAATGCATTTCCTTCACCGAATCGACAGCATATTGGATGGAAATTTATGCTTGAAGCATGGAAAAGTCTCATCATACTTAAATGTTTATTCCGTCATTTCATATAATTGAAGATCTCTTGACAAGATCTCTCTAAGCATTAAATGAAGAAGGAAAGAAAGAAAAATAAAAGTCAACCGGAAGACAAGACAAATCATTACAAATGTCAACTGCACAATTGATGACATAGAAAGAAATTGAATCAATATCATCGTTAATGTCATTCGCCTCGTTCACCGCACTGTCTAAAATCGGAACCCAAACAATAAACCACAAGCAGAGAGACTCGGAACGGGGAAAATAAAATCTCCGCCAGTCTAAAAATATGTTTCTTTTTATTTTCTTGAAAACAGGAAATGAAAATTAAGATGAGAAGTATTATCAAAAAATCTCTCAACACACAACATTTTTCCAAGCAGCATTATATGAGAAGACATCGGGGGCAAAGATGAAGATGAAGAAGAAAATGATGCCAAGTAAGCTGACGAAGATTACAAGAGGGAATGATGAGTGTACAAAATGAGGAGTGGAAAAGCCAGTAGTCTGATGAAAATCGTCTTGATGAACAAGAAAACGAAAAAAAATCTCCCAAAAAAGAAAAAGAAAAATTCCAAAAATAAATTTATGTTACCCACAAAATGAATCTAATAAAAAAAACTTTTTTTTCTGTACACCGAAACACATTCTTTCGAATGACAAGGGGGTCTCTGTCTCTTCTTTCTAGTCAATGCTATTTCTGAACTCTCGACGACTGTCGCCGATGATTCTTTTTAAAGAAAAACGCGTTTTTATAATTTCCGAAATTAAAATTTTTCACTTTCTGCTTGCTCCCTTTTTTCCACGAGTTCTAAACAGGAAAGTCAGGAAAGAAGAAGCGGAAAAGTGAATATAAGTTTAATTATAGACATCCCCCCTGTAAATGCAATGGAATTTGTTGTCATTTATGCATTTTGTCGTTGCATCTTTCATGATGACGCGCTTGAAGTGATGTTTATATTTAAATCTGTTGCATTTGCTACGTTTTTGTCTTAAATATGGAACTACGATGACTTTTCTTAACACCACCAGTCAGATTTGTTTTTTTTCTTTTACTTTTCTTTGATACTTTTTTTTGAGATTTATATGAAAATTAAGTGAATAGAATTTGACTGCATCTAAAGCTTTCATTGAAAGCTCACAGAATAAAAAGATTTTATCAAAAAAAATCGTTTTCCATTCACCTTTAAAAAAAGTTTTTATTTTGTTGTCGCAAAAACTTGAAACTTTCTTTCAGCGAACATCATGAACTTGAAATCAATTTAACTGCGTCACAATTGAACTTTATTCTGTTTTTTCTACTTTTCGCTTTATCAATTTCGCTTTACGTCAATTTGCATCTTTGAATATCATAATAAAGTAAAGAATCGCGTCCAAATTCACTTCCGACACTGAAAATTGCGTTTTTAGCACTGATAAGGAACTGAACGAACTTGACGATGGAAGTTTAAGCACCAAAACTGAATATTATGCGCATTAAGCTGAAAAAAGAACACAAAGAACTTCTCATCTACATTATTATTTTTTGTTCAGAAAAAAAAACATTTACAAGGCTGAATACGCTGACGTTTCTATTCAAAAGATTTGTTTCTTCGATTCAACGTTCAAATACGTTGAGATTAAGTTTTCTCAGACTCTTTTAATTATCATTCAGGTTCTGATTTATGATCCTGTATCGAAAATGTTTAAATCAACTCGAATCGATTTAAAACTGAGTCTATTGATTTTCCTTCTCCGAACTGCATTGTTTTGCTTGAAATGAGAAATTTTGAATGGAAATGAAAATGACACAAGGTTAGAGCTGTGAGGAGAAGACGAGTTGATTTTATCGCACTTTTGCGAGGTGTTTTTTTAAAGCGATGATCTAATTTTTATCAACCAACACAGAAGTAAGTGCAGAAAATCCTTCATTAAATCGGTTCAAACTTCTGGAAAAGCATCAACTTGCAGATATTTGGTAAGCATGATCGTAATTTTTCCTTGATTTAGACATTAAACGTGAGTAAATCGTAAACAACGAGATATAGTTGACGCGCCATAAATTTAGTCATTGAAGGTAATAAGGATTTAATGAGTTGGCCTTCAACTGATTGGTGGGGCATTTGCTATGCTTTCGATGTCGTCCTAATTACTTCCGCTTCTAAATGCCCATCATAAACTTTACAAAGAATTCTTTTGTCAGTACATTTTTAGGGCCAACAATTTCATTTTATATTCTTTTTTTTTGTCTCTTCGCAATCAGAGGTTGTCAAGTTGAAAAAAATCAAATAAAAAAGCGAGAAAAATTTTCATCAATAAAAATAAATTTTAAAATTAAAACTTTTAATTTTTTCTTTTTCTTTGTATCTTTCAATCGGCAAAGCGAGACAGCTATAGAGCGTCTTAAAAAGACACATTCAAAGAACAGAAAGGCACACACAACCAGAGAATCGGTCCGATTAAGAAATGATGCTCGCAATACACCTACAGAGGTACAGAGACGCATTCTCGATGAACGTGTGCGTGTGCTTCTTTACAGCTAAGCAGTTTTTTCTTCTTTTCCTTCATACACAAGCATTCCAAAATGTGAAGAAGAAAAAAATTAAAAAAATTAATACCCATTTTCTTAGAAATTTCTTCATTCCTTAATTCTTTTTCTTGTTTTTATATTTTGCTGTTATTTCTTCGTACAGTTTTCTTCCCAGTTTTAAACAATTCGAAAACAGTCGAACTCGAATGAAAGAAGACAGAAAAAGAGAAGCGTTGGTCGGTTACATCAAAAAAACGTAAAGTAAATTGTTAAAAAGCATTAAAAAACTGCACGAACAGAGAGATCTTTCCATCGTCTTCATTTTTCATCTTTCTTATTGATTCACGCATGTTGAAAGGTATTTAACAACAGAAGACTACTTGCAACAATTTAAAATGCTTCATCTTGTCTAGGTAGTGCCTGTAGCTAATCAAATACTTGACCGAAAGCTTCCTTACTTATTTGATATGAAAATCAAAATATATAATCACAAAGTTTGTTGCAAAATAAATAGTTGTGAAGAAATAAAAAGTTGCAAATGAGACCTTCAGACATGTTCGATTTCTCACAGTTAAACGACACGAAGTTATTCGATTCCTTCTCAGAAAATGGGTTTAAGAACATAAAATACAAAATATTATAACCGAAAATCGCATTTCGGTCACTCGTTGAGTTTGTTCCACAATGCATTCCACAGACATTGTTTATACTTTGACTTAAAAATTTAATTTTCTGATGGCTTTTAAAAATCCGTTAAGAAGACAACCAATGATGGCACACTGAAAACTCCAAAATTAACATAATATGCAACTCCATTATGCTCTTTGATTTGAAATAAATACATTGAAAACATGATTTTCAGTCGATCGAGCTTCCAATTTTGGTTCGGTCTTTTATACATTTTATTTTTCGCAAGTCAATTCTCCGCACACATTCAGACAAGAATAACCGCATTCTTCAATTCCATTTATTAAAAGAATGCAGTTTGAATCACACAAGAAAGAAGGCTAAAGCAAGAAGAAATAAATATGAATCAACGCATAAGAAAATAATAAAATAAAGTCGCGCGATGATTTTCAAAGAAAAGCTTACTTCTTAAGGAAGCTTAAAACTTTAGTCATTGACTTCTTCGGAAACTTCGTGTGATTCAATTACAATGTTCAATTATTCCATATTTCATTCCTGCCGGCTTTTAATCGTCATGATTCATCCGCCTTTCATTCAGAAAACGTTCAATTACTTATCAGATCAGAAAAATTTATGATTCATTCAGAAAAGTTTAAGCAATGAACAACAACAGCAACAGTACTTCATTCACTCATTCATTCATTATTGGTCCCTATCAGCTTTCACATGACATCATACTACGCATTTATCAATTATGAGGTCTCATTTTACATTGAACTTTAAAATATCGCTTTTTAAAAACTGAACAGCGACGACGAGAGCGGAAAAGAAATAATAATAAAATAAAAAAGAAATATAAATCCACAGAAAATAAATATTCCATTCATTCTCATATGTTGTTGTCGTTGTCGTTTCTCGTGGAGAAATTATGAATGAAAATAAGAAGCTCCCATACTTATCAGGCGCATTGACAAAAAAAAATAAAATAGAAAACTCATAAGCATACCGAAAAAAATAAAATTTGTGTGCTTAGGCTTGCTTGTTGATACTTCAACTAACAACACAGCCACAAGTGTACACATTTCTTCTTCCACTGTTGCTTCCACTTATCTGATATTGAATTTTTTTTTTGGGAATATTTTTTCCCATGGTGAATTTATGTGATAGAATTCGATATTTATTTAAGCTGTAAAGCGACATCGTGCGAGAAACCTCTACTTAACTAGAGCCTATTATTTGTTCAAAGAAATCATCACAATGCAAGAGACAAATACATTAAATAGAAGACGCGGAGACATTCCATCCATTAATTAAAAACATGACAAAAAAAAGTAGTTGAGAAGATGGAAAAGAAAAGACGACAACGACGACGATAACGATGAAGAAGAAATAAAAAGGCTACTTTCATGTGAAAAACAAATCAAAGGGAGATGGAGAGAAGAGATGCACATGAGGTCAATGATCTCTTAACATTTCTTTCGGTCAATTCATTTCTGTTTGATTACAACTTGAGAGTATCCCATCTGTTAAAGATCAACAAAAGATCGTGTTAATTTGATGGAAAGTATTTGAAGCAAATTACAACTTCGCATTCCCTTACTGTCGCCTTCAATCATAAGAATAAAACAAACAAAACGAACCTTCGCCCTTATCAATGTTTATACAATGATAAAGAAAACGAAACTCGATGATTTGAAAAAAAATATTAGAGTCAAACGTAGTTATTTTCAAACATAAAACATTACGCGACTGTACAGCCGGAAAATCATGAATGAATTTCATTAAAGCATATTTTTGTCTTCACATTTTAGTGAATGAATGAGAAGTTTTTTTCTTCTTTCATATTTCACGAGCTCGTGAAACATAAAAAAAATTGTAAGACATGCTTTATGGGAGATTAAACAGTGAGAGTCTTTAGTCGAGAAATAAACAATGAACACATTGGTGAATGTGATAGATTGGAGCTTAGATTGAAGAAATACTTCCCTCTAAGTCATTAATGCCGATCACCCGTTGGCTCACCCACCTTCATCCACATGATTTATGGGGCAGAGCCTTTGATATCGCTTGACTGCGTACTCTTATCGATATTAAACATTTCATTACACAATTAGTTAAACAACATATTTTTCCCGTACACTGCTCGCACCCGAACCATAATTGATTTCACCATTGAAATCGAAAGTTAGATTTTCCCACTCCCGACTTGAATTTTTTTTTTATGTGGAGTTATGCGATGATAAAAAAATTGTTTTTGTAAATAAATAAACCGCTTTTGAATTCGATAAACATACAAAATTCAACTGCATCAAAGGAGAAATAAAAAAGGCGCGAGAGACAAGCAATTGAATGAATGGTTGACTCGAAATGGAGTTGCTGTTAATTTACATTCATTGCAATGAAATGAATTGTGATTGGAATGTGTTTTTGAATTTTGTAATTTGAATCGTCCGGCTGCTTGGGTCAGCGGCTAAAAATTTTATTCAAACGGCAATTAAAAAAATAACAAGCTAAGCCCATAAGAATCTTATTGTTTCGAAACTAGCTCGTTAAAAATTCAATTTAAACATCTCATAAAAGCTTCAACGGCAGAGTCGAATCATGAATCGCGAGAACAAACATTAACTCAGTTATTGAAATGTGCAACAATCTCGTTCATTCACAATCGTAAACGGTTTAAAATTTCATTCATTAAATCACTGCTATTGCGATGAGAAAATCAAACGAATACAGTTTATGAATTCATTCGTTGCTGCTCTTGGTCAATCATCGTACATATGCAGTTAACTATTCTCGGAAAAATGAAAGGAATAAGTAAGCTAAACGACATGTTTTCATCGCATGGCTAAGAGTAAAAAAAAAGATTGAGCAACATTTGTTTCTGTTAACGGCATTTTCTCCACTATTCACTAATTATTATTTACTGTACTACGATCATCTCATTGACTCGTTTGCTTTCATTCATAAAATGTACTCGTGCGCTTTTTGTTTCTTCTTTCTTCGTTGTCGTGAATGAACGAAAATGAAAAAAAAAAACTACACACAACAACTTATGTATCTTCGTCGATGAAACAAAAAAAAATTAAAAAAAGAAATGTGTAATAAAAAATAATAATAGTTGACAGCATAAAGTGACATTAATACTGTTACTTCTCAATTAAAATGAGAACTGAAGGACCATAGTGAAGAAAAAGATATATGGCAATAAAAACATGTTGCTCAATGGGTAATAAATTCACATTGCTTTATGGTTGGAAGACAAATGGCCACTGGGAATCTCACAGAAATGACTCGACATAACTAAGCAGCACAAGTTCAATGATCATTCTATTGAAAAGTTTCGTAAAGTTTCTGAAGCGTAAGAATATTTTTTTATCACTATTCATATAACGTCTCAATCTCTAATAGTTTTCTCGTCTTGAACAAATATTCACTGCGTCATTAAAACGCCTTCATTGTCGTTGAACTAAAACAATTCATTAATCAACAATTAAGTTGGATGACAAATTAAATTTTTCGTCTCATTTGAGTGCGAACAGAAACTTTTATTTTTCTTCATCAATGAGAATTATTAATTGTTCTGACTGGAAGCAAGAAATCTCAAACTTCTGCAGCTTTAAATGTTAACTAACGAATATAAAATTTATTTCTTAAAGAGGACTACCGTGAAACATCAACAAAATTGATACTTAAACTTATTCGCCTTTTAACGACCATCATGACATCACTCGACACCTAAATTTGATTAAAGAGAATCGCTAATCTGAAGTTGCTTGTACGACTTAACGTGCATGAGTTGATTGGCATTTCTAAGCAAGCATGCTTCATAGTCTCAAACTTGTGACTAATCCCATAAGCATTTTCGACACGTCAGATTTTATATTTTCAGCCTTGTCACATTCTCAAGGTTTCTCTATCCAATGCGCGGTGACTTTGTTTGTTTCTGCACATCTTCAATATTTTGCGTACTTTTATTTATTTTTATGTCCAATTTCAAACGACGCTCTATGACGTGAGTTTTATATTAAACATTTAAAAGAAGCGAAAAAAAAAGAGAAACCATCTCGATGAATACGCTAAACGTCGAGTTCATTAATCATAAAGAACTATTTTTTGCTTTGCTTTTTTTTCTAGCCCATTGAGTGTGCGACAAATATGCCTTCAATCAGCGTCACCACATCCGCATAACTCTACTACCGCTCTAATACTTTAAAATATAAAGCAATGAAAGCAAACAACTCTTTTTTTTGGTTTGGTTCATTCGTTCACCAGTGATAACAGATTTTTGATGATGGAATGAAAACAAAAATTAATGGGTGTCAAATAGATTCAAGCTTGAAAACAAATTTCCCATCTCTGATAGCTTTTTGTAGACAAATAGCAAAACAAGAGTGAAAAAAATACAGAAATTTTTTTAAAGCAAAGTTCATTCTTCAAACGGAAGTTGGAGTTTTTACAGTTTTCATTTGTTCAGTCAAAAGGAAAGAGAAGAAAACAAATTATAAGAGAGAAAGAGAGAGAGATTATATATGCGGGGGAGCGAGAACAACAGTCACAAATAATTTGCTTGTCAATTCTCATGTACTTATGCTATGTTTGTCACACATCTACACGATCACCCACCGATGTGGTCTCACTAAGGAATTTGTATTTTAAATAATATGCCAAAATATGCCAATCGAGACGATTAGCGGAAGCTATTTGACGACAGTGGATAAAAAGACGTATACAACACTCAACAAGAACAGAACAGAAATTATAAATTCATGAGATTATCTCTCTTGCTGTTCTGCGAAAAAAAAGAAAAAATGTTCTTTTTCTTCTTTCATTCATAAAGTTTCTTACTCGGCGCTTCGGATTATGAATGGACGCAATGAGACGCGCGGAGTATGCATGTGTATTGACCTTATAATCTTTCTTTTCCTTTCAACGAAGGCACTTATTATGGTTATCAGCGAAGCTTTTGTGCTCTGGATTTGCTTTATTTGATTTCGCCTTTTGCCTTTTTGCTTGCCTTTTCTTCTTTCATAAATATAAATTGAATGAGATCTTTCAAAAAAAATTGTTCGTCTTGTGTGTGATTGGAATGCGAACAGAATCATCAGTTCGATGACGATTAATCGGAATGAATAAAATTTTGAATTTTTAATTTCTTAACGATCAAACGAAGCACAAGCAACGGCAGTTAACATTCCACGACCTGTTGTAATAATAAATCGCTAAATTAGCTTATAGTTATGACTAGCATTTCTCATCAGAGCTGTTTTTGTTTTTTTTCGTTGCTTCCTTCATCAGCGAAAAGCGAACTGTGTGAAATTTCATTTGATAAAATGCCGCTCGACTTAATGGAATTTTCAACTTCATAACACTCGGACATAGCACTCATCAACACTCTTTAACTTTTTTTTTCGAGATCAAGATGTGAATGGCGATGATGATGACGAATATTCACTGAAATAAATGTGTCAATTACGAACACCAAAAATATTTCATTTGAGTTGTAAAATGCAAAACGAAAAAGAAGAATTCCCGGAAGCTCTCAACCATTGCTCAAGTTTGTGAATCACTGAAAATATTTCAGAAACTTTTGAAATTGTTTTATAGAAATTTTTTCGAGGTTTGTCGCTTCTCGTGAATTGAAGAATTTTCATAGGTTTTTTACTTTTTTTTATAAAGATTTAAGATTTATCTCAAGGAAAAACTAAAGTCTATTGGAAAACTTTCTGAGAGTTCTCGAGAATTTTCATTGAAGTGGAGTCAAGAAGGAAAAATCTTCAACTCTTGTAAATAATTGAAAAGTTGTATCGTTTTGTGTGGAGAATCTTCACTGAAGTTTTATAAACGACGACTACCTAAAAGAATTTAGATAATATTTACAAAAGAATAAACTTTAAGAAAAGAAACGAGTCGTGCTGTTGCATTCTTGTCTGTTTGCATTCGTTACTTCCAAACTCCACAACATTTTTTCATTCTGAAAATTGTTTGCTCATCGGCTGTGTTCATATTAAAAAGTCAACATTAATTTCTTTTCTCTGATATTGTGAAAATTTATCCACAATAGCTTCTTCAATTTGGTTGCTGTTTTCGTCATTTTTTTCTTCTTGTGCAACAAGAGTGAACAGTCAAAGATAAAAGGATGCTAATTGTCTGTCAGCCACGAAAACGAAATCCTGTTTGGTTGGGTTCAAAGAATATTCAAATATCAACATCCATCGGCTGTAAACAATGTAAATGTTTTTCGAGGTTGTTGTCGGAAAGTTAAAAAGCAAATTCGGCGAAGAAAGGTTTTGTGTTGCACAAAAAAAAAAAAAGAGGAGATTATGATTAAAATTAAAATCCAACGTTCTTAAGCAGACATTTAACAACAGATACAGCACACATAAAAGAACCTAAGATTGGTTTCCATATTCTGAGAACAATCTCATAGTGCGCGCGTCAGAAGCGACGATGATTATAAAAAGAAACACCATAATAATGCAAGATGAGACTACGAATGATATGTGGATGTTGTTTTGCTTCTTATAGTGAAAAAATCTCTGTTATAAATACAAATCAACAAAGGATTTATTGCAGGATTTATGCATGAATAATGACACTCAAGCGTTGTATAAATCCGATCAAAAGTTTCCTAACAAGATTATTTACTCGAGGAAAAAAAGCCCTGAAGTGCAGCTCATTATAATGAAACGAAGAACATCATGCGCTTTCATAAAGTTTAGTCTTGTTGGCATTGAGTTGAAATGGATATTCTTCATGTTAAAGGCGGCAAACAACGGGATAGGGATTTCAAAATCTTTTTTTTTTCTTTAATGAAGAACTTGTTGTATTTATTTTCCTTTCGTTTGAGTTGATGTTCAGATCTCATTCCAATGCTCCTATCTTACTTTATAGATCTTTATACATGGGGCGAATGAGACGTGGACACAGACAAGAATTATTAAAAATACCATAATAAATTTACATAAAATCGGTGAAATCAGATGAAGGTTCAGAGATGAAAAAGAAAAAGAACACAAGCAGGTTAAGAACACAGAGATGAAGGAATGAAAATGAATATTTCGTTTCATTATGATAATCATTTCTCACGGGATTCACAAAGTTTGAGACAAAGAAGCGATAGCAACGACGCGGACGCGCACACACAAGAAGTGTGAGAGTGGACAAAAACAACAAGAAAATCGAAACCAAATGATAAGTATCGAATGACGTTGGTCTCTAAGAACATTCATTATGAACAACAACAAGAACTTAAGTTTCTCAACTAATAAATACACATTCTTACAAAGTTTTATAAACATCATCTCATGTTCATCATCATCATGTATGTGATTGAATCTAAAAAACACACAACTAACGTTCAACATTCTTTCTTTTGCTTTCACTTCCCATATTTAGGAGAATTCATCAAATTAAAAGCTTGAGTGTTATCCTTAACTTAGTAAAGAAAAAAGGACAAAGGACAACAAGCGGAAGTTTTATAATCAATAAAACAACTAACTTTGTAAGTCTCAAACATGACCAAACCCGTCCCACCTTTTACGAAGAATAAAAAGTTTTGCAAGTTTTCCTTTCTTTCTCAATACGCTCTTAAATATATGTAATTACTTCCCATGCTTCTTATTAGAAAAATAACGTTTTCATGTTGAAGACTTTCTGTTTTCGTTGAAAATTGTTTTCAATTTAAAAGGTGATCATAAATAACTCAAAATGGAGTGAACATCAATGAAATTTACACCGCTGAATAGATGTGGACAGTGTCAGTGCGTGGGTTGAATGACTTTTTTTTTTCTTTTTATATATATTCTTATGTCTCGCACTCCCACTGCAACGTCATTGTGACACGATTATTTGAAAACGAGCAGCGGTCGAGCTTTATTATAAGCAAGCAATACTTTCTTCAACACATTTCTGTCTTTCATTCTCGAGCAGTGAGTAGCTTGCGGTTGCAATCTCAATTTCTCTCTGCAAGTATCGGACAAATATTTATTGTTGCAAGTGCTTTAGATCTTTTTCATGTTTCTTTGTCTTCTTCGTATGGTGAGAGCATTAAATTTGTTGTTACTCTCAACATGAACTCATATTAAACACCTAGAATGCACACATACACACAATGCTTAACAGCTTGGCGTTATTTAAATTTGAAAATTCATTGGAATGCCATCACGAACTAACACTTTGTATGTTTATGTCTTTTTATTCACCATTGACCACGGCGCTACTGGGTGTTCCTCTCATTTTTTGTCTAAATCTAGTTAAATGCTTTGAATTTTTCACAATACTTCGATAATTCAAAAAAGAATAAACTTTACGTGATGTGATTTACGTTACAATTATCAATCAGTTTACATAACATTTCTATGTTTTTTCACAATGTAACCCAATTTAGAAACATTCTTTCATTCACTTATGTTAATCTCCATTGTGTATCAATCATCATCAAAAGTTTTTTTAGAAAAAAAATCTGATAATTGCCAACAAAACTAACGAATAATTTAAAAGAAAGAACAGCAAATTTCACATTCCAGCATTTGCCATCATCACTCAAAACAAGAAGCGATCATATCAGAAATTTAATTTGGCGCGACTAAAAGAATTCTCGCTTTAGTTAAGGTCATTCACGTTTTGTGTTATATTTTCCTCTTGATTATATCGAAAGAAAAAATTCGCATAGTTCTTCTTGTTTCATTGGATTCTTCTTTCGGCTTCGATTAATCGAAATATATTTTTTCTCCCTCTCTCCTTATTTTTTAGTTAGTTGAAAAATTCAAAAGCGGATTCTTTTCAATTTTGTTTTTGGCTGTTTTTTTGCGGGATCCTTCATTAACATGTTCTTTCTCTCTTCGCACAACAAAATTCCAACTTTCAGCCATTCTTTTTTAATTAACAGTGAGCTTGGGGTGAATGAAGAAGTTAATGAGTTCTCTTGAATCCTCATCTGACGTCATTTTACTTAAAAAAGCCTTTGGATATTGGAATGTCGAATGGCGAGAAATTATGTTATGCTAAATAACGCAAAGAGTGAAAGTACAGAAAGGATAACAATTGTGTTGATAATAATTAAATTCTTCAAGAGACCGTGATGAACTTCCCGTTTAATTTTTATCTAAACATCTTCTTTCTTTCCTCTTGGTTTTTCTATTAAGCAATTTAATCTCAACGTTTCATCCTTCCATAAATCATTATAATTTACACACGCAATGAAACACTCACATCACTGCTTAGTACACTAAATTTTAATGAAATGTACATACAAGCGATCCTGCTTATCGTACATTGATCTGGATTAACATTTCTCCCTTTTATTTTCTCCATTCTTTCGTTTCATTCGGTGGGCATCAAATTTTGGTTCCTACAAAAATTCGACCGTAGAAAATGTAACCATAAAATTTGTATAAAGCGAGTTCGTCATAAAAAAAATTTGATGTCTTAATAACGTATAGCTTAGGAAGAAATGAACGAAAGCGCGGCATGAACAATCAAAAAACATAACGGATTGAACAATAAGCAAAGCTAAGAAACAAAGCACACAGTATCCCAGTCAAAGATCAACTCAATGAAAAGTAACGAAAATAAAAATGTTCTTGGTATTTTGAGTTAGCAAGACAGGGAAAAGGAGGTGGATAAGAGTACGAGTACATCGCGAAAGATTATTAGACTTGTCTTATGTTTTGCGCTACATTTGAGTGGTAAATATAAAGACAAGCATAAGAATCAAGAGAACAAGAGAAGAAGGTTGTTGAATAAGATGTATGAATAATGTTTTCAACGAAGGAATGTGATTATTAAGACACCAAACACTAATGCCACCCAAAAAGTTGACTTTAAACTTTACCTTCGTATCTTATACTGTCCAATTGTAAGCATGTTTGTCCATTTGCTGATTCATCAAAACGGAACGAACTTGTTTTTCGTGAAATTAAAATTGTTGTTGACGATTTCTCTAATCATGCATTATTCATTTGACTCCATTTATCATTCATTTGTATTTTATTTCATTCCATCTCACTTATCATCATTGGTAGACAACATCTCGTCAAGAATGACCACAAATTGTAATTCGTTTCCTTTATTGTTTTGCAACAAAACAAAAATCTAATTCAAACAAGTTAATGTTTACGCAAAACAATCAATTAAAAATCAAGAGAGCATAATCAAATTATTATTATTATTGAATCATTTAAAGTGGAAAATTTGAAGCGTTTTCTCAAAATAAAAATTCCATAAGGAAATCACCCGTTAAATCTTAAAAGGTCTCAATATTAACGAGGCTAGTTTTAATGCCGATTTTATTGAATTTTTTTTTGATTTGATATTCAAACTCAAACCTTTGATATGACTTTTATGGGTTGTGTTTGGAAACATTTGGAATTGTAATAAAAAACACAGCTTAGTATCTTGTTTTCCAACGACTATTGGTTATATGTACATAAACTCCAATGTACCAAGAAACATTTCTCTTTTCGCTGCCGCTTACATCTCGATGTGTGTCTAATGCAATAACACAACAAATTCAAATATTTGAACGTTTAATTACGACTTTATAAACTGGAGACTTTTCATATGGCGTTTACGTCGATTGTTGTTTGTTGAACAAAAAAAAAGCAGAGGAATTTTCTGTATTTCCGGTTATGTTTGCATTTCAAATACTTTTACTTTTTCCTTCTTTTTCTACTCTTCTGCCAACAATTCTTCACTCAATCAGTTAAATAAATAGAAAAGAAGAATTATTTTTAGACAATTTTCATTCGAAACATTTTCAATACGTGTGGCATGTACGAAGAAATATTTTAGAGCTTTTAGGAAAGCTTTCAATCGCAAAGAGAGCTTTAAAATAAAAATGATAAATTGCATTTAAAGTAGCATGCAGTATCGTTGAGATAAATTACTTTGCAAAACGATTTGCACGTTTTAAGCGCACCACAAAATTTCACGCGAGACATAGGCGAACAAATGTATGAAAGGAATCGAAAATTGCTTCAATATTGTATTCATCATGTGGATATAAAGCAGAAATGATTCGAGTGAAACAAACAAATACTTAAAAAAGAGACGAAACCAAAAGAAGAATAATAAAAAAGAAAGATTGGATAAAAAGAATACAAAAATTGTAAACAACTCTTCAACGATTGCATTTTCGGAAACTTTTTGTTGCTCGCTTCGTCTCTACGTTTTTAATTTCGCGCGTTTAATTCATGTTTTATAAAGGACGACGATGTTGTTTAGAGCGAATGAAGACTAAAGAAAAATACCAAATACATGAAGGAAAAGAGAAGCTTTACAATTTACGTTGATAAATGTGTGGAACTTTAGGCATGATAGAATAACAAACCTTTATCAAACCTTCTTTTCACAATTCATTCTGCATTCATGCAATTTCATCGTAAAAAAAAGAATAAACAACAAGAAACGCGAACGGTTGTCGTCATCGTGCTGTGAACAGAAAGAGAAAACAACGAGACTTCTAACACAAAGTGCATCGGCAGACAAAGACGACTCAAGCATGTAGAGCGATTGCATAAAATTTAGTCGAAAAAAGAACAAGAAGAATTTCACAAACATACATCTACAAATCGGCAAATCCGGCTGAAAGAAAAGAAAAAATAAAAAAAGAAGGTTTGCACGGCGTCTGAACGAGTTAAAAGAATTTTGTTTTGACGGGGCACTAGGAACGAAAATTACATCGTGCAGGGCGTCTCGCACACATATACTCGTCTCGCGCGACGAGTTCAAAGAACTTTCGCTTTAAGAATCCTTGAAAAAATTTAAAATGTAGAACGGTGCATGCGAGTTGCGAATTTAGAGTTGCAGTGTTCGCGTTTTCATTAGAGCATAATTTTCGTCGAAAACAGAAAGAAAAATATAAAACATTCTTGCTCAGCCCTTTAATTCAAACAACAGCAATCTTCACGTCGACTAAGGAGAGAAAACAGAAGATGGCAGTGAAGAGAATCAAATAATATGTGGCGCTTTTATAAATTATTTTCTTATTTTTTTCATCTTTCGCTTGGATCTCGTTAAGCTGACCAGAGGAGTGTACCATGTACATCACTTAAAATTTGGAGCATTTTGCCGCCTTTTGCTTGCGGGCAAAACCGAGCAGAGAAAGAAATAAAATTTATTTCAGTTAAAATGAATATAAACACATTGATTTTTTTTCCCTTCGTATATGCCGCGGCATAATCATTAAATTTAAAGCACAGTCGAGTGCATATGAGCCAACAACAAAATAAGAGAGTCCAACGCGCCCGCTCCAAAATTAATGAGATGGCAAACTCGTTAGCAAAACAACTACTTCTGGGAAATTGAAAGAACGCGCTTGCTACAGTGGATGTTCTTATCGATCCTTATTAATGTTCTCATATTTTTACATCCACTGCAATTTATGTTTTTATATCTCCAAAAGAGAAGCTTTAAAACCACAGAAAAGATGAGAAATGTTGCCACCACAAATGCTCATGAACTTCACAATCCCATCGATCGATCAAAGGAATGTCTACTGTCCATACAAATGAGATGCCCCCGAAAAGAACCAAAAGAATTTCGCGACTGAATACAAAACAAGACAAACTAAATAAATAAATAAATGACTTTTTCTCGTCTTGCAACAAACATTTCATTTATTTTCATTATTCATTTCTTCTCTTTTCATTTTGAAACTGTACGTGAAGATATTTCATTTGACTTTCCGACTACGAATTGCTTCTTTCGTATTTACTCTTTCACTCAAAACTTCGGAATTGGGCAAAGTTTTTTTTTATGGGAAAGATTCCTTCAATTTACGGAAACTTACGTTAACTAAAAGCCGAAAATCTCACTTTATAAAGTTTTTGGATGATTCGCTTTAAAAATTGAATTAAACTCCAATTTTATTATGATTAAGACGATAAAATTCAATTTGAAAAAGCTTTAAAAGATTCTTCAAATAAATTTCATTTTACATTTCTTTTTTGATCACGTCATCAGTGTCAAGAATTCGTTACTAAACATAAGTGTCTGTAATTATCTGTCGTAGCAAGCACACATTGTCGTGGCCAATGCCATTCACCCTTCTTTTTTCCCATCAAGGCTTGACTCGAAAAAGAAAAAAATAAGCAAACAATAATACAAGTTAAACATACAAATTGCAAACATTTTTCTCGATCAAGATAAATGCAACCAGAAATAAAAATTAAACGACGAGTGCATTTCACGTAAGGGCGAAATTGCATTTTATTCAATACGAAAAAGTGCCGAAAGAAGAAAAAACAGTTTTTTTACGCCGTAAAGACAATGACAAACGGTTTCGCGTCTTCTCAAGAGAGCGGTTTTATTAATGTGCTCTGTAGAAAAAGGGTTCGTAAGATAATTCTTTTCCTCTAACAATGTGCCCGTCAGGGGCAGTGAAAATTTTCTTTCTCACTCCCTCAATCGTTCTCTTCACAGCTCACACCATAATCCAACAATTATTGCAACGCCATGAAAGAAAAAGAGAGAAAAAATGTGCGATGATGATATATTGGAGCTTTCAGTGAATACAAACATAAATCCAGGGCGCACATTAACTACAACGATAAATCCGGGTCCTTTCGAATCTCGTTGATTTGATGTAAATGATATAAAGTGCGAAAAGAAAACATATTTACATAAATTTTCAATTCGTTTTCTTGTAGAATTTAAATATGCTTACAGCATTAAGTTTATGATAAAGATATTCCACCGAAATTGAATTTAAAACGACGCTTTTAAAGGATTTTGATTGATGGCTTAACTTGGGCGCTGCCGATCTAGGTTGAGATGAACGACTGATGAGTGCGGAGTATTTAATATGTGGGATGGGGAAGTATTAAATATCTTATATTTATTTATCTTGAACAAATTATTTGATGCTTAAAATGTTGCAAAAATATACAAAAATCCTTCAAGTTCTTTGAAGAGAGTTGCTTCAAGCAATATCGCATATCTTAATCAGTTGATGTATTTAGAAAAAATCACGAGTTTTCTGATGTTTTTGATGAGAAAAAGAAAAGATTTTGGGACTAATCTTTCTTAAAAATTCCTGAAATGGAGTAGGAAGGTATCTGTCTAAGAAGTGAATAAATAGAAAGAAGAAAAATAAAACCAAAGAGATTCTCGTAAGATGCAACTGACATTAGCCTAAAGGAAAAGTAGGAAAAAACATTTTTTGTTTTCATCCATCTCGACATCATTTGTTGATTCGATGTGAAAAAAATAATTATAAAAAATGGCAAATTAAACTGCATTCAAGCAGAGATACGCTAAAAATAAAAGTGAATGGATAAACTTTTTTCCTTCTTTATCATTTCACTTCGAAAATGAACAATAATTGAGTTTTAATGGAAGAAAAGCATCTTCCTGCAGTATTACGATCTCTCTAATCTAGATTCTGACATGGACTGTTTGAAGAAAGAAAATTTTTTTCTACTCATTTTATTTTTCAGTGTCAGCATTGACAACATACACGTAGCGTTTGATTCAGACGTTCATCGGTATTTTTCATTAGAAGGGACTACGACGACGAGAAGAAGAAAAATGTTGTAAATCAGGAAGCAATTTAAACTGTATTAAGTAAAATCGACAAGTCAGAAAATTTCTCTTTTCTTTCTGATGTTGTGTCAGGACAACATGAAGATGACAATAAGGGAAATAAGAAATTTTCTTAAAGAAGAATAAAAACCAAGACATGACTGAGGCAGGGACTTAAAAAGATCTCTAAATAACATTAAGTTACTTCATGAAGAATCTTCGTCATATTTTCTATTCTCTTTCATCAAATCAAATCGAAACGAATCATTGAGAAATTGAATTTATATATTTTATATGTTTTCTATTTTGATATCTGTTCATAGGCTGAATGTACTTAGTTAAAAACGCTTCACAATATCTTATTAGGTTGTTAGAAATTTCGAGTAACATCAAGTTCAATAAATGACAATTTCACCTCATCTCAGTAAATAAAACTAAAGTTTTCTTGTGCAAACTTCCTCATTCCTTTCTTTGGTTTATTTAATCAGACCCTTTCTCTTCTAACCGTTTGTAAGATATCAACTGAGAAGATGCTGCTGCTTCTTATATTGCTGTGAAAAGGCTCATTTCATGCTATTGAATTTCAAGACGATGGAATTTCAATTTTTGTTAAAATGAAAGGTTTTTGATATTTTGAAACAGCAATATGAAAATATTTATGAGATTTTATTAGGGGGAAGAGAGCAAGTGACACTTTCTATGAACTAAATTTGTATTTTTACACATCGAATAAGAAAGCATCAATAGCATCAATGAAATATCCTATTATGATCCATTTTAAAGCTGTTTGCCTCAAAGCAGATCTGCTTTCCTTTTTTTTTCTTTTGCTTGACATTAGAAGACGACAATCTTATCGTTAATGTTTGTTTTCAACCATGAAGAAAAGAATTGAAAAAAGAAATGTGACAAATGTGTTCCGTATGTGAGATGGAAGGAATCGCAACATTAATAATAAAATAAAATAAAAATCAAAAACTTTCCAGCAGAATTAAAAATTGTGATTTCTGCACGCTGATATCGTAAGATATTTTTAAAGATTTTTCTTGCTTTCTTCTCTTTAATTTTACTTTATTTTTTGCAGATGTTTAATGCATCGAGACGTAGTTAGAAACATGCGAGAATGTAAAAAGAAGGCACAAAAGCTGTCTGCAACATATAACGAAACACAAACGGGAGATCACACAATGCGCAACTTAATCATATTGAAACTACATTGTATTTATTGCAATCTGCTATTCACTTCATTTTCTACAACATTGTTTGTCGCCATTCTGTGATTCTCGTGAATTTTTAAAGCTCATTGCAATAAGATGAAAGTAACATCGTAAATGAAAACTGACAGTAAAATTGTACAGTGAACACTACACAGAGATAAATGAAGCACATTGGCTTTGTTCTTGACTCTGTCAAACCTAAGATTGTGGTTTGCTAAATAATAAAAAGAAAGCATCCAACGTCTTGTTGATGAACATTTTCTATAGTGCCATCACCCTAAATACTTAAAAACAACTTGCGACAATAGTGCAGACTAACGTGCGGAATGTTACTGCAAGAATCGTCAAGTAGAGAGAGAAGGAAAATATATTTTTTAAAAGTATCGTGTGGAATGAAGAGAATGATATCGTTATGTCGAAGTTTCTTTCAGACAATGGAAGGATAATAAACGCATGTGAATAAAATTGGTTTGTGTACATTTTGTTTTGTACTTCTCGTTCATGTGGAGTTTTCAAGTACTCTGAAATTAATTTGAAGAAGTTCTTTGACTTCATCTCGGAGATTTTCCATCAAAAGGATTCAAGTGAAGTATCAAGAGCCCTCAGGGTTTTAATTAAATTCGACGAAAAAATACATCAAGTATAAGACAAAAAGTGAATAACTAAAAGTCTTACACATGGTGACTACTTTGAGGCTTTTTTTTTCGGTTCTTGAATGTGAAACGGAAGAATTAAGGAAGCACAACACACACTTACTCTTATTTAAAATGAACCCAAAAGAAAGAAAAATACAATAAACGGAAAAAAATTAATGCGCGCAGCTGACAATTTCATTCTTCTTATAAAACTTCCTTATGCGTTCAGTTTGTATGTTTAACATCATCACTGTACGGGAGGTGTCTGGATGAAGCTTAAACTTCTCTTATTTAAACATTTCATATTAAGCGAAGTATCTTTTAAAAAGTGGTAAAAATGTTATAAAAACATAATCCTTAAGACGATCTAATCCGATCCTTTCGCTCATCGATAGTGCGCATTCATTCATGTTTCAAGTCAAAAGAATTCATTTCGTTTCTTTTTTCACAAAATTAATTTTCTAGGATTTATGTTGCAATTCAATTCTTTTTCCAGACATGATTTTTCAATTTCGAATGCTACTCGATTGAAAGCAACAGGATGAGAGAGTTGACTCTTCATCTTTACGATGTTCCTCCCTTCATGATACACAAAATAAATAAAGAAAAAAAGTTCTTTCATTTGAAATTGACGGAAGTATTTTATTTCGAATGGCATATGTGCATCAGGTTCATATTCAATTTCGGGCTCGTTTTTCTTTCATCCGTCAATTAAAGTAGGCTTAACACTGCAAAAGTTTTTACTTTATAATCAATGTGCGTGTTTGATATTTAATACGACTCAAGTTGCTTCCTTCTTGTATATTGTCAGATCGTCGTTGAAAACAACACCAAAGGAGCCTCATGAATTAACACATTATTTAACAAACCATCTCTTAAATACTCGTAATGATCGTTAACCATCAAATGAACATATTATTTTAACTTCCCAGCTCATCATTTATTAAAAGACCTTTGAAGATAATTTTATCCTTCATCCATGGTGCTTCCATTTTTACCTTTTGATATTTAAAAAAATATTTGTTCAAAAACACGAAATCCGCTCTTATTATGTCGCGAGTTCTCTAACATTCCCTTCTGGCACAAGACACGGTCGACAAAACGAGAGAAAAAAAAAAAGAAAACAAAGTCAACTTCAACCCCAATCGTTTCATAATCCTATAACAACGACGAGCGAGGCTAAACCACCTGTTTTTATATTTCATGTCTTCACCCGGCGAGAAGTTTTATTAACCAATTTTTTTCTCTCTTTTAACTTTTATTTTTTTTTTGCCTGTTGTTCTTAATTTAATTCAACATAAAAAAGAAAGAAGATGAAAATCAACAGCTAACCAACTGGTGGCTATCACCGCTCGAGTTTACCATTAATTTTATCTTCCACCCTGAAACCAGAAGAAAGGAAAACAAAAATTATGAGTCAAATGTTGTTGGCAACATTGATTTTACATCTGACTTCTTTCGCATCTTTTCTTAGCTAATGTGGAGCAATAAATTATAATTTCGTTAACATCTTCGTCCATTGTAATCATCCCAAGCATTGTGTAAGAAGCAAGCACGAGCGATCTAAAATGGCGGGAAAAGGTGCAATAACCGACAATGAAGATTGAGTAAATAATGCGAATGAAACGACCACGTGCATGTAGATAGATTTTCTTTCAGTTTTTAAGCTTAATTAATGTAAGACATAAATGAAGACTGATGACACATAAATGTGATGGTTGGGTGAAAAACGATTTCGGAAATAGTTATAACAAGAAAAATATTGATTTTACTCGGCTTCAACAAGACTGCAAAGCTCAAGATGTTGTTTTCGTTGTCGGAAGGAATATTATAAGAATTGGTTTTTGAGTGCAGCTGCCCTAATTCCTTTCTTAGGCATCAACCCCAATCTAAAAATACTTATTCAAGTCTGAAAAATTGCTCACGATAACATTTTTAGAACAAAGTATAAGAAAAAAAGAGAACTTTGTGAAATGGAAGAAAAAATTATTCAATTGTGTTTGAAAGAAATTTAATTTTGAAAGAAGTTTGTGTGCATACAAATTCTTCTTCTTCTTCTTTGTCTTCTTGAGGCTGTTGCTGTTGGTCAGGAGAACATTTACAAACGAGAACTATTCAAAAACATCAAGGAAGACGAAGAAGTTTAATATGAAAGGCACATGCCAAAAAGAGTCGCTACTTGCGTAAAACATCTTGAGCCGAAAATCAAATATCCTAAAGAAAGAAAACTTCCCGAACATCAATGCATGTTAAACAAGGAGAGAAATTTTTTGTATCGTCATTTCGTTACTGAAGAAATGTTCTTGAAGGAAACATCTGCACATTACTTTTATTCTTAAAATAAGCAATTGAAAGAAATATTCTTTTTGCAACATTTTGATATTAATCGTAGCACCTTTTAATTTCGCATACACACACATTTGCATTATAAAACTGTCTTTTGGTATTTCAATTCTTTTCGATTTTCGCTTTCACGATTGAAACATTAATATTTTCCGATCCTCAGGTCATTAATTGTCCTTTCTTTGTTGATTTATCGCTATTAACAATTGATGATGGCTTCTCCCTTTCTTTTCAACATGAAATTCTCCTTTCACAATAATAAACATAACGTATGCAGCATATTGCTGTTCAACTATGAGATTCGAATTTCTAATCAGACACATTTTGCATTCACATTTACATTGTTCAAACCCACTTAAATTTCATGCCACATTCAACTCGCATAAACAACCAGCCATTGATCATATTTTAATTGGAACTTTACCCACTTATTCTTTCTCCTTTTTTCTCGTTTTCATAAATCATAGAACGACGTAAAATGTTTTGTTGAAACTTCAATCAACAGACAATAAATTTGTTAGTTTAACATGATTCTTCTCCTTTGAATATTTTACTTTCCCTTTCATTTAGATTAGATATGAGTAACACATAAATAGAAGTTAACAAAAATGTTTGATTGACGGGACGGAACACACCATTTACCTATAAATAAAGAGATTATAATTAAACTTGACCCCCATCCACAATGCTGGTTCCAGTTAGATTGTGCTTTGACAACTGTTGACTGCTGTTACAAAATACTTTCACCATATGCGCGATGACGGATATCATCAGAGAATAAAATGGAATGAAATTGATGAAAGAATAAAAGAGATTCCATCAGACGATGAATCGCGCTATCAAAAACACATTCATTTCAAACATGAGCTTCAACTTATTACATTGTATACTATGGCAGCCAGCCAGACGCATGCTGGAATACTGACCTGTTACAACGTTTCTACCGAAAAAAAAAACGAGTAAAGAAAGAAGAGTGGCAATGAAAACAATAATATTATTGCGGATGTTGCGATGCTCTCCATTTATTGTCTGTTAGTCTGCTACCATTTTCACTTTTATTTTATTTCTCGTGGGCTGATTTTATGTGTCTTCTATTTCGTTCTCGCGTCTCTTTTACTTGTTGGTGCCATTAAAAAAATTGTCATACTGCGTAATAAAAGCGTTCATAATCTATTTTATTTCTGTTTCGTTAGCACGACTTCGTTTCAAATAAAAGAAATTCATCAGAAATCCAATGAACATTATTTTCATTGTCAAAGTTCCTTCATTATGATCCGATTATCAAGACTAATGCACTTGGATTTGTTCTCAAAAAAGATTAAAACTTATTTCCACCCTAAGGAAGGAAAGAATTTTTTTTCTCTCTCGATTATTGCACTGAATTACATCCGAAATAAACACAACGGTGAGAAAGAAGCTGAGAAATTGTAGCATTTCGAAAGGCAATCAACCGGAGGTAAAAGAAAGAAGAAGAAACATGACAATGCACAAATCCCATTTTTATAATTTCACATTGTTGAATGTTGGCTATTGCATAAGACTCTTGCCACTTCCATCTTTACACATCAATGTTTCCTGATGTTGATGTAAAGGGAAATCTCCCCTTGTGTTGGCTACAAGAACAAGCTTACATTACTTATACTATCCCAAGACATTCCACAAATGTCATTCATCTATGGCAATTAAAATTTTCTTCTAAATTAAATCAAAATGATCTGTTGAATGTTTATTTGTGAGGGCTTTTCACTTAAAATTGTCATAAAGCAAATTAAGAAGATATTTAAAACCAATAAAACCTCAGAAAACACATTTAATTCTATTTAATGTGTGTATCAGAAGACAAATAGCACGAAAAAGCAAAACTAACAATTGTGTTACCTGAAAATTTTACATCTCATAGGTTTTACTATCAATTAAAATTCTCATCCTTTGCTTCGTTTCATGCTTAACTCGAACTTGTGAAGTAAGAAAAGGGAGAGAAGCTTGCATCTAATGCATTTGTGGATGTTATCACAACAATTACATCGGCTAATGGAAAGGTAACAATTGGAATTATAACTTTATCTCTTTTACTTGATGATAATCGCTTCGGCTTTTCCAACAGAAGCCCTAAAACAGTAAAATAATAACAACAACAAAGAAAAAACTGTTTGGTGTTGCACCTTCCCTGTGATAATTCATTTTTACGATATATCGTACACGCACAACAAATTTTCATCAAAGCAATGTTAGGTCTCTTTATGATAAGTCGACCAGAACGTGAATGGATCAAACAGTTCATTTATAATCTTCGAAAAACTATTTTTCGGTTGTGTTTTATTCCACAATTTTTATTTTCGTCGCGTAGATATAAAAAAAATGTTGAAAGTGAACAAAAGTCTAAAAATGTTGCCATGCACTAATTGAAAGGATAATTTAATCTCTTTGTTTCCCTCACAGAAACGTGATTTATTACACCAAATAAGCGATCGCATTAATTTCCAGATCCTTTTGTTTGTTGATGCAGTTGCCTTTTTTTTCTCAATTCCCACTGTCGACTTTCACTTTCAATGCAACAACAACAGTTCATTTTTTTGTGATAAACATTTATAAAAACGAAATTAAGGTTTTTGGCTGAAATTCTATAAAAATATTTTTGCCTTTTTTCTGGGATGTTTCACAGAATATTTTTTCTAAATTTATCGTAGAAATTCATAAAAGAATGTTATTTTCGTAGTTTCTATGCTGAAAATATGAAATATCAAGCAACTTTTTCTAATCATTTTATAAAGGTTACGAAGTTGTGAAATGAGATAAAATCCTCTCAGTCGCTATTTTTGTTAGTCGATACAAATTTTGAACGTAAATAAATTAAAATGCGAATATTCCCAAAAAGTATTTTCGTGTGTTTTTAGACATAAAAGCTTTCATAATTGAATTATTTTAGTAACGTAATTCTGAAACGATGCCAATAAAGCTCTTTTGGGAACATCATTAAAAGGGAATAAAAGCGATTAACTACTCTCACCACAATTTCCCTTGTCATAACTGCTCGAACACGACAACTCCGTGTTTCAATAATATTTTGATGCAATTTTCATGTCGATAGTTTTTTTTTCTTTCTTTTTTAACTTGGCAACAAAATGACGAAGGAATGAAATTAGGATTTACTGGTGGAAGGAACAAAAAAAAATTATCGATTGAAACACATTGCACATTTATTGAGCAAGAAGAAAAGTGTCGAATAAATGTCGGATTTATTTATTATTCGCGACTTTTGTCATATTTTTTTCTCTGTTTTGCAACAGTTCTTAATCTCATTCTTCAACGCTAACATAAAACGGAGATTATCCATTTGTATGTTATCAAAAATCCTTTCACTTAAAACAGCTTTTTTCTCGTCTCTATTCATTGAATTACGATGAGGAAGGACGACAAAAAATGGAAGAAGAAAGAAAAAAAACCCATAAAGTAATCAAAGGATTAAAAAGAATGAAACGAAAACAAAAGAGATGAAAGTTCACTGTCAGTCAAAATTTGTCGCGCATCGTATTGAATGAAAAATGATCCTTCATTCCATTTTCTCGCATTTTTTTCAGTTTTCTTTCAATTATTTTTGATTAAAAATAACGTCGATGTCACACTTGTTTTTCACTCGTTTCGTAATGAGAAAGAAAGAACAAAAAAAAGAAAAACGAAGCGAACTGAGAAAGAAAATTTTACGAGTCCTTAAAATGTCATGGGGATTGGAAAACAGCAAAGAATACTGTCGCGTTCGTATGGTTGGAGAAAAATGGAAGCAACGTTGATGGCACATTTTTATAGTCAATTAAATTTCCAAGAATATCATCGCTCCTGAATGTTGTTGCTTCAAGCTTTTTCCCGCATAAACGCCCCCTCTAGAAGACGACCGTAAAACAATTATTAGATTCGCAATATGCGGATGATGGCAGCGTAGAAAGCAACAAACGAGAAAAAACCCCCCTCGCATCGCGTTGCTTATGTATCACCATAAATTCTCAAAATCTCCACCACCCACTCTCGTCAACCTAAACTCGATTTTCTTCTCCTTGACTGCCATCGCCTGGGGATCTCCAAGCTCTTCTGTTTACCATCCTTTCTCCTTCCCATAATTTAAAGCTTTCATTTCAGTAAATACTTTGAAAATCTTTTCTTTTTTCTTTCTTCATTTTTTTAAAATTCTCATAGAGCTCGCGAATATTTTCATAAAAGAAGGAAAATAAAAAGTAAAATCAACTATCATGATGAGATTTAAAACAGCTCGACTAACAATAAAGAGGCGAAAATCATCAAGATGTTTCCTTCGAGAGTGTTCCTGGAAGCGAGAAGAAAGAAAGACATTCTCAACGATAATAGAATGAAAACTGTTTGCGCAACGAAAGACTTAAAGTTAGTTGAGAAAATCTCAATTTTGGTCTCGTTACGACTCGAATCAAGATGAATATCACGAAAGTCAAATCGTTTTGATGCTTCAGTAAACAATCTTCACCATCAACTCAATTTTACATAAGCAAACGGCAATTGCTAAAGTCCTTCGGAAGATTCATTAAAACAGAAATTTTCTATGCCGCTTTTATTATTCGTTTAGAGGCCATTTCGGGAAAGACAAAGCTGTCATTATTTTATCAAGGTTCTCACATCTTTTTATCTCAACTCGAGTTATCGTTGATTGAAGTTAAAAGAAACGAGAGAAAAAAGGGAAAAAACATGAAAGAAGCGTAAAACTTCGTCTAATCAAAGGAAAAAGACCAACTTAGAAGTGATTTTCTTTGCCAAACACTCGTCTTCTGATGTTTAATTTTAACGCCTTAAAATTAAAAAACGTAGAAAAGGAAATTCAGGGTTGTTAACTTTAAATTTACATTTAAATATGCTTTAAAGATTTCTATTAAAAATATCAAATCTTAACATCTTAAATGTTCATTGGAAAGAATTAAAATTATGCGGGAGTTGAAGCAATAACGATAGACATGCGTTAATTAGATTTACTTCTCTTGATATTTATTTCATTTCTTTCTTTATTCATTTTGTTTCTAATTCTTCTAGCCATAGGCCAAGACAAACTGAGCAACAAAAACGAAACAACAACATCGGAAGTATTAACATTATCGGCTCGGATTTCCTTTCGCTTTGACAACCAAATCTGCTGTTTAGTATAGAAAAATAAAATAACAAAAATTGACAAAATACTTAAAGCATTACTAGCCAATGTCAAAAAAGCAAGAAGAAAGTCTAAATCCCAAGAAAATCCTTTCGCTCTCTCTAGAGTTCTTTTTCTTTTATTATTCATCGTCTTCATCCTATCTTGAGGATTCATCGATATGATGTCTTTGCTCTCTGGTTTTATGATGCTGCGAGGGCATTAGTTCCATCTCAACATTCTCAACATTTACTCATGTTTTCGTTTTCTTCTCTTCTATCAAGCAACAAGAACGAACATAAGACGTTGATATAAAAAAGAAAGAATTCAAGCATCAATTTCTAGCAGCCAGACACATTAAGTTCCAAAAAATATTACCACGCACAAACACACACAAGCAAACAAATACGTGCATCTCTTATAAAGCAAGCACAGGATGTGTGGTGATGAAAGAAAGAAGAAAAATATGAAAAATGTAAATAATGAAGACAAGAAAGAAGAGTCGAGTCGAAATAAGTTGAGTTAGTTTCGTCTCGAAACTGAATTCACAATCCTAGTCCTAGAAACAATGTTATTGTCGATGTTTGTGAACCATCTGTTTTTTTTTGTGCCTCTAGATGGGCACGTTGGCTTTGCTTACACACATTAACATTCACATTCGAAATGAAGGGAGATGAGCAGATGTTTGTTGGCCTTTTTTCATTTCATTTCTTCTCTTCCTAGAGTTTCAACTAAAATAAAATTGTGACTAAAAGTCGGGTTGCAATCACTTAAGGGTGTGTGAGTGTAACACATAAACATACACACACACACAACAAATACTTTTGCAGGTTTTATTACCCTATTTTTATTGCCCGTTTGAATATTTATGCTTTGAACGTTCTCCTCGTTTTCCAATCGATGGGTCTCTCTCTCAGTCTAACAAACATTTTGTTTCGGGTCTTTACACAGCGACATTAAAGCAACAAAACACCAACGAAAAAGAATCTAGAAAAACTTGGTAAACAATAACAAATGCGTTGTTTCCACTTAGAAAACAGAAAAGAAAAAGAAATGCAAATTTAAAAGTTTCTACTCAGATTCTAGTTTGAAAATATCTTTAACTTAATCCTTATTTGTAAAGCATTTTAATTCAATTAGATTAAAGTTTTCTTCTTCTTTCATAATTTTAATTTCATATTGAATAATGTAGGAAGAATGAATTTGTTGAAGGAATAATGAAATATTGTTAATGCTTTTACGCTTTTATAGTTTTAGTCATTGCAAGATGCTTCGTTATTTTATCTGTAATGAACAGTAATGAAAAGAGCATAAAGCACATTAAACGTTTGGGTAGATATTAAAGTGCAACATTTTCGTTCGGCTCACGATCTCATTCATGTGTTTATCAAGTTGAAAGGACGAACATCTTCTCATCATACATTTCGAAACATTTTTATTCCTTTTTAAGCTCGACGAATGCTTCTGACGAATTTTTATTTCTTTTGCAAAAGCATTTGAGTCGCGTGGAGGAAAGTTTAATGATTTCAAGTCTGATGCGATTCACAATTTGCGAGAAATATGTTGTGTTGAAGATGTTGAAGAAAGGAAAATTATTTTTCTATTTATTGGACGACTTAAACAAAGGATTTGCGATGAAGAAAATTTTCTAACGATGGAACTCAACTTTTCGAGTTTCATTTAGGAAGATGGGAGCTTTGACTTTAATGCTGGATAAGTTTCGAAAATTCTCTTACTTAAGAGAGATCAAAGAGAATTAAAATCTTACTTCGTTGAATAATTCTCAACTATTGTTTCGTTATTTCGAAAACTTACAGAAACTAGAGAAATTAATTAAAGAATATCAAAGTTTCATCTGAAAACTGTTATGTTTAATAATCATAGTATGACAAATTCTTCAAATCAAAATGTTTCAAAGACTCAAAAAAATTATTACAGCTGACGCGCGTCACAACAAACATTTATTTAACTGCCTTTCAATCATTTATCAGATGACTTTTTCTCATCGTCAATTAGCGCAAACTCTGATGCTTTTCAACATCGTGACACTTATCGTCATTCAATTGGACTCTAAAAACTTGAAACATTCTGTGAAACAACAACAAGCTCGTATTTCTAATGCGAGTGGGTAAAATGTATGATCATAAAATTCAAGTCAATGAGCCTCAATCGGGGGAAAGAGAAGCGTTACGTTTACGTTGTACGTATTATTTTCTTCCATCGTAATCGTAAAATAACATAAAAATAAAGAAAAAAAGAGTTCATTTCACGATCGTTATTCTTCTTGTTGTGGTTCGTAGCACGAGTCGATATCAAGCAAATGTTTTGACAGGTGTTCATGCACACAACAACCGAATGGGCAAATGGTCAGCACATTTTGCATTAAAGGCTTTTTACCGTCTTTTTTTTCATCTTCATCATCATCGACATAAATTATCTTGTAAATGTTTAAATTTATATTTCAACTAATGCAGACGAAGCTCGTCAAGTGCTTAAGGAAGAATAAATAAGCACGAGCTAAGGAAAAAGAAAATAATAAAAAGGAAATTCGCTTCATCAGTTTCGACCTTAATTTTATAACATCTGAATAGTTTGAAAATGGTTTCATTCTGATGCCAAGCCAGCCGCTTCATAATAAACCCGAGGATTAATTGCTTGTAAAGGCGACTAATGTCGAATGAACTCTCCGGGTCAGAGAATGTTTTTTCATCCCTCGAATCGTGCGCTAATTTGAATAATTAATCAAATGTTCATTGTCATCCCTCTTTGGTCCATTGAGTACGACAAATCTGCATGATGCGAGAACTCCGAGATTCATAAGAGAAAAAAATGTCCAAATTACGATGAAAAATTATAATTTTATCTTTCTCGTCTGCCTGCTTCCCAACCCCGATCATCCTCTAATAATTTAATTCATTTAACACGATAAATGGACGACAGAGAAAAAATAACGAAAGAAATATTTTGAATTGCTTTCCGATTACTGTAAAGTGCAATGACAAAGTCACATCAACCAACAAGATACAAACTTGTGTGCATCAATAAATTTTGAATTTAATTGTAAAATTATCATTACAGTCCAAAACCCGCATCATTGAGCGCATTGTAAAATTCTTTTGAACTTTCTCACCCCATCTGGCTTTTATTGCCTTTTGCGTCGCATTCTCTGACATTCAAAATCTATTAGAAATATTGAAAATTGCATTTCTTTCACTATGTCCATTTATTTTAGATATTTTAGTTTTGTGTTCTCTTCTCAAACGAAAATTCGGACAATATTTTGTGTTTTTTGGTCTTTAAAAGCACAACCACCATCACCATGCGGTGATATCGAAGACATAATTTGATTTCAATTTGATTTTCATTTTAAATTTTTCTACATTGAGATTATGTTAAATGTTTCCCGGGGTGAAATGTGAGAGTCAATGAGATTTAGATTCCCGCAAATTGAGACGATTGTCCATTTTTGTGTTGCTGGTCATGGACGATTTGTCAATGTTTTCTCATATGACGTGGGATAATGGACAATTGTTTAATGAAGCTGATAGATTTGATCATGCTTTAGATAATGGGAAAACATTTCTTTGGGAAATATTGAACAAACTGTTTAAAGATTAGCTGCTCAAATTCATCCACATTGAGATTAATATTTGAGGAAAAGTCAAAGGTAATTAAAGGTCGGAATTAAGTTTTCTTATCAAAACCTCAACTGTTCATTCTCCAAAACTTTTTGAACATTGAATAAATAATAAAAAGAAGATTTTCTTAAACTCACCTTTGACCGATGTCTTCTGACGTTGAGAAATTGCGCAACGTTTGCACCGGATCATTCTTGATAAACGACTCGCCAAAATCTGTATCAAGAAAAATAAAAAAAAATTTATAAAAGAAAAAGAAATGAAAGACGAGCTCGGTGCGATGTCAGTTTATACAGCTTTGGAAGGATGAAAATTTATTAAAATCCATTTTCCAATCTGACGATTTCATGCTTTGGCTGGCACAAAAAATCATCGTCAAACCATCAAAATGTGACCTACGAAGTTGACAGTTAAACTTTTCTCTTCTCATCCCTTATTTGAAATATTTTCACCGTTTTTTTGCAATCACGAAGGAAAATAAGACTAACTCCCCCACATTTCCATCCCACACCTTGACATTTTCTTCTAAACGGCAGAGAATATTCAGTGGCATATATCTTACGCACCCATACAACTCAAGACAAAAAACAAGTCGAAACCTAGCTATGGAAAAGCGAATTGACATCTCGAGAATGTAAAGATGAGGGGGAGGCAATGTGAATGTGTTGGATATTCGAAATAGGCTTGAGAAAGGTGGATGTTCTTGACGGAAGAACTACAAAACTGGTGTGTAGGTGGAAGAGAAGCTGAGCAATGGATGAAGGAAGAATGATAATAAATAAATGTAAATTGCTTTTGGCGCACTTCTGCCTTGTTTTCCTTTTTACCACCCTCTCCGAGACTTGACCTTTTCTTTTCACCTCCGCAAACAGACATAAGACATCTCGCTATCCAGGCAGCCCTTTCAACCTTAGCTATGGAATCTAAATGAAAAAATTAAAACGCGACAATCGATAATGTGCTTTGCGAAACAAAAAATGGATTTGCATTGCTTTTTTCTAGTCGTAAAAACTATAAGCAAAATTCTTTTCTGCTTCAATAAAATCCAACCCTCTTAGTCATGCGAACTGTAATTGATTCTCGGAAAATTTCATTAAAAGGCTTATGAAGAACTGACGAACGTTTTTAATTCTTACGACGCATCGAGTTATATATTTTTTTCTCTCATTCTTTTGTGGAAAACGATGGGGGAAAACTCTTTCATTTTCACTTTACATGTGCGGAGTGTGATTAATCATAATTCTATTTGTTTTGTTTCCTTGAATCCAAAATGTTTTAACAGTTTTTTTTTAAATTTAAATGGAATGTGTCTTGGTTAAAATATTTTTATTCGTTTAATTTATCAACCTTCTTGGACTTTCTATTTTTCTTTGATGTCCGGAATTTGAAAATAAGAGTTAATAAAATTCATGAAGTTAAGAAAACATCCTAATTCTCCTACTCAACGATTTAAATAAACGAGAAGAACTGAATTAGACGATATAGAATATCCCAGCGGTAATAAACCATTTGTCGCTACAAGCGATGAGGAGAAATTTGGAAAACATTCACTAAGCCTTTGAAAAGCAAAGAACATTTTGTTAAAATTGATGCAGGTAGTATAGTGTTAGCATTACTTCCAGAATGTTTTTTCTCAAAAAGGATTGCAGCCTATGAAGAACCATTTAAAAACACTGAAACTTAGTGAGAAACATTTCATGTTTCTTTCTTGAAACTTGAACTTGAACATGAGCTATCTAAAATAAGATGTTAGAAAGAAATATTCAAAACAAAATGCCTTTTCTTACTCCTTAGGACCACCAAAAACCAAATCCTCAATGGACCTTTTAGAATTTCACTGTCCCATTACGTTTATCATAGAAACCTCTTTGTTTATTTGTGTCATGACTTTTGTTTTCACCAATCCAGTTACTTTTATAAAATTTACTTTCAAAAATCTCTATTGTATTACTATTATCTGTTTGCTTATTGTTAATTACCAATAGCAATAAACAAGAACTGCATCCCAAAAACAAAGAACTTCGAGTGAAAACAAAACATCGAATCGTGGGATTCACATTTCTATTATTTAGCCGCTGAACTTATAGTTTCATCCTTCACTTTTCTGTCACTTAAAATCCAGATCTTTAAAGTATCTTTGCAACTTACCAATCATAGATGAACTATTTATTAAATGCTTTATTCACAAAACTTTAAAAGTATTTTATTTCGTCTAATCAAAAAAATGAAAACTTCGACTTGCTATAGCTAGTTCCGAAGTACTAGTTTTATTATTCTTGTCTTTTATTATTTCTTCTAGTACTTCATTCTAACGAAACTCGTTAACAATTAAAAAGCCAACAGAAAAGTTCTTTAATTTAAAGAAAATTCTTGGAAAATTGTGTTTAGAAAAGTCAATCTACAATTAAAAGAGTTAAATTAATCGTAAGCAAACTTTAAAATGTCAACGAGAAGTGGTGAAAAACGTAAGAATTTTATTTTATCTTTTATTTTAAATGTTTGTTTATTGTTTGTTTACATTTATTAAGGCCGAAGTGCGGCAGTAAAACAAGAACATGAAGAAAGCAAATCTAAAACTGAAGCTCGTTCTAAGCTTAATAAAGCATTGGAAAAGGTGGAAACTGAACAGGAGAAGGAAAAAGAACAACAAGAGTCGTCTGAAGAATCAGAGACAGAAGTTCGAAGAAAAAAATCAGTTAAAGCTGAAAAGGAAGATTCTCCAGTTATTAAAGAGCAAAAATTAGTGAAACCTATTAAGCCAGTAGCACAACCATCATACATTATGAAGCTTTTTGATCGAAGTGTTAATCTGGCCAGATTTTCTGAAGACTCGCCGCTTTATCCATTGTGTCGCGCTTGGATGGAAAATCAGCCACGGAGTGCACTTCCCATTAAACATGAATTTTCACCAGACACTCTTAACATTCAAACTGTAGAGGAAGGTGATGTTGTTGAAATGCCCAAAATACGTATTCGTAAATCAACAAAACCTGTAATTCCACGAAAAGAGTCAAAAGTGGATATAAAAGATCTTGACAAGGCAATTGACTCAGAAATTTGGACAAAAGAAAAACTTTTAGACTTTCATCGCTCACGTTGGGCCGAAGAACGTGCAAAACATATTGAGACCATGAAAAATTTTGAAGAGAAACATTTCGCAGCAAATCTTGAGCTACTCGAAACTTTAATCAAAATCGAAGAATAATTTTTCAATAATTAAATTTAATGAGTTTCTAAATTTTCATTATCTCATAACAATAAATTGTGTCATTTCATAAACCATTAAAAGAAACATGTGAGGATTGACAGAAACATTTCTTCAAAAAAACCAAATTCCTGCTTGTTTACTGTTTTTAATTTTTTCATTTCAATTTTCTGGGTTCTAATTTTGACTTTCTTAGTTTTCTTCAACAGTTTTGTTTTATCATTTCCGTTCTTGAAATATTCGTTTTGATTTGTTTTTAGTGGAAAAGTATCATCAACATGATTGGAATCTTCCTTAGTGTCAGGTTCATCGATTGGTCTAAAAAAAGTTCAAAAATGTATGAAAAAGAATAAATAAAAATTTCATAATATTTCTAACAAATATTCTCCAAATTGATGATTTGTTTCGTTTGATGAAGCTTCCACTTTTGCTTTTGAATTCTGAAGAAAATATAATTCACATGCTGTTCTAAGATCACTAACTTCATATTTGTTTGCCATCTTCCAAAGTTCTTCTGCATGTTCATCAAATCTGTTAATTCTTCCAGTGTATATGAAATGCAGAAAAGCCTCAAAAGCTTCTTTCGAAATGTCGTTTATGTTTCCTCTCTTTTTATGTTTAAAGTCTTCAGTAAATATTTTATAAAACACTGGACTTCTCGCTGAAAATTATGAAATAAAGTCGAATGTTTGAACATTAATTAAGGTCATACCCGCCAACATCATCTTGTGAATTGGAAAGTCGAAGTCATCAACGTGACATGTGAAGTCAGAAATCTGATTTTGACCAACAAATTCATTCAAATCTTCAATAAGTTTATTGCCTTTTAGAAGATTCTCTAAACTTGTTTCAAGTTCTGATGAAGAACATTTAGAGAGACCAACCACTTGAACAATGATCGTTAAATTTCCATCTTCAAGGCAACTTTTAAGATCTTTATGGTTCAAAAATTCTTCTCCAGCACATTTCACTTCATCAGATGGTGAAACGAATCCAATTTCGCAAAAAGCGTTTGATTTCGCTTCTTTAAAACTAATTTTAAGCGCTTCAACTTCAGATTCTCCAAATGATATCTTATAAAATGGTTGAATGAAGAGAGATCTTTTCACAAAATTGTATTGGCTTCCTCGGATTTCTAAATGACTTTGTTGTCAGACGCAAATTAATAAAATAAACAAAATAATTTTACATGACTAAGTTCACAACTATTTCCTAAACTTACATTGCGACACCACAAGGTAACTCTAGATCTTCAGTGAACTTTCGATTTGCATCATAATTCTCGATTTTCCACTCGACTTCTGTATTTATCGCTTTAATTAGCTTAACGTTGGTAATAACGTTTTGCACTGTGATCACCATCTTAACACTTTTACAAATGACAGAAAAATAATTTAATAAACCTTTAACTACTGTTTGAGTGGGGTTCGGATGAATTTGATAGTTTCGTAACATTAGGTTTTTTAAATACTGTCTAAAACATGTGCATGCCTACACATGTATGTAAAATCTTAAGAAAAAACATAAACTATTATAATTATTATTACGCGATTACTTATCTTAGAAAAGTAGGTAAATATTTTTTTTATATGATTATTGATAATGTAGGTGTTTGCATATTAAATAGAGCTAAGTAAGCAAATAAATATTTGGATACGTGATTCTTTGTAAATGACGGAGAATACTGAAGGATAAGTATGCAATTTAGCATGATAAACTTTAATATGTATTCAATGTTTAAAACTAATATTCTTCAGTATTAAATATTATCTAAACAATTTCAACTTCATGATTAAAATAATTTTCATTTTGAATAAATTTGACTCACTGAATAAAAAACGGATTTATTTTCAAATATCGATGGACAGTGGCGCCATCTGATGGAGCCGTTAATTTTTTTCTTAAAGTGTCGAAGTTTTGTTGACAATTCATGAATAAACTTTGTTTTGAAATATTGAACTTGGCTAAAATCATAAAAGTTGTTGTTTTAATTATTTCTAAAAGTACTGAAGCTGGTTTAAGTATTGATCATGGAAGATTCTGTGCAAATATTATGTAGACTTTGTTTGAAACATTCTCTAGAAACCACAAATCTGTTTAGTTATCATGATGGACATCTGCTAGCTGATTTAGTAAAAATAATTTGTCCTATTTCAATAGTAAAAAATGAGCCTGGTATTCCTGACAACGTCTGCAAAGGATGTTTAGAATTAATTATTGATGCCAATAATTTACGTGACCTGAGTTTGATGAACGATGCTGAATTAAGACGTACCAAAGAAGAAATCAATTTTAAGGAGGAAAATTTCTATATCGAAGCTTTGGATGAAGCAACTTTTGAAGATGCAAAATTTTATCCCATCAATTTGGATGAGCAACCGATAAAAATAGAATCATACAAGGAACAAACCGTTATTAATATTTCTAAAGTCAAAAACTATTGTGAGTTATGTGACACAATTTTCTCAAATGCTAGTTCATTTAAACGACATCAACTTCGACGTCACAGTGATGCTCAATATCATTGCGATTTATGTGGAACTGTATTTAAAACAAAACACGATACTGAAACTCATATGAAGAGAGTACATGTGAAAAAGTTTCAAGAAGTCAAGTTTTTATATTCTCAGAAACTCAGCATTGATGTGACTGATATGTATGAGAAGCATGAAGAAGCTCCAAGACTCAATTGCACTTTCTGTGCTTATACTGATGATGACGAAGATTCTCTTCTTCAACATTTATCAACACATTTAGATGTTGTAAAGTCGGGAAAAATGTATTGCACTTTATGTCCGTCAGCAATTCTTTCAATGGATTTTATGATAAAACACACAAAATCTCACAACGAGAAACTGAAGACTCATCGTTGTCTCATATGTAATAAACTCTTTCCATTCGACGATAAATTCCTAAACCATTTAAGAAATCATAAAAAGAATCAACATCAGATCTGCTTTTGTCCTGAATGTGGTCGTAAATTTTCAAAGCCACGACTAATGGAAGATCACATTCGGTTCATTCATAACAAAGAAGCTCTCTTCTGTTGTCCTAAATGTGGACAAGGATTTGGTAGTAAATCGGCTCTTAATGGACATATCAAAAGGCACATCGATGGCAATAAATATCAATGTCCATTTTGTCCAAAAACGTTTTCATCTCATAACTTGTTAAATTCACATAAAGTTGTTCATACGACAGAAAGAGTAAGTATACCATTAACAAAGCTTTTATTTTTGAAAATAATAAACTTTTTCTAGCCTTTTGCATGTGGAAAATGTGACAAACGATTTAAGAATCAGAAAGTTCTTAATGATCATTTGAAACGTCATGACAACTCGCGACCATTATATATCTGCTCGATTTGTAATCGATCACTCAACAGTTCATTCGCTCTGTCTCGTCATTTTCTTATACACACTGGATCTGTGAGTAATTTTTACATTTAAATTATTCTGAAAATATTAATTTTATTATTTTCTTGTAGAAACCTTACGAATGTGAACATTGTCCTAAAGCTTATGCACAGAAAAACGATCTTAATAAGCATTTAAGGATCCATGTTGGAGAAAACACATATTTTTGTGACTTTCCAGGATGTACCGAGTCATTTAGAATAGTCGCTGAATTGAGAGTTCATCAAGGAGTTCATTATTTGAAAAGTTGATAAAATTTAACGTTTATAAAATTTTGAATTTTGTATGACATTGTCGTGTGCGTGTAAATATTTCTGAGTAAACTTCAGCACCACATAAAGAAAATTATTTCCCTCACCGTTCGAAATAAAATAATTTAAACTCATTTATTTAATTTTTTCTACATTGACCGATTAATTAAACTACGAAATATCAATTTCATCTACCTTGATCAACAGTATTCGCAGAAAGTTATTGTCTATCAGACAGTTTTGAATCTTAGGTTTGAATTTTTCTCCAGGTTACATCATTTCATTTGTGTTTTTCTTTACTTCGCAACCATTAAAAGGATTTTTGATCCGCAATTTAAATTTACTTCTCAGAAGTTTGTTTAAAAGTTAATAAACTATTTTTAGCCAACAATAAAATAAGATTGTATAGCATAACTGAGAAAAATAAAAGTTTCATGTAAAATATTAAAGATTCGTTAAATTAAATGGTTACGAAGTTATCATTAACGCAGTTCAGATCCAGCTAAAAACAAAATTCTTATCAATCTCAAAAAAATTTAAATATTAAAGTTACTTTTCATGTTTCTCTTATTAGTTAATGTGATAATGCAAGAAAAGCAGTGATTTTGTTTAAGAAAGGTTGATATGAGCAAGGAAAGTCCAAAGAAGGTGAGCTCATCAATCGATATTTAAACTTTTTTTTTGTAATTTTTAAGCATTTATAATTTTGCAAGTTATTTTCATCTTATCATTAAAATTATGATAATTGCTTCGTTATTAATTAGTGTATTTTACGTTTCTTTTATATTTTCAGTTCTGATCCTGCTAAGAATTATAAAGCACATTTTTATTTTACGAAAAGAAAAAAAAAATTTTTGTTGTACTGCTGGTGATTGAAGAGAAATATTGATCCGTAAATATTTCAGTTTAATTGAATCAACACTTTTTATCCTTCCATCAAATAACTGAATTAAATGGCTGCTTACCTTAATCGTGGAATGTCAATGGTCACCGGTTACGATTCTCTCGTCGATACAAATTCACGTCAACTGCACAACGTCAACTCGCCACTTCAGATATTCGTCAAAGCCAAAAAGAACATCAATGACATTTTTGGAGACATCAGTGATTATGTTATCGAGACGACAAATTTCGTCGAAGGTAATTCAAGTTTCTTCTCCCTTATGAACAAATCAATTAAAGAATTTTCATTTCATTTTAGGACTCTCCGAAAGTCAAGGTCAGGGAGACATTGTTGACAAAGCTGAAGCGGAAACATTTCGCAGTTATGTTTTCAAGATTAACAACATTCGTGAAGTGTTAACACGTGATCACATGAAAGTTGCATTTTTTGGACGAACATCAAATGGTAAAAGTTCAGTTATCAATGCTATGTTGAGAGATAAAATTTTACCAAGTGGCATCGGACACACAACAAACTGCTTTTGTCAAGTCGAAGGAATTGATGGACATGAAGCTTATCTTGTGAAAGAAGGATCTGAAGAGAAGCTTAATGTAACTGTGAGTTGATATGCATTGATTAAGTTGACAATTATTCAATTTAAATCTTAAATTCTCAGTCTGTGAAACAACTTGCAAATGCTTTATGTCAAGAAAAGTTATGTGAAAGTTCTTTGGTGAGAATATTCTGGCCACGCGAACGTTGCAGTTTACTTCGTGACGATGTTGTGTTTGTTGACTCACCGGGTGTCGATGTATCACAGAATCTCGACGATTGGATTGATAATCATTGTTTAAATGCTGACGTTTTTGTTCTTGTATTGAACGCTGAATCGACAATGACTTTAGCTGTAAGATTTTTTAATTATTTTAAAATATTTTCTATTGATTATTTTCATATCAGGAAAAATCATTCTTTCATGAAGTTTCCACGAAGATTTCCAAACCAAATATATTTGTTCTTAATAATCGTTGGGATGCGAGTGCTTCGGAGCCTGAATTTCAAGAATCTGTAAGTAAAGAAATTATTTTATTTCTTTTTTTTTCATTTCCTACCATTCAACGAAAAATTCTGTTTCTTTAATTAAACTTTAACGCACGTCCTTTCATGGGAAGAAGGATGCGTTGGAGAAGGTAAAAAGCAAAGCTTAGTGAATGCCAATTATGCATTTCCTGCACCAATTCCATTTTTTTATAGTTTTCTTATCAAAATTTTAGACTTTCTTAAATATTTCTTATCTTCTCAGGTCAAAGCTCAGCATCAAGAGCGCTGCATCGATTTTCTTGTCAAAGAACTAAAAGTCAACACAGTGAAAGAAGCTGAAGAAAGAGTATTTTTTGTGTCAGCTCGGGAAACATTGCAAGGACGATTACAAGAAGCAAATGGATTGCCAGCTCATACCGGTGCCTTAGCTGAAGGCTTTCAAAGTCGTTACTTTGAGTTTCAAGATTTCGAGAGAAAGTTCGAAGAGTGCATAAGTAAAAGTGCCGTGAAAACAAAGTTTGAACAACACAGTTCACGTGGAAAGACAATTTCCAACGACATGAAACTTATGTTGGATAACATTTTCGAGCGAATCAACGATTTAAGGAATCAAAAGTTAGAACAGAAGAAATTCTTGACAGATCGAATCAGCAACACTGAAACACAACTTATGGTGGTGACACGGGAAATGAAGATGAAAATTCATAACATGGTTGAGGAAGTCGAACAAAAAGTATCAAAAGCGTTGAATGAAGAAATTTGGCGATTAAACGTTCTTGTTGATGAATTTAATTTACCTTTTCACACTGACGCTTTGGTGTTGAATGTCTACAAAAAGGAAATGAATGGTTACGTTGAAAATGGTTTAGGATCGAATTTACGTGCGAGGCTTTCTACCGCACTTGCGATGAATATTGAAACAGCACAACGTGAAATGACGGATCGAATGACTGCACTTGTTCCAAAAGAAAAACTTAAAGAACAAACCAGTCAAGTGATTGTTGCTCGTAATCAACCATTTGAAATGCTTTACACATTAAATTGCCAGAACTTGTGTAGTGACTTCCAGGAAGATCTTGATTTTAGATTCTCTTGGGGAATTACTGCGTTAATTCAACGATTTAATGCTCGTCGTACTAATGGAAAAGGTGGAAAAGCGATTAAAGGAAGAAATAATGGAAATTTAAATGTAATCAATTAAATATTTAATTTTTAGACGAATTTTTAATTAATTTATTTTAAATTTCCAGGCATCATACGCAATGACCCCAACAGCAGATTTAAATTCACCAATGAATTTAATGCCACACTTTAATAGTGACTTTACGACAGATGAACAAATTTCATTGATTTCCCGTATCGCAGCTGCTTCCATCGGATCACAAGGAACTGTTGGTGGACTTATTATCGCTGGAATTGTAAGAATCCATCAGATAGTTCTGAAATTGGAATAGTTTTTATTGTTTTCTCCTTTAGCTCTTCAAAACAATCGGTTGGCGTGTATTGTTTGGCATTGGTGGCATTTACTTGTCAGTTTATGCTTATGAACGCCTTTCATGGACAAATAAAGCTAAGGAAAGAAAGTTCAAGGATCAATACGTTAAACATGCAACTCGGAAATTGAAATTGATTGTCGACTTAACATCTGCTAATTGCAGTCATCAAGTTCAACAGTAATTTAAGAATTTCTTTCTGTTCTTCAAATAAACTAACATTTTTACCTTCAATATTCACAGAGAACTCTCAAGCACATTCGCTCGATTATGTCGTGTGGTGGACAATGCACAAAGTGACATGAATAACGAACTGAAGGAAATTGAAAACTCATTGAACATTCTTGAAGCCAATCAAAAGCAAATCAAACTTTTGCGCAATAAAGCTGCGTTCATCACCAATAAACTCGATACATTTGAGAATAATTATATTAAATCGAACTAGAAGAGAAATTTTATGAGAAAGTTTTTTGTTTTAAATCGATAGCATGTATTGTTTAGTACTGAAATTTGAAAAATATTTTCATTTTATCAAATTGTTTTGATGCAACTAGTTAAGTAACATCACTAACACAAAATATTAAAATTGAATTGTAATTGCTGAAGAAATTTGTGGAGATCCTCCAGCAACTCACAATAAAACGAAACTTTCTGTTGAAATAAAAATTAGTTGAAAACAATATAAATGAGTAGTTTCAGTTCTATAATAGGAGAACTGTGAACATTCTTCAATTTCAAGTTAAATTTTTCTCATCTTCATGCTAAACATTTTTAACGAACTTTTTAAATTCAGTTTCAAATAGAAAGAAAACCAAAATTTTCTAAACAGTGTAAAAGTCAGCTGTAAACAAAAAAAACATAAATATATAAAAAATCTACCGAAAAAAAATTATAATGATTGAAGACATAAATTTGAATTTCGTAGACATTTTCCCATCTACAATCGTAGATCTAATATTTCAACATCTAACTGGCCAAGAGATTTTAGACGCAACAGCCGTTCACAAGTCTTGGAATAATTTTATATCTTCGCAATCATTAATAAGCTTCAAAGATATTTACATTCAACCACAAGTGATTGAAGATATCAACTATCTGGTTAATAGTGAGCGAAGATACGAACATCTTAGAGCTGTTAATGTTACAGCATTTATACCTGAACTACTCAAATTCATATCGAATCAAAGAAGACATTGGAAAACCATCATCATCTTTAGAACAACGTTCGGCACGAGATCACAAATTGAAGATGTCTTTAGAATCTCCTCAAAGACTATTGAGAAGCTTGAATTATTTCATGTGTGGTGCAAAGATAACCTGGAGTTATCATCATCATCAACTTTCAACTTCCCTCAACTCCAGCATCTTCGAATAGTTTATCATCACATTGATACTGATCCCTGGATTAATTGTTACATCGCTAGTGTACCAAAGTTGATTTCTATTACTCTTGGAAATGCTGGTGACTCTCAAATGAAGCAATTGATATTGAATGCAACGTGTTTAAAAAATTTATCGTTGTTTGGTAAATTTCAAGATTCAGACTTCTTCAACCATCTATCTGAGACTCTCCCACCTCGATTAGAAGAGTTCACTTTCAATGATATTTTGAGCAGTTCGCATGATGATTTTAATTTAAGCTTTTTTAATTGTTTCTTCAAATCACAGTCAAACACTTTAAAGCGATTTGAAACGGATGCATTATTGGAGCCGGAAGAGTTATCTACAGCATTTAAAATGAAAAACCTTCATACATTAAAAATAAAAAGCTTTGATTATAACCGTGAAACTATAAGAAATCACATCGATTCGTTAATCGTCACAGAAATACCAGAAGCAAGCTTAAAAGTTTTCATCGTTCAGATCATGGATCAGAATCTTTTAGAACTTCTGGCTCTTCATGCAAGAGGTCTTGAAGAACTTCGTGCTCAAGAATTACATGCTACAAATGTATCCAATCCAACATGGTTTCCCAAACTTCAAAAAGTTCAAGTAAATTTCTTTAACCCAGAAATTAGCGATCAGCTCGGAACAAAAGCGGAAAACGAAAGAACACATTTTGAGCAGCTTCTTTTAGACGAAGACTAATTTATATTTAATTACAAATAAACGAAATATCTGTTAGAATGAAATGATTTTTGTGTAACTCAAATTTTGATATTCTGTAGATTTGCATTTCAGAAATTCGATGTTCCTAAAATATTTAAAAAGTTTCCATTCTCAAGAAGTAAAAAATTATCAAAAAGAAAAATACCAACGACACGTAACGTTCCCAAGCGGTCACCCATCTAAGTACTAATTACGCCCGATGTTGCTTAACTTCGGTGATCGGACGAGAACCGGTGTGTTCAACATGGTATGGTCGTTGACGAGAGTCTCGCTGCTTATCGTCAAACATTACACAATTGAGTCAGAAATAGATTTAAAAGTTTTCATTCTCAAGAAGTGAAAAAATTTTCAAAAAGAAATACCAACGACACGTAACGTTCCCAAGCGGTCACCCATCTAAGTACTAATTACGCCCGATGTTGCTTAACTTCGGTGATCGGACGAGAACCGGTGTGTTCAACATGGTATGGTCGTTGACGAGAGTCTCGCTGCTTATCGTCAAACATTACACAATTGAGTTAGAAATAGATTTAAAAGTTTTCATTCTCAGGAAGTAAAAAATTATCAAAAAGAAAAAATACCAACGACACGTAACGTTCCCAAGCGGTCACCCATCTAAGTACTAATTACGCCCGATGTTGCTTAACTTCGGTGATCGGACGAGAACCGGTGTGTTCAACATGGTATGGTCGTTGACGAGAGTCTCGCTGCTTATCGTCAAACATTACACAATTGAGTTAGAAATAGATTTAAAAATTTAAGAGTTCCCAAGAAATTCAAAAAATTATCAAAAAGAAAAAATACCAACGACACGTAACGTTCCCAAGCGGTCACCCATCTAAGTACTAATTACGCCCGATGTTGCTTAACTTCGGTGATCGGACGAGAACCGGTGTGTTGAACATGGTATGGTCGTTGACGAGAGTATCGCTGCTTATCGTGACTTCATATTTTAGGTAAATTAAAAAAATTGTATTGAAAAACAAATAAAGAACATGATTTAAACATAAAAATATTTTCAAGCGGCTTGAAAACAAACTATAAAATAAACAATTTTATTTCAATTAGAGTTTTCTAAGAATTTTTTTTCGTTAGCATGAAAGCTCTTAAGGATATTCGTGATTCATTCTCATGCGAGCTCAAACAGACAGTAAAATATTTTTTACTATTTTCAAGTCATGTTTCATAGCTCTATTTATTGCAATGGAACTATGCAATCCATTGATCAAACTTTACACTTTAAGAAATGCTGCACTTTTATCACTTCCATTGACACAGTGTCAAGCAAAAAGTGTTGTTGCGATAAGAAAATAATTATCTTATTCTTTTAAAAATATTATTCTTTTAATTTAATTTTGTCTACTGAAACTTTCACAAATCGTGTCGGAATAAATAAAAGAAGAATAATTTGATACTTAATGGAGTTGTTCTGGGTTTGTAAAAAGTGAAAATTAATTTTAATCGAGTTTAAATTGAATATACCTACATATTTAAGCAACAAAAAAAAAATTTATGAAATGATAGAAAACTCAGAAAAAATGTTTGAAGACTATGATAGTTTAGTGATTTCGATTCCCAATAGAAAAGGAATTTATAAAAAGGTGTACAAAAAAGCTGGTTCAGTTGAAATTGGAGTTCAAAATAGTTTTGATATTTCTGAATCAGTTGCTACAACTGACAATCCCACATTCTCTCATGTCGGAATAAATCATGTCGAAGGGGGGTGGCCACGTGATATTTGTCGCTTTAATGAAGAACAAACCATTCGATATTGCAAGAAACAAGAGAATGATTATCGATATTTAGTACAAATGAAAACAATGATCAAAACATGTGAACACGCAATATTTCAAAACAATTCCATAAACTTGTATGAGACATATTTTGACGACCTGGAAACGATTAACTTAAAAGAAGGATACTCACTTAAAGTATTAAACACTTATCGTAATGGAACTAAACACGGAGTAAAAAAAATTGTGTGGACTCTTGATGAACCAACATATTTGGCATGTTGTTATAATGGTAATCAAAATTACTACGATTATTTGATTGATGAAAAAAATGTCATCAATATTTGGGACATTGAATGCCCAGGGGAACCAATTATCAAGTTGAATTCATTAGCACAAACGCATTGTTTAGAATACAATCCAAAACATCCAAAGTGTTTAATTTCTGGATTGGTGACAGGTCAAATAGCCGAATGGGATGTTCGAGTCAATAATCATTCTCCCATTTTACTTTCAAAACGTGAAAACAGTCACTCGGATTGTGTCAACGCTATAACATTCTATTGTTCAAAGACAAACATGGAATTTTTCTCCGGTTCAGCAGCTGGCGAAATATTTTGGTGGGATTTAAGAAATATAAGCAAACCCATGGAAAGTTTGATTTTCAACCCAAATGCAATTAAAAATGGAATAAGGAACGATGAAAAGGCTTTTGGTGTTAGATAGAATTTTTTTTAATTTTTTTATGAGTTAATCAATTTTTTATTCCAGATTAATGTGCTAGATTATGAGAGTACATTTCCAAACAAATATTTAGTGGGAACAGACGCTGGCACTGTCTACATATGCAACCAAAAATTCAAAAATCCTACTGACAGAATTCATGCAGAACTTCAATGCTGTCAAGGCCCTATTTCTGCTGTTCAACGAAATTCCTTTTTTCCTAAACATTTTCTAAGCGTTGGTGATTGGCAAGCGAAAATTTGGTATGAGGAATTCAAAGATTCTCCAATATTTTGGACGAAAAAATATGAATCTGAATTAATGCATGGTTGTTGGAATCCAATAAGATGTTCATGTTTTTATTTGTGCCGAATGGATGGTTGGTTTGATGTTTGGGATATTACACATAATTGTCAGCAATCAGCTATATCTTCAAAGGTAAAATTTGAAAGTTTTTATGATAAATTACTTTTCTAATAAAGTTTCGAACAGCTTTCTGACTATCCATTGCTAACATGTACACCAGATAAAGAAGGAAAATTAATTGCAATTGGATCTCATAATGGCGATATTCATTTAGTTGAAGTATCAGAAAATTTGTCATCTTCTACCGCTTATGATAGACCCAAAATGAATTTTGTTCTTGAACATGAAACAAGAAGGGAGAAATTATTGTACAATAAGCAACGTGAATCAAATCTTAAAGAAAAGGAAAGGGAACAAAATCGAATTCATTTAGGTTTACTCAATTGCGAAGAAGTTGAAATGAATCTTAGCAATGAACTTGTTCAAGAAGCCGAAATGAACTTCCATCAACTCATTGGACAATTAAAACAGTATAACTAGGTAGGTAGGATTTTATATCATCGTATAAGAGAAATGGATCTACTTGTTAGAATCCAATAAGATGTCCAAGTTTTTATTTTAAATCTAATATCCATTTTCCCTAATTTACTTAAAAAGTTTCTTACAACTTGCATGCGAAATTGTAAGGATTCGTTACCAATTCGACGGCGCCGTTGAAAATTTAATTTGAATTTACCGCACTTTTTTTAAAACAAAAAACTTTTCGTCTGCTTTCAAGCTTTTAAAATTTTCAATAAAAAAATATTTAAAAATATCTTAGTTTGTATGCTTTTATCAAGTTTCGAACAAGTCAAATAGGTTTTTTAAGAATAATATAAAATGGCTGATCCTGAAGAAAATATTCCAGTAACAGAGGAAGTATGTTGGATTAACAAAATTAAATTATTATTTTCGATTGTATGAAATAAATAAATTAATGCAAACATAAAATAATTTATTTTAAAGGCAATACCACCTATCATCCCGGAAGTTCCGAAAGAGAAGCAAATTGTAACTGATTCTGCTTTACCGGATGTTCCTCTAGATCTACATCAAAGTCCATCCACTTCTCGAATCTCTGACACTCCAGAAGTAACAAATGAGTCAAAACATGACAAAAGTTCAACGAGTGAATCAACTACACCTACAAAATCTAGAAGAAAACGTAAGCCAAACGTCACTAAAAAAGTATCGTCGAATGAAATGTCAGCATCTGAAAACGATTTGGAAGTTATTCCAAATATTCCAAGTATACCAAACATTGATATTGAAAAAAATCTGCTAACCAATGTCATCAGCGGTTCACCACCAAAAAATCCTGAATCTGATGAATGTGAGACGATCGACAAGATTGCTCAAATGGTCTCCAGTATTACTTCAAATAATGTGAACGTTGTTCCATCAGCTGATAAAGCAAATGACGAATTAATTGAAAATCAGCTGGCAAAGATGTTTGGTGATCCAAATAATGGAACTGCATTAGATCCTGTTGCTTCTGAAACACCAAACATATCCACAAATGACATGAAAAAGAAAGCATCTACAAAACCAAAAGCTTCAAGAAAGAAAAAAGTTGAAGGAGCAACAGGAAAGAAAAAGCAACCACCAGGAGCCGGAGGAAAACTTAAGAATGGAAAGTCGAGTAAAAAAGGCAACAAGAATGAAGACGTCAATGATTCGAAAGCTGAGAAGAATCTCAAAAAATCGAAGGAAAATGGTGGAAAATCAAGATCAAAACCAGATATTGCTCCATTTGTTAAGATAAAGAAGGATGGTTCCTTCAACATTGTAAATCAAACTGCCAATGGAGATGACGACACCGAGAAATCAGTAAATAAGCCTAAAAAGAGCAACACTGATAAGAATAAAAGAATTCGTGGACTTCATGTAAGCACATTAAGTAATAAATATGACGCTGATAAACGAGATGCAACATGGGTGTGTGTCTTCTGCAAATTGGGACCTCACAAGCATAAGCTTGGAGATTTGTTTGGACCATACATCTTGAACATTCGTTCTGAAGAATATTCACAATGTCTTCAAGATCCATCGACTGATATCTTTAGGCAAACCAACAAGAACAAACTTTTGAAAACTCCACCACAATCTGCAACTCCAGAAAAGCCAAAGAAAAAGAGAAAATTAAACAACGCAACAGCTGTTGAAGTAAATGGTTTATCTGTATCGATGGAAGAAATTTTTAATGGCATGACAAAGGTTGATGACGATAATTATGAAGTTTGGTTCCATGAAGATTGTCTTGTGTGGGCTTCAGGCGTTTACATGATTGGAACCAAAATTGTTGGAATGAAATCAGCCATCTGGTCAAGTACAAGATATCGATGTACTTATTGCAGTAAAAATGGAGCGATGGTGTCGTGCTTATCAAGAGAATGCAAAAAACCAGCACACATTGCATGTGCTAGAAAAGGTTGGAAATTAGATGATGAATTTAAAACATTTTGTGAACTACATCATTGATTTGTAAATGAAAAACTAATCAATAAAAAATTAAATTGAAAAGTATTATGAAAAATATTCGAAATTTTCGTTAGTTATCAGAAATCTTATCAAAAAGCTTATTGAGATATGAATATCTGTTGATAAACACAAAAATTTTAAGTTTTCATAATTTAGTATAAAATCTGACGTGGTGCAATCGATACAAAGAAAAGATGAAGAAACATTCTGCAATTTTCTTTTTTATTTTCCTTTCTTTAATTGTTCTTGTCTTCGCTCATAAAGAAGGAAAAGCAATGCGAGATGTTTTTTGTAACTTTATAGAAGATGACCGTGGTTATGTTTGTGAACTTACCAAATTAAAATTATTCAGTGAAGACGACATTTTAAGATTCACCGGAGAACAAATGAGTGGAAAATCAAATGAAGACGTCAAATATCTTCACATTCATTCATCTGAAAGTAACATTGTTCCATCGGAAAATATTTTCAATTTCTTTGTGAATCTGGAGAAGTTGGAAATGAAAGGTGTTGGTGTGCGAACTGTCAGCACAATCATCAATTGTATGCCATTAGACCTAATCATTCTAAGTGATAATCAAATCTCATTTCTTGATGCTGGAACATTTATTGAATGTGCCAATTTAGAGATTCTTGACCTGGCAAGAAATGAAATAAAGAAAATCAACGATAATGCATTTTCATCATTGAAAACTCTCAGAGAATTGGATTTGAGTAACAATCAACTTGACAAATTGACAAGAAAATCAATAAAACCTATGAAGAATCTAAGAAAATTGTCATTTAGGGCTAATAAAATTAAAGAGTTGCCGTATAATATTTTCAATGATTTGTTTGAACTCAGAAATTTAGATTTATCGGACAATCCTTTAACACGTTTAGATTTCCGATCATTTGATATAACTATACGCATTGAGAGTTTGAAATTAAGTGGAACTGACATCAATAAACTTCATCCTTACACATTCAGGAATCTTAGAAGATTGAGATTCCTTGATATCTCCCGGAATGATTTACAGCACATAGAAAATGAACTGATGGCAACAAATAAAGAAGTTGAAGAAATTAGAATGAATGATTGTGGAGTTAAATCAATTGGACGTCAGTTCTTTGATAAATTAGATAGACTTAAAACTTTCAAAGCACTTGGAAATAAATGTGTTGATGGCGATTATACTGGTGACGTGATCCTAATGAGACCAAAATTTTTGGACTGTTTCATCGAATGGGATAAAATCAAAGAACGAGGGAATAAAGGCATTCACACTGGAGATGAGTTGTAAATATTGTTTTATTAATGAATTATAATGAAAGTAAATTTTCAATATGAAAATAAATAAAAATAATTTTTGGTATCATTTCTTCCGAAAATTTAAGTCCAGTCTTTTCATTTTAACTAAATAATTTAAGAAAATGTGCCATGTTAAAATAGAAAACTTAAAAACACTTCGACTAGATATATGTTGTTTTACTCTGATTTTTCTATGATTAAAAAAAAGTTTAAATTTATTGTATCCAAAATTTCACTTTATTTTGTATGCATAATATGTTGGAAATCATCGCTTGAACAAACGAATGAGATCTTTCTAACACTTTAAATTCATTCATCTGAAATTGTGACTCCTGTTTTAGCGCTTATCCAATCTAAATATTTATCAACACGAGTGAATCCTTGAACATCGTTGACACAATGTTCTGTCTGAAAAAAAGAATTAATTCCAACCAGTTTCGATATTCCGTTTGATTGATAAATCAATGGGCCACCTAAATTCAGCAGAGATTGATTAATGTTTAAATATTATTTAATTAAGTTTGATTTCTTACCAGAATCCCCGAAGCAAGTACTACTTCCAGTATTCAATCCTTTTGCGCAAAGCATAGTCGATTTAAATACCCAATGAACGAGAGAACAATCATAATCTGATATTCCATTGATATAAGCATAATTAAGATAATCTGGATAACTTGTGACAGTTTTTCCAAAGCCACATGAAAGTAAAACGGAACCGCTGTATGATTTCGATACATCCGATCTTGGCGGAAGTTGAACTATGCTAACTGCACTCGATATGGGGACGGCCGATACCAGTTTTATTAGAGCAATATCGTTGGCGAGAGTTGAAGGTTGCCAATTTTCATGAACGTAATGTCCAGAAGCTGTTCTTTTCACAGGCATATTATTTTTATTTATCGATCCAAAGTGAGCCTGAGCGCCGATATAATCTCTTACACAGTGAGCTGCTGTGGTGAGCCATTGAGTGGCAATCAAAGTGCCTCCACAGAATATACTAACTCCAGGACGGTAAATAATTAGATATGCGTAATATGGGAATTGGTTTGTACTAGCAATGCTTCCATAGACGATTCTTGTGCTTCTAAACCTTGTTACATTCGCCAAAATATCGTCGAAAATTTCATCTGGAAGAATTTCAAAATTCACAAATCCATCATCTTCTTTCAACGGTTCAGGCTCGGGTTCAACAATTAACGTTTTCTCATCGACATCACCGGTAATCTCATCAATTTCCACATCTCCAATTAATGCAAATTCTTCACTTTCAACAGATTTGCTTAAAGCAATTTCCAAAAAACCAAATATTAACAACAATTTTATTAAACTTTTCATTTTGCACGAAAGAAATACCCCGAATAACTGCGTGAAGATGAATGCGATATTCTTTTATACAATCTTTATCTCTAAATCTTTAGCATCAGCAAATTATACTACGTCAGCTAATTGCATTGCGAATTTCACCATACATCTTTTAATTCTTAAAAAGTGCCTTTTAATAAGAGGAAATGATAAATCTGCCAGTTTCTTAAGTGATAAGCGAAGCAAACAGCAATAAGCGTCATTTGTGTACAATACGAAAGTTCAAAACTTTTATTTATAATTTAATATAAATTATGCCACTTGTTATGTCTTTAATAAAATTTGACTTTGGCTATTTCCTATATGTTCAAGCAATAAAA